ATTTCGTATATAGGATTGTGATATTGCTGGCGCAGTGTATACATCCACGAATCAATACTACGACAATGAGTGCACAGCGCAAGCAAATGGGATAATTTCAAAACACCATCGATACCTGAGCACTAGCTTCAAGCGCTCTGGCTCCTTCTTCCTTTTTTGCGGTGATGTATCCCGATTCACTATTGTACATCAGAGCCCAATCCCAGCTCCCAGGCCCCGGTGTTTCGCAACCTAAATGTCGCAATGTCGTGCGGAGTTGGGCCACTAAAAACCAGTGTATGCCAAAAACCACTGAAGAGTTTTCAGTCCCCAAGCTGAACAGATACACATGTTTTCGAATACGGGGCTCCCCTCTCATTTAAAGCCAGACTTCGTTGCGCTCGGGGCTGCAATCGAATAAGCCTGGTCACGTGATGCCAGCGTCGCCACTGGGGCCACAACACCAGGCGCGGCCGCGCAGGCCCTCACATAATCAACGAACAGAAGAGCCTCCACACTGCGACTCTTATTTACATTAGTTTGCTTGCCACACCACACAAAACACCCGCCATGTTCTTGACAAGATCCGAATACGACAGAGGCGTGTCGACGTTCTCGCCCGAGGGCCGTCTTTTCCAGGTTGAGTACTCGCTCGAGGCCATCAAATTGGGCAGCACGGCCATAGGCATTCTGACCTCCGAGGGCGTCATTTTGGGCGTCGAAAAGCGGGTCACGTCTCCGCTCTTGGAGTCTTCCTCCATCGAGAAAATCGTTGAGGTTGACAAGCACATTGGCTGCGCCATGTCTGGCTTAACCGCGGATGCCAGGTCCATGATTGACCATGCCAGAGTCTCGTCTTTGACCCACAACTTATACTACGACGAGGACATGCAAGTCGAAAGTTTAACACAGTCTGTGTGTGACTTGGCGTTGCGGTTTGGCGAGGGTGCGCTGGGCGAAAAGAGGTTGATGTCGCGGCCGTTTGGCGTGGCCTTGTTGATTGCCGGGGTGGACGAAAAGGGACCCCAATTGTACCATGCCGAGCCCTCGGGCACTTTCTATCGGTACGACGCGAAGGCCATTGGCTCGGGCTCCGAGGGCGCGCAGACCGAGTTGCAAAACGAATATCACAAGTCCTTGACGTTGAAGGAGGCTGAGCTCTTGGTTTTGAAGGTGTTGAAACAGGTCATGGAGGAGAAGTTGGACTGCAAAAACGCGCAGTTGGCGTCGGTCACACAAGACGGCGGCTTCCAGGTGTACGCGGACGACAAGACGGACGCGCTCATAAAGGAGTTGAACGAGACCACGGCCGAGGAGGCCCAGCTTTAGTGGGGCCCCGGCTCGGTGAGTTTCAGTGAGGCCCGCTTGCAGTGGGTGGCTTTAGTGAATGCAGAGTACATACCAATCATACGACGAAAAAGCGATCGCCGCCACGCCCGGCCGTCTAGAGAACCGCCAACTTGTCCTTGAGCGTGCCGAACGACGCGTTCTCTGTGCTGGCGGATCGTAGGTCCTGCGTGAACTGCTGCAAGGACAGATTGAATTCCATCCAGAACTTTGTGATCACGTTGTTGAGCCCCGCAATTCGGTTCTTCACGGCCTCTTCGTTGAACTCGACGTTGTCAAACCTCCCCGGGTAGTCGCGTGCAAATGCCTCAAGCAAAGCCGCGTCCGTCAGAATAAATGTCTTTTTGAGTCTGCTGGTGATGCCGGTGAACTCCGTCACCAACCCCAAGGACACACGTATATGCCCTAGCAATTGACTGTTGGTGATCATGGAGTCGCGCAAGATGTTGCTGAGGTACGTGCCGATGCTTTGGTTCAATCCGTGAACATCCACATGCGGTGCGTCCGGCCCAAACTTGCCGCCCGAGGCTTGCTGGTTCAGCGTGATTTTGATTTTCTCGTCGAAGATGCTATTGTTCTTGTTTGCGTGCTTCGTGAGTGGCTGGCCTCCGTCCTTGAACGGCGAGCTTGATCTGGGGGCTCGCGATGCCGGCCTTGGCTTTTCAAGCGATGCTGTGTACTGGTTCACGGTGGCCTTCAATTCACCAAAACTCGCCTCAATGACAAAGTGGTCCACGTAGTTTTGGAGCTCGGTCACGAAGCTCTTCATGCGGAATATCAACACGCGGCTGCGCAAAATGAGCTTTCTCAACGGCTCAGAAAAGTGTTTGTAGTTCCACACTGTGGAATACATCACATCCCGCCACGACGAGTCGATGAGCTTGCTTGCATACCTGATGATCATCTGGAGCTTGAAGATTAGCTGGAACTCGAAAATGAGATTTTCGCTGATCATCAAGTTTATCGGAAACGGCAATTCGCAATCAATGTTGACGGCCGCAATGACACTGCTTTTGTCTGGCTCATCCCCAGATGACTGTTCGGATGCCAGCGCAATAGTTTGTTGGCGTAGAGACTGGCTCACGAGTTTTTTGATGGCACTGGATGCCTGTTCGTCGCCAGTTACCGCGTCTGCGGCATCAAACGACCGGATGCTGATGATCTCCTCCGAGAGATCGTAGAAATTATTGGAGTCAATGCTGAAGTTCTGGAATGTCCGGAGAAGACTGGATATGCTTGATCGGGTAGTCATTGGTCCCTGGTTGATTTTGGAATGTCGCTGCTTTGGGTCTCCCAAACTGAACACGCCGTTGAAAGTATCAATGAGTGTCACTGTGGAAACCTTTCTCTTATTTCTGCTCAAGTCGTGGATTGCCTTGTCAAGAAACGTATCGGTTTTGGACGACTCGCACAAAAGGTAAGTTTCGTGGAGGCACGAGAGCATGTCGCTGAAATGGTATCCGCGGAAGAGCAATTTCAATAAGAGGTTGTTGGCCCGATCGTAGAACTGGACAATTTTGAGGTTGAGATCCTGGGCACACAAACTGGTGATCTTCTCCGGACATGCAACATTGGAAATGTCGTCAGGAAAATCCTGCAACGAGGCACTGCCAATGCACCGCTTGAATATGTTCAAGAACTTGCCCGTGGCAAGAACTTTAGCCTGCACTTCTCTGTCTAGAAACTGGCCAATAAGCCCGTCTACCTTGATCACATAAAGCTCTTCCCAATACCGCTCCACATTGGAGTAGAATATGTTCTTGGGGAGGTCGTTTTTCTTGACGAGGAACTCCAGAAAAAGGTCACTCAACTCCCCCTCGGCAAGCCACGTGTTGAGAAGCGACACGTAGTCGACGCTTATCGCCTCGAACAACACAGAAAGAAAAGCACATGCCTTCATGTCGCCCTCGTATAGGACACTCCGGCTCTCCACAATCTTAAGCACCAACCCGCCTTTGCAAACATCAAAGGCGTTGGGATCCGAGGAGACGCTGGTGCCTAGATTAATATCGGATCTGATCAGGCTCAAGAATGTGTCGAACCGAGGATCCCTGCCGGCGGAATCCCCGGATATGGCCAGCGACACTGACGTTGCGGTTTTGAACCGAGGGTTGCGGGCCTCCGTCTCTGTGTGCACCGCACATGCAATTTCGTACAAGTGCTTCAAGGCATCTGCGCAGGAGCTGTGGATCTCATTGTCCATAGCTGATAGAGATAAGTGGGGGTTTAGGTAGAACGCATCTTCAAACGACAATACAAGCTGGCGAAAGTGCGCAAGGCATCGGGCAATTTCTCGGCATAGCCGCTGGTTGACTCTCCCGAAATGTTGCATATCGTAGATCTGGGCAAACGCCCGGAGCCCCAGGTAGTACTTGCCGTATCGGAGGAGTTTTTTGGCGACTGCCTTCAAGCTGATATCGAGTGGAGCAGCCACCCTGAAATCGGGGCCGCGGATCCGGTTCAGGACAAGCGAGGCCTGGAACCGCTCGCTGTACCTCACATAGTGGCCCTCATACCCTAGCAAGGCAAAAAGCAAGTCTTTGATGATCAATGCCTGTTGTGTGGAGACATCCAGAATCTCATTGAGCAGAACGGGCTTGATCGGGCTTGGGGCCGCGCTGGGAGCCGCGGAAAAATCAAGGTGGTACAGCGGCTTGAGCGTGACTAGCCTTTGTGGGTATGATATTGTGGTTTCGGACCCGTCCGGACTGTGGTCCATGGCAGGGAGTTGTCTTTGTGGAGTTGAAGGGACCAAGCAGGCGAGGTGAGAATGTCTGTTGACATGTGCCGGTTGTGTGCAGGACAATGTTTCCGGATTGGGCTAGCGGCACGAAAACATGGGTGTCTGGCGAGGATTTCCACAGATTCTGAGGGCGTATAGACTCTTATTTTTCTGCCGTCCCGACAGCAATAGGGACGCGTTTTTGGGTGTATCTTGTCGGGCCCGCTCTATGCGCCTAGCCCTGGAGCCCGTCCATCGCGTGAACTTCAGTAGTCACGCAAATGCGCCAAAAGGGGCCCTGCGATCGGCAATTTTCCCATGAGTCTTCGAAACTCTCTCGTACTTTTTGGGTTTTTGTCCGAGCCATTGGTCTCTGGGAAACCCGTTGGGCGCCCATCCCGGTCACGTGACCGGGCCCGACGTAAACAAACCATGCGACGCGCCGCGCAGCCAGCCGCGCCATCCATCTCCATGTCGCTCTGGCCTGTATTGGAGAACCAAGACGAGCCTACCTCCCGAGAACTTTTCTGTAGCTTCTTGAAAGTGGGTGACCTAGGCTTCTGTAACTAGGTTGACGCCGCTCTTGAAGAAGTCAGGCGGCTTGTTTTTTGGGGCCGTGGATGGCCGTGCTTCTGGGTAATTAGGGGAGCTTGAAAATTAGGTGGCCCTCTCAGGAATTAGAATTAGCTGAGCTTGAAAATTGGGTGAGCTTGAAAATTAGCTGAGCCTCTCAGGAATTAACTGAGCCTGAAAATTAGGCGAGCCTCTTGGGAATTAGCTGAACTTGAAAATTGGGTGAGCTTGAAAATTAGGGGAGCTTGAAAATTAGGTGGCCCTCTCAGGAATTAGAATTAGCTGAGCTTGAAAATTAGCTGAGCTTGAAAATTACGTGAGCTTGAAAATTAGCTGAGCCTCTCAAGAATTGACTGAGCCTCTCAAGAATTGACTGAGCCTCTCAAGAACTGACTGAGCCTCTCAGGAATTAGCTGAGCCTCCCGAGAACTCTCAGTATCCAGCCTCCCCAAACCCTGAGTGGTCCCCTTTCCCCATCAGCCCGAAGATCCAGGAACAGCGTGCCAGGCCGCATCTAGTCGCTCGCGTCAAAGCCGTCTGACAACGACATCTCGTCCATCATCTGTGCTGCGGCCCTCTCGGCGTCCTCTTGCACTTGCCTCAAGCCACAGATCTCCTCCAAGTAGCCGGTGCTATTGAGGCAGTTTCTCACAAAGTCCCACTGCCCCGCCTGGTACATTTGTGCCACGGTCTCGGAACATGCAGAGCAGTGCTGGTATGCCGGCGTGCTGAGCTTGGTCTGGGTGAAGTTGTGGAGGAAGCCCCTGATCTGGTGCGGCACGTCGCCAAAGCTGGAGGTGCCGCCATGCGGCGCCCTGTTTTTCTCACCGTGCTGGAGCATGGACACCCAGAGCTCCACCGCGAGCGACGCCGCGAGCAAGGCGCCGCCCGGCCGCGTCACCGTGCACATCTGGTCCAAGCTGCGGGCCGACAACGAGTCTGTGGGCGCCACCACGTCGTTGCAGAAGTAGCAGCCCAAGCGCGCGGCCATGTCGAGCGGGCTGTGGCGGAGAACCAAGAAGCTGTCGAAGCCTAGCGCAGCATTGATGACGGTTTTGTTCATGGCCACGCCCATGACGGTGGGGAGCCAGCGGGACTCGCGCGAGTCCATGAGGAGGAACACCGCGTCGTGCTGATCGAAGAGCTGGCGCAAGAGGCCAAAACTGCGTTCCGCGTCGGCCTCGGCCGCGCCCGCAACGGGATGCCCGATCATCGGCACCTCCATGTTGTAGCCCTTGGAGGACACGCCGGGGAAGATCTCCGCCAACGCCTCGCTGGCCCGGGCCGCCTTTTCGGCGCCTTGGCCGGCGGCCCCGAAGCAGTCGCGGAACGCAAAGAGCGGCTGCCTCACGGGATTCGAGTACGACACGCGGCCACTGTCCACGAAGTTGATTTCGCGCACGCCCCAGCCCATCAACGCCCGGGCCACGTAGCTGCCGAGCGTGCCGGCCCCGAGCAAGAGCACCTTCTGGCGCCTGACGACGTCCAAGTCGAGGTGCGGCGCCACGCGCCACTTCATGAGCTTGAGGTTCAAGTCGACGGCCTGGTCGGCCAACTGGCGCGGGTCGATGAGGGAGCCCAAGTCGGCCATTTTCGGGCCGAGCCTGCCCTGCGGCGTGCGCTCCCACCCGGCCACCATGGGCGGGCTTTGAGCACTGAACGCCGGGTCGAGCTCGAGCTGCACGGCCGTGCTCAGATTGTTGTTTCTGTAGATGACGAGCTCGATCTTGCGAAAGCCGCGGGCCGCGAGCATGTAGAGGTGGTTTTTGAGCGGCACCGCCGGGGCACCGTCGGCGGCAAGACACGCGTCCGCGTACACAAAAACGCCGTCTTTGGAGAAGCCGCTGGTGCGGAACGTCGGCGTGGTTTCCCCGTGCTGGGCCTGGAAAAACTGCGCCGCGCCCTCGCCCACGAACTTCTCGATGTGCGGCAAGAGCTCGCTGTTGGGGGACGAGCGCCGCACAAACCACGTGGAGTGCAAGACTGGGTATGCAAGCCAGTAGTAGAACCGGTACTTCTTCAAGTCGCAGAACGACACGACATAGAACGCCTCGCGGAGGGGCGCGTGGTCCAAGCTGCGGGCCAAGTCGCGGCCCCACTCCTGAAGGAGGGCCTTTTTGTCCAACGCCTTGAACTCCTCGATGGTGTTGACGTTGTAGAGCCGCCCGTCCACCGTCCTGGTGAGCGCGTCTGTTTGCGCCTGCTCAAAGCAGTTGTAGTCGAGGTTGATCACGGGCCGGTCGTTGAACTTGTTGAGTTTCAGCGGCTGGGCCATGAACCCGTGTATGCGTTTTGGCGAGGAGTCCAACTTGTATTCGTTGAGGATTCGGTGGGACAAGTTCGTGAAGAACGAGGAGTCCACGAAGGACTGGACGGGGTGGAACCTCAACGGCTGCGGGTCCATGTTGAGGGGACGTGTGTGCTGGTGCTGGGCCTTGCGATCTGCCGCCGAGTCTGTGTTTGTGATGGTGTTTGGTGAAGGTGTTTGGTGTTTGGTGTTTTGTAGATGTTTTGTAGTTTCAGTGTTTTGTAGTTTCAGTGTTTTGTAGTTTCAGTGTTTTGCTGTTTTGCTGTTTTGCTGTTTTGCTGTTTTGCTGTTTTGCTGTTTTGCTGTTTTGCTGTTTTGCTGTTTTGCTGTTTCTTGTTGCTGCTGGCTATTCTTCTTGTTGCTGGCTTTTCTTCTTGACGCTGGTGTTTCTTGTTGGTGATGGTGCGAGTTTATCTACAGATTAGCCAAAGTGAGCCAAAGTGAGCCTTCGGGCCCGGCCCTATGCAGGCCGGCTGGTGCCTGATACGAGGCTCCAAAATGACACCGGCCTCTGGCTCCCTGGGCTGGAATGCGACCTCAAACATCGGGCGATTTGCGGCTTCCTGCTCTTGAATGTAATGTGTGGATTTTAGCGGTGGGATTCCAATCGGGGGCATGTGGCTTCTTGGTGGACAGACTATCAGAAGCAGGCCATGCCGCTAATTTCGCGTCTTCTGTCTCCGAACATCACACGCAGAACATTGCAAATGTTCCAGAGAGGCATGTATACGGTGTGTGATGGATGTGTGTGCTTTAAATGGGTGGACTGATGTATTGCTAATGGATGTATAGTGCCGAATGGCTGGATAGACTGTGGAGTTGAAGAACTAGTGTTTCGCTAATCTCATGAATTATACCTGCTGGATTGAAGGTTGAGTTGTCGAATATACGGATGAAGATTAGGAAAAGTATTGATTTAGGTTAATTGTACGAGCTAGAGTACAGATCAACGAAGACATCCAAATTATCACAAACCGGCCATGCCGGGTTAAGAGCCCTCTCACTTTAGATAAATCTCTTGGACCTTCCTGTACATTGGAATTATGACTGTGGGTATGATACAAAATAAGCATGACTTACATTAAGATTGGATATTTACCAACTAAAGAATTTTAGTGGGGATGATCTACAGCTAATTAATGCATTATTGATCTGACGATATGGTGGATCTACAGTGTCGAATGCATGGATAGACTGTCGAATTGATGCATTAGTGTTTTGCTAGTATTATAAATAAGGTCGAATGGACAGCAGCTGGACGAATTGATGCATTAGTACGTTGGCCATTTTATGAATCCATACAGTGCTGAATTGATGAATGGACACTGATGGATTGCTAATATTATTGGCTCATGGTGTCGAATGAATGGATGGCTGGTCAAATCATGCATTAGTGCTTTGCTGATTTTATGGGTTTACATAGTGCTCGATTGTTTGATCGATTGTCTAATGGATCGTCTGCATCACCCGCCTCCTTACCTGGGTAGTCACCAGCAATCCAGTGCTTTGCTGATAATCAAACCTGGTAGTCTCACCATTGAATCAATTATATAACTCAATGTTCTCTTGTTTCCAAGGCTTGCAGCTTCAAAAACCGAAAAATACAACCATCTATCAAAGAATGCTCAACACCAAGTCAGGAACCTTCAGAAATATAGTGTGCATATTCATAGAATCAATGTGAATCTGGAGCCTGGGCCTACAACAATACAGCAACTCTATATGGTACTGACTTCTGGAATGCGGTGACTGCTGAACAACTAAAGTGATTTGTGATAAGAAATAGCCAAGGACATTTCGATTATTGAAATATCGCAATGAGATCAGTCAGCTCAGTGATTATCGCGTTTTATAAAACTCACCTTACCTCCGTGATACCATAGCCCATAAAAAGCGAAATACGATGACATTTATCGGCAATCAGCTCGACCGATATTGAATTGCATAACACATTTGTTCTTATTATATATTGATCCTCCTTGCATAGATCATTGTGACAATGGATGACAACAGAAAGAAATATATCCACAGTCAGACGTGTACAGCATCCAAGACAGCCCAAGGTCATATCAGATTCTTTTCCAAATTTAAACCCTGCGTACCGCTTCATTGTATTGAAAAGAGGTAGAACAATGATCCTGGCCACTTGGTTGTAATTTTAGTTTGCCTATTCCGACATGACATGAAAGAGCACGGATCAACATCGCCAATATCACTACTACTAGAAAACAGCTTCTGATTTGATTCCCCAGACTATGCCCTCTTGGCTTTTCTCTCCAAGGTACTTGCTTGTTTCTAACTTCCAGTATCCATCCTAAGGTATCACCAAGAAAACTTCATTGGCTTTCGGTTCAGAGTTGCATAAATGTCACAGAAAATATGACCATTATGGGTATTCCATGTATACAATCTGCATTGACTTGATATGACTTGCGGATTCTTAAAGCAAGAGTTGTCATTTTTAGCAAATGTCCAACATAACGTTTTTCAGGAAACCAAAAATGAAGTCCAAGTCACTTTCTAATATCAGCAGACTAGTTCCAGTTATCTACACCAAGCTGGCTGGATTACATGACTTACTCCGGTAAGACGTCCACTAAATTAATAGTATACTCCAGGAACTAGCTGCAACTTGTCAGTGGGCTTGTTTCAGCGTATACTCACTGACAAGATTTGAGTAAGCACAGCTCATAATGGCTCTTTCGGAATCCCCTCATAGCTTTAGCCACTATACTGCTCCTAATAAAAAAGGCTGGTTGTGTTGTCCAATGAAAAATGTACATATCTTGGACTGATGGATGGGTATATCGTCGACTAGATTAATGTACACACTACTGAATCCATCGATGTACAGTGATTTAAAGTGTACGTCTTATGCATTGTTTGGTTAATTTGTGGATATACCGCTGGATTTTATATAATGTCAGATTGATGGATTGATATTTTCTTAATCAGCGGATCGGAATACTCCTAAATTATTGCTCAATGAATTACCAATCGGACTGATACACTATTACTTTCATGAATCTATGCTGTCAAATTGATGGATGTATATATTGCTAGATGAGCAGAATATACCTTGCTGGCTTCAGAAACATTACCTCATGTGAAATTGATAAATTGAAACTGCCAAATTTATGAATGGAAATACTGGAAATTGCTTGATGAAAACACTGCCAGATTCATGAGTAGAGACACGCTAGTGAATTAGATGATACGATTGATGAATCCTGAAGTGGACAGATCGATGTATGCAATGGTGAATGGTTGAGAAGAAAAATACAAGCAACCACACTATGATCCGCTCCGGATCGAGGTATCGTGCGCCCCGACTATCTAATTTAGCAATTTCTGTTTCTGATCGTCAGGGTTCTGACTGTCAGAATCAACAAATCTTAAACTGACTGACCAATGACTACTCTAGCCTAGTGCCTCCACTGCGCTTGCACTACAGCACATCAGGAATCTTCGAGGTCTAGTCCTTAGAGACTTTGCTCGACCAGCACCCAGAAACTGACAAGTCAAGTACTTCAATTAAAACAAGGTCCTTAATCTCTGGAGCCGATGTAGCAAACATAAATGAAGCCCTCAACGCCAGTTTCTCTAAGCCCATCTACGACCTCTCCCTGCTCCGTTCCACGTTTGTTACTCGCCTTTGTATGTAACTCTACTCCAAAGTCATGCCATCGATCTCGTCCAACAACTCGTCGATGCCAATTTCCACGGCGTCTTCGTCGTCCTCCTCCATGTCGTTTTCGTCCTCGGCACTTGGCACAGGCTCCTCGCCGGCCTTGTACAAGTTGATGGTATGTCTCAACTCCTGGTCCTCTTCCAACTCCTGCAAGAACAACTCGTAGTCTCTCTCCGCTCTCTCTTGCTCCTGCTTGGCCTGTCTGGAGTCGTCGTTAGCGACGATCTCGTTGTGTTCGCGGGCCATTCTCTTCAACTTCCACTTTCTGTTTCTGTTCTTCTTGGACTTCCTCGTGTAGTGCTTCTTGATGAGCACGACTTCTGGGGTGTTTTCTGTGTCCAAGGAGTCCCACAAGTCCGAATTGAAGTTGGTGTTGGTCAAGTAGTAGCCCATGGCCAGGTCGCCGGCATGCAAGAAGGCACCCAAGTGGGAACGCACGTAGAAGGTTCTGTCGTTGACACCCAAGTCACAGGCCCTGCACACGGTGACGTCGGCAAGCACGTACTTGCCCTTCATGTCGCCCGTGGGCTCGACATCCAAAACAATGAACTCCACGAGCTGGTTGACGTCCAGGAGCGGGAGGAAAGGCTTCTTCCAGTACAAGGCCGCAGGCAAGTCTGCGGTTTGCAAGGTGTTGGGGTCGATGAACTGCAACATGTTGGTGACCTTGTGGCACACGACCAAGCGCGTGATGTTGCCGAACTGGTTGGCCAACTTCTTGGGGAGGACCACGAGATCGTCACGGCAGATGGGGGCGATTTCAATGGAGAAAGTGAACTTGTACGACGACGAGCCGGACTGCGTGTCTATGCTGACCAACTCCTCGGAGCGCTTGTTTTTGATGGGGGCCACGGCCGACAAGAAGTCCACCATTTTCGTGGCGTGGTTGCGCTGCGCGTAGAAGAAGTCCAAGCCGTCCTTGGCCTCCTGGATGGAGATGGTGTCCACGTGCGCGTTGTGTCTCAAGATCAACTGCTCCAAGTAAAGGAACGTTCTCTTGTGTGCCACCTTCTGCCTGATTTGGACGGTGGCCCTCCAGGTGTTGGTGGTGAAGGACTTGGCACAGTCCGGGCACTGCATGGCAATCACCACGTACTCGACCTCAAAGGTCTGCTGCACGATGGTGTTCTGCAAGGCCTCGCCCTGCACAGTCAACTTGACCCTGATACGGCGCGAGTGCGGCTCGGTCCAGATGAACGAGGCGTCGATCAAACGCACCTTGGACAAGCCCTTCAAGCGGCGCAAGCAGATGGCCAAGAGCTCGCGCGACTCCAACTCCGCGCGGATCCACTGGCTGGGCGGCTGCAAAAACCGCTCGCAGTTTCTGCAGAACGAGATGTTGGCCTCACGGGGAATGCCCTCGGTGATGTCGACGTTCAATTTGATGCAGTCGTAGCACATGACTAGGCCCAGCGACCCGTCCATGGGCACTCCACAGTTGCAGCAGAGCACCGTGGCCACGCCCTCCTGGTGCGTGTGTGGTTGTAATGGGGCATACGACATTTTTGGCCCTGCGTGTGTGTGGTGCTGGGGTATGCTTGTATTTTAGTAAGCGAGCCTTGGGTCCACGAGAGAGTGGGGAAAGGCTGTGAAGAGGGGTGCTGCGGGGGAGCTGCGTGCGTTTCTTTCGGTGGCCGCCTGTGTGTTGCTTGGTTGCTGATGCTGTTTCTGCCTGCTCGCTACGGAGGTGCCGAGTCTGTGGAAAAAAGTCTCGATGTGCTTGCTAATAAAGAGAAGCAGTACGCGGCATCGGAAAAAAGAGGGTTTGGAGATGAGCAGGCCCAGCCTCGCGCACCCGTGCACCACGCGCTGCCGGTGTGCACGCTCCTGGTCCGGGACATGGATGTGCATCAACGCGCCATGCTTGCCAACACCGGCTATTTTCTCTTTGCGGATACACCACCCACACGCGTGCTATATTTTCAATGGTGGAGCGCAAACGAGCCGGCGGAAGCCTTTCTGGAGCGCCGCTCAAAAGAGCGAAAAAAGACGCCCGCGGCGGCACGGGTGTTTCGGACGGGCCGCTCTCGGCACCAGACAGCCCCGAGCCTGCCGAGCTGGGCGGCTGTCAGAGTGAAGGCGGATGCGAGGGGGGAGACGCGTGTAAGGTGGAGGACGGGTGTGAAGGAAAAGACGGCTGTAAAAGCAAGAACGGCCGCAAGCTTGCGGATGGCTGTAAAACCGCGGATGGCCGTGAAAATGAAGGCTGTAAAACCGAGGGTGGCCGTGAAAACAAAGATGGCCGTGAAAACAAAGATGGCTGTAAAACCGAGGATGGCTGTAAAAACGAGGGTGGCCGTGAAAACAACACGGGCGGTGGCGATGTTTCGCCGGACGACGGTCCCGGGGTAGCCAGCGGCGACCGGCCAGCGGCACACCATGGCAGCAAGCGCCCCACGCCCGATGGCCAGTCGCCCAAAAACGACGACAACGAGCCCGACGACGAACCCGAAGACGACGACGAGGAGGAGGAGACGCGGCGAGTGACCGTGTTCAACTTCGACGGCATGGAGTACGCGTTCAAGGAACGGCCGTCCGTGCTCGAGGAGCGCGAGGGCAAAATCGAGTTCCGCGTGGTCAACAACGACAACACGCGCGAGAACATGATCGTGCTCACCGGCCTCAAGAACATCTTTCAAAAACAGTTGCCCAAAATGCCGCGCGAGTACATTCTGCGGTTGGTGTACGACCGGCTGCACCTCCTGATGGCCGTGGTGCGCAAGCCGTTGACTGTGGTGGGCGGCATCACGTACCGGCTGTTCGACAGCCGCGGGTTTGCCGAGATCGTGTTCTGTGCCATCTCGCTGACAGAGCAGGTGCGCGGCTACGGTGCGCACTTGATGAACCACTTGAAGGACTACGTGCGGGCCACGTCGCCGGTGAAGTACTTCCTCACGTATGCCGACAACTACGCCATCGGCTACTTCAAAAAACAGGGTTTCACCAAGGAGGTCACGCTTGACAAGCTGGTGTGGGTGGGCTACATCAAGGACTACGAGGGCGGCACGTTGATGCAGTGCCTGATGCTCCCGTCACGCCTCCGCTACTTGGACTCGGGAAAGATCCTCCTCCTCCAGAAGGCTGCCATCGAAAAGCAGATCAAGATGCGCTCCACGTCCCACGTAGTACGCCCGGGGCTTCAGGTGTTCAAGAACGCGCGGCCAGGCTTCAAGCTCCTGGCCAGCGAGATCCCGGGGCTCATTGCCAGCGGCTGGCTGGAGGAGATGGACAAGCTCGCGCAGAAGCCCAAGCGCGGGCCACACTACAACTTCATGGTATCTTTGCTCTCCGAGCTCACGAACCATCCGCTGGCATGGCCGTTCGCTGTGCCCGTCAACAAGGACGAGGTGGGCGACTACTACGACGTGATCAAGGAGCCCATGGACCTCTCCACAATGGAGCTGAAGCTCGAGAACGACAAGTACGACACCTTTGACCAGTTCTTGTACGACTGCAGGCTCATCTTCAACAACTGCCGCTCGTACAATGCCGAGACCACCACCTACTATAAGAACGCCACGAAGCTCGACAAGTTTCTCACGAAAAAGGTCAAGGAGAGCGCGGACTACTCGCACTTCTTGGAACTGTGAGGGAGATGCGGCCAATGATGGTCGAAAGTCAATGAGAGGGAAGTGGAGGCCGGCGGCTTGCAGTACCCCATGGGGACAGCCACGGTGATTGCAAGTGGCCTGTCCTAGAGTATCTATCTAAGATGCACTGGTGATTCTTCAATGGTTATGGCCGGTTGTTTTTTAAGCCCGCCATTTCCGTCCACCCAGGTATGATGTGCTAAGCCCTGGCTGGACCCAGTCGGGCGGAATGGTACTCTAGCCAGAGGAACCTCCTGCTCCACCGCGCGCACCATGAGTGCTCCTGCACAATTCCGAGCAAAGGATGGTATATGCCCGAAGCAGCTCCGGCCGAGAAGACGCTAAGCAACCTAGCTTCGAACTGCAGCATTCATCCTCCCCAGCACACACTCACAAACCAAAATGGCGCAAATCTACACCAGCTCTACCTCACCCGAGGTCGCCAAGTCTGTGGCCTCCTTCGTGCTCAAGCACCAGGACGAAGCCCTTGCCAAGACCGGCACTTTTAAGATTGCCGTGTCGGGCGGCTCCATGGGCAAGGTCTTGAAGGCAGGGTTGGTCGACAATGCCGCGGCAGCCGGCAAGGTGCAGTGGGAAAAGTGGGAGATCTTTTTCTCGGACGAGCGTTTGGTGCCCTTGGACCACGCGGACTCCAACTACGGGCTTTTGAACGAGTCTGTGCTTAAGTTCTTGACGGGGGCCAAGCCCACGGTCCACACGATCGACGCCTCGCTCCTCACCGGCTCCGACGGCCAGATTGAGGGGGCCGACGAGCAGAAAGACGAGGCCATTGCCAAGGCGTACGCGGAGATGCTCCCTGCGGACGGCAAGGTGGACTTGGTTCTCTTGGGATGTGGCCCCGATGGCCACACATGCTCGTTGTTCCCGGGACATGCGTTGTTGAAGGAAAACGAGAAGCGCATTGCGCTCATCCGCGACTCCCCAAAGCCTCCACCAAGAAGAATCAGTTTCACGTTCCCCGTCTTGGCCAACGCCGGTGCCATTGCTTTCATCGCCGAGGGCGAGGGCAAGGCGCCAGTGATCAACGAGATTTTCAACGACGCACAGTCCGAGTTGCCCTGCAAGCTCGTGAATGGACTCGGCGTACCGGTGTCGTGGTTTGTCAACGACGCGGCGCTCACCGGGATCAGTGTGCCCGCGTCCAAGTACTAGACGCAGCCATGCACGCAGGAGCCAGGCCGCCTGGCGTTGTTTGTATCATCCACACGTACTCCGGTGAGAAATAAAAGAGCGAACACACAGGAGCGAATTGCAGAGCCCAAAGAGCAGATGGGGTTTATGACTTGTCTGTCTCTCCATCGACCAGTCCGGTCGAGAACAGTAGTGCCATCTGCGCGGCCCCAGCTGTGCTACCAGCGCGGCCCTAGTAATGGTATTCGCGCGGCCCCAGCTGTGCCAGTAGTGCGGCCCCACGGCCCATACAACGGGCGCGCAGCACCAGCCACCGTACCACTAGTATCTTCAGAATGGGTATGTTTCTGCCACCCAAAAGACGCCTGTCCACAAAGACAGCACTGCGGGACGCGGCCGCTACTAACACACACGGTTTAGGCGTGGCGCTATGGCTTTGCCCCAAGAAAAACACCCCACTCTACGACAAGCTCCAGGTGCTCATGAACTCGCTCTCCACCGTGTTCCCAGGCCTGCCCCCCAGGTTCGAGCCACACATCACCATCACCTCCAATGTCGCGGTGGACTTGGCCAACGCCAAGGATGACGTGGACCGCATTTTGCTGGCATGCTGCATCGCGCTCGACTCGCTTCCTCGCGACTCCTCGGACCCCCATTGGATCCACTTGGGCCGCGTGGCCAGCCAGAAGAGGTTCTTCAAAAAGCTCTATTTCCAGGTGCTCCGCGACCCGACGCTCGTGTCGTTTGCCCGCATTGTGCGCGAGCTCTTCGTGGTGCTCCCGGAGCGAACCGAGCTGGAGCACAAGGTCAAAAACCCGCACTTGTTCCACACTGACCATCTGGGCAACATAGTGCGCCGCAAACCGGGGCTGCGGGCCCGGGGGCACCCGCACGTGGACGCCGCGTTGGACCACGCCAAGATCCAGAGCGAGCTGGCGCACGAGGCCGCGTCCTGGTCGGCGGCCGAGTTCGACCCGCATCTTTCTTTGGTATATAGCGACTTGCACCCGATCGACAACGCGTTGTGGCACACGATCCGCTCGCGCGTCTCGGACTACCTCTCGTTGGAGGACTGTGACCTGGAGGAGTGGGACGTGCGAGGGAACGGGCTCTCGTGGGAGGGCGGGGTGTTGAAGTTGGTCCTCTGCGAGGGCGACGTCAACGAGTGGCCTGTTCTCGGCTCGGTGGACCTACACATGTGAGACCGAGATGCATTGGGGGGTCTGCCGCCTGGTCCCTGTGCCCTTGTGGGCTGGCCGGGGCCTGGGTCTCGATGGTTAATAGACAATAGAGCGTCTCTGGAAACGGTACTGCCGTGTATGAGTGCCGTGGTCCTTGGGCTCGCATGCCTGCTACGGGAAATAGGCCACGTGAGCACCGAAACATAATGGTGTAGTTATGTTGTGGAGTCACGGCCGTGAGTTGGCATGGGTCTGGGGCCTGCACCATGTCATTGTTGCATTGCAAACAGCACTCGGGGTCTTGGGATGACTCGCGTGAACAAGGCAATTCATTTTTTTTTTCTTAGCGACAGACATCATTCTTCCACTGCAGTCTTTCCACCGACGAAATCGCCAACAACGAGACGCACGGATGCTTTCCACAGCCACCTCTACAACAAGGTGGCACCGCCCAATGCCGGTGGCAAGGGCTCGGATATGCCTAACCCATGACTTTGAACGAAGTACTGGCCCTGGCAGACAACTGCTTGGAGAACCCAATAGCTATATTTGGCTCGTCGCCACGATCTTCCAGGAATACCCGAGGACTTGCGAGTCGCCGAAAATTAGCTCCATGAGCCCCTTCCACCATCTAATTTGAAGCGACAGCCACAGGAGACTATCTTCTGAGCTGGTGACGTGATGTGAACAGATGCATGACGAGCAGATGGCTGAAAGTGGCCCCGTCTCATCTCTGCGTAGAGAGACCGATGTGGAATCCCGATTGGCACGAATTTGAGCCACCGGAAACTCCATCGAAAGAAGGATTCGACTGACTCTAATTCGGCCTAAAAGTGTCGTACTCCTCTGGACTTCTCCAATTCAGAGGTCTTACGGCTACATTCTACATCACTTATAATCACCCGACATAATACAGCGCAGGAGAATTCCAAGCAACACAAATCTTCACAACGCCCCAGAGCATCACTCTCCATAATAACCTAGGCCCTGAACACGAGTCTTTGCCGTAAAAATGTTTTCCTTCAGTATCATCCCAAAGAATCCAAAACCATACCTCACATCCACCATGAGAATTCATGCAGCCGCGTTTCGGCACTGGGTCCGTATAGCTGGTTCTAGAATTCCATATAATATTAAGTAGTCGTGCTCATTTGATCAAATGAATCTGCCAACAAAGCTATGCCGAAAGGCCAATCCCCCTATTTTTGGCAACAATTGTGCATACACTGCAATGACATGATTGAATTTGCCATGACATACAGTATTTGCAATTAACAAAAATTACCGCACCAACCACCGTTTCCGTAAACATGCTTTCTCCTCCCAAAAATCGAATATGAAAGCAGTGCCCCCGTAAGTTCCCCTCTCAGAAATCCTCATACTAAGGAGACGATTGCAGAAAATAGCGACGTAGTCCTCCGGAAAAAACGTCCATTCATAAGCATTTGCATCTCGATGGTCTCGTGGCACCATCTCCTCTACCGCGCAAGCGCAACGCGCAATGCGATCTCCAGTGCCAGAATTCCAAACCTCGGCCCCACCAGAATGACGGAGTCGCTCTCGAAATTGGCCCTCAAGGGCTCCTCGAAAATCGTGGCGGACTACTTTGAATTTGCCATCCACAGCATATTGTTCCAGCGGGGCATTTATCCGTCGGAGGACTTCATCACCGTGCGCAAGTATGACTTGCCCATGCTCTTCAGTGCTGATGACGAAGTCAAAGCGTATATCCGCAAAATCATGGACCAGGTCAAGAAGTGGATCTACGGGGGCAGGCTTTCCAAGCTCGTTGTTGTGATCATCAACAAGGCCACCACTGAGAGTTTCGAGAGATGGGAGTTTTCTTTAGATACAAGCGACGATGTAGATACACAGGTCTCCAAAAGCAGGGCAGACATCCAAAGGGAAATCCAGGCCATCATTCGCCAGATCACGGCCTCCGTGTCGTATCTTCCTTTTCTAAAGGACGACGAGTATACTTTCAATGTGCTTGTGTACACAGACCCATCGTACGAAACAAAAAACATCCCTTGCGAATGGGCCGACACCAACGGAGACGGCAAGATGATCGAGGGAGACGCGGATGCCGTGCAGTTCTCTACATTCCAAACGACAATGCACAACGTGGGTACTTCTGTCAGCTACAAGTTGGGATAAATCACCCGAGTAAGACTTCGAGGGCCAGGCGACTGGACGCCTGGGTATTCAAACACACAGAATGTGGTGGCTGGTCCAAATTTTTAGCAGACAGGGCAGGGCATCGCCGCACTGTGCCTAGCGGTTACACCTTGTTGGGCTTTGGCGGACGCAAAATGGCAAACTCCTCCTCAAACCGCCGCCTCTTGTTGCCAATCATGAACCGCGCAGCGCCTTTGCTCCCAACTTTATAATCCCATTTGCGCAAGTAGTTATCCTGCTTGAGCAAGCCGTTGGTCGACACGGACTGCTCGCTGAGAATGGTCAAGTCGTTGAACCGGGACTTGAGCCCCATGAACTTGAAGATCTGTTCCTTGCCCGTCTCGGCGTTCACCGCCGGTAAGTAGTCGTTCAATACCAGGAACTTCATCTGGTGCACGTAGTAGTCCAAGACATAGACTATGCCCTCGTTGACCAACAGCTCGGGGCACCGGAAGTCTCGCATGGAATCGATGTTCTCCAAGACACTGCCGGTTTTTTCTAGGTCGCCAATGTCCCCGTATTTCGAGATCAAGTCGACCGGCTTGAGGTTCAACGTCACAATGACTATGGCCAACGCAATACAGTGGGGCGGAATCACAAGCGAGAGCGGCGTGGACATGATGTCGAACGCCACGAGCCATGCGAAAAACGTGGGTTTATAGTCCAAGCCCAACTGCTTGGCAAACATGACAACCAACTGGTCCACAGATGGCACGTTTGCGGCCCCGCTGAGAAAGTCGAATTTGAGCACCTGGAGCAATTTGAACTCCAAGCTCATGATGACCTTGCGCTGGATCTCGAGCACCGTGTTCGACGAGTTGCTAAGGTTTCGGTAGTGGTTTCTGGACTCGCCATCGATGTCCCTTATCTTGTTGGCCACGTTCTGGATATCCCGGAGTTTTTTGATGCAGTCCTCGTTCTTGGTGGCAAGAAATAGACATGTGTATGCAACCATGTACGGGTCCTTTTCGAGCTCAACCAAAGGGTCGTTTTCGGGGTTCATGTCGGCCTGCTCGTCGAAGTTGTTGAACAAGTAGTAGCGCTGGTAGTAGTTCATCAGCAAGCTCAAAACACGTAGCGGGAACTTCAAGGTCTTGATGACCTGGAAGAGAAACTGGTACATTTGGTGTTTGCGCTGGTTGTATGCGATTTTCTTATTGTCTGGGATGGTACTGGCATGGAGATACGAGAGTTCTGCGTGCGAGAGATATGGCCGCGACACCTGGAGAACGGTGGGCTTTTCCACCACATGCCGATGCTGCGACGGCGTTCCGGGGGCCTCGGCGGCGGGTCTTTTGGTGTCTGCCATTTTTTGGATCTTTTGGTGCTGGAGATGGCTGGGACATGGTGGAACGCCAGAAGCACGCGGCACGTTGATGTGCGCGGAGGTACGGGTGTAGGCGCTCGCCGGCTACATGGACAAAGCTTATGGCAAATGCGTTTATTTGACTTTTACATACAACTCATTCAGAAAGGCGCAGTGTCTGTGCTTAAGCAGCGAAGGACAAGGAAACACCCAACTTGTGGACAGGCTCAGCCAACTTCAAGGCGTCGAAAGAGGCACCCAAGCCCAATCTGACGCCGGGTCTCAATTCCTGGGAGTAGGCCAAGGCGGTCAAGCCGGAGTCGGCGATCTTGGCCTTGACGAAAGCGGAGGAGTCCAACTTGTACTTGGTGGCGAACTCGACGTTGACGTTCTGGGACTTGACGGAGTCCCAGGTGGCCTTGGCGCCGGCCTCGACGAATGGAGACACCTTGTGGAAGTAGGCGGCGGTGAACACAGACAAGTTGGAGGTGGAGGTGACGCCAACGGTGTACAATGGGTTGGCGTAGCCCACACCGACGGAGTACTTGTTGAGCTTGGCGGAAGCAATGTCGTAACCCAACTCGGCGCCGGCGGTGAAGCCGTCGTGGGCCACGGCCAAGTCGGCGGTGGCAACAGGGCCCTTGAGCAAGTCAAAGAACAATCTGGCGTTGACGGCAGACTGCTGGTAGAAGAAGTTCAACTTGGCGTTCTTGGCACCGTTGGGCACCACGGAGGTGTCCAACTCACCCTTCAAGCCTGGGGTCAACAACTCGGACAACTCGATCTTGGTGTTCAAGGTGTTGGAGTTGTTCCAGCCCTCGGTCAAGGTCAAGCCGGTGGCCTTGTCGGCGTACTTGGCCTCGACGGAGGCGGCAATGGCGTTGTCCTTGGCGGTCTTACCCTTGACGGTGAAGGCCACGCCATTTGGGGCAACGGTCTTGACGTCGACGGCGGCAGTGGACAAGTGGAAGAAGTCCTTGTTCAACAAGTCGTTGGAAGCCTTTTGGAGGTCGGAGAAAGCAACTGGAGCCATTTTGGTACGGAGGTGTATAGTCGGGGAAGTTTTTTAAAAACACCTGCTTCGCGGGGGCGGTGGGTGCGCGCCGCTTTATATACGCTCCACGGAGGTTGGGGAGCCAACCACCGGCTCCTGCAGAGCGGGCGCGTTTTTTTGGGCTTTTTCGTGATTTTCGACGCTCTCGGCCGCGCCGCGAACTGTGGAGAATGGATTGCCAGATCACGGGCCGGGCAGGCGAGGGGAACTGGGGGTCAAGACAAATATTTGATATTTTTTTTTTGGGGGTGGATGTAGCTTTAGTACGAGAAATCAGTGAGTCTGCGCACGTGTGTGTTACCCGTGGCAGCGCTGTTTTTTTGTTATATTCTCGTGCACGTGGAAGGAGAGTAATTAACTGTTGGTGGTGGCGGAGTTAGCCGCTAGCGCCGAGGCGCCCGGACACAACAAAAGGCAGAGCCTGGCGCCACGACCTCGCATCCCAGAATCCCAGCCAAGCGAAGCCAATTCGGATCTGGGTTTCTGTCTTTTTGGGCCTGCCTGAGTTTTGGGCGGCGGCGGTAATGCAATGATTTGATTTGAAGACATGCTTGGTTTTGTGGTGTCTGCTTAAGGCGGTGTCTTGGATTGAGCCATGATTTGTGGCTTGATTTTTGCCTGAGATTTTTGTCTGGGTTTTTTGCCTGAGATTTTTGCCTGAGATTTCTGTCTATGAGTTGTGCCTATGAGTTGTGCCTATGAGTTGTGCCTATGAGTTGTGCCTATGAGTTGTGCCTATGATTTCTGTCTAAGATTTCTGTCTAAGATTTCTGTCTAAGATTTGTGCCCATGATTTGTGCCTCAGATTTTTGCCTGAGATTTGTGCCCGAGATTTGTGCCGAGATTCATGCCTTGAGAGCTGTGCCCTATTTGTCCGTTGAGCTGCTTATTCGTCCCTTCAATTGTGCGTGAAATTAGTGCCCAGGTTTACGCCCCGGATCTGTCCCTGGCTCTCTGGTGCCCTTCCTTGTGCCTTGCTTCGTGGCCCTATGGCTGCGTGCTGCTGGACGGGGGCCGTTTTTATCTTTGGCTCTGGCGCTTCCACACGCAGTTGCAGCAAGTAAATGGCCCGGGCCTCGCGGCGCTGGCAGCGCTCATACGCCTGTCAATCGGCGATAAGCACCAGGCCGCCCCGCACATCTATGCAGAGATCACGCTCCCTCCAAGAGGACGGCTGGGCTGCTGCTGTATGCATTGCAGGCCTTGGCAATGGCAGGACGGCGTTCCGGATTCTGATTTTCTTTGTTTTCCCGTCTGCCAAAACCCGGGTCCCAATCCTCCGCTCTGCCTGGAGCAATGCGGGCCGCACGAAATTAGGGCGTGGTTGGCGCGGCGCCACGCCACGTTGCGAGGCCCGGTTGATTGGCCCGTTCCCCGGATTTGGCCCGTGCGCACGTGCGCACCCGTTGCGGGCTGGGATAGATGAAGCATGTCTGGATGTTCGGCCGTCGCCGAGCCGACTGATTTTCGGCCCTGGGGTTTTGGCTCCTTAGGGAGGCGCCAGCAATGGCAGCGTTTTCGAAACGGCACAAAACCCAACTGCTCTTGCGACCCCACGTTTGCTTCTCTCCACGCCCTTGGGGCAGGCCTCTATATTAGGGCCCTGTCGCGGGCCGCGCCTTTCTGGCTGCCCACCAACTGCACAGCCATGAAGTTTGTGGTGGTGAACTCATGCCCCAGCACGATCCGGTGTTTCCGGAGCGCCTTTGTGGAAGTCAGCAAGGCCCTCCCCAGACACATTGGCCTTGAGTGTTTCCAGGGAAGCCTAGCCGACTATGTGCACTCCCTGCACTGTCCGGAGAACCAGAACACGGCCGTGGTGTCGCCCGCCAATTCCCTCTGTTTCATGGGCGGCGGCTTTGACCGAGGAATAGCAGAGTTGCTTGGCGAGCGTGGTTCTGGGTACCGCGCGGTTGAAGCGGCCATCCAGAACCACGTTCTTTCCAGACACCACGGGTTTGTTCCGCCGCAAGCCTCCAGTGTGGTGGACCTCCAGGAAGCACTAGGCGGGGGCCACGCGAGCGGCTCCAAAATCACGCATCTCGTCCTAAGCCCGACCATGGCGGTGCCGGAGAGAATCTCCTACACTACGGTCTTCTACTGCATGTGGAACACGCTTTTGGCAATGGACGGCCCGTTCGACACGGTGGTCTTGCCCGCGATTGGCGCCGGGTACGGAGGCGTGCCTGCAGCCGTGGCGGCGGCCACCATTTCCGGTGCCCTCGGGCTATTCTACATGAGGATGGGCTCGCCGTTGAACCGCGGGGCCGCGGTGTTGCTTTTTCTCCGCAAGGACTACCGGGCGCTCGGGATCCCCGCGGACATAGCCCGCATCGAGTCTGTGGTGGCGCACAAGGAAGAAGCGATTTCTGGCGCCAAGAATCACGGGCCCGCCGAGCACGAAGGGCCTCTCGAATGGCGGGAGCTCTCCCGTATTCTCGACTCACTCGGCTAATCTCGTATCGGATGGCGCGCGTCGAGATCTGCAGGCGCCATGCGCGGCACGCTGACGGGTGGAGCCAGTGATTGCGTGGCTCCAAGCCGAAGCCAAGTGAACCACCACGGACTGTTTGGGCTGATCTCGCGTTTGATATCTGTGAGAATCCGTGATCGTTTTTGAGAAGGCCAGACCTCCTGCAAATACACAGCAGGCAATGATGAGCGGAGCCCAGAGACAGAAGTATACCTTAGGATTCATACGGTCGGACACGAACCACGTGCTCCTTTTGAACCGGCAGAAGGCCCCATGGATGGGCCGATGGAACGGCGTGGGCGGGAAGCTAGATGCAGGCGAGAGCCCGTACGAGTGCATTGTGCGGGAGACGATGGAGGAAACGGGCCTCATGTTGCCCCAGTATGAGGACCGCGGGGTGATGCGCTGGGTGCGTGACGGCAAGGAGTGCGGAGGGGTCCACGTCTTCACGGCCGAGGTGCTGGAGGAGGAGATGCAGCAGTACCCGACGCCGCGGCGCCACTGCCACGAGGGCATATTGGACTGGAAGGCCATGGAGTGGGTCTTGCACGAGGACAACAGCGGGGTGGTGGACAACGTGCAGAGGATGTTGGTGGACTTGTTCGGCGCCGGGCCGCACGCGCGGTGGGTGTCCCGCTACGAGGGGCTGCAGTTGGTGAGCTGCACCTACAACGGGGCAGGCAGGAGAGGAGAAGTCTAATTTACAATACACACTCAGGTGGTCCAGAGGCGCGCGGTGCCGTCGGCGCCGGCACTGAACAACCAGGCCTCCTTCGGGTGCCAGGCCAAGTCCAACACGCCGATGCTGGCCACCACGCTGTGGCCCGTCAACTTCTTCAAGGGCACGAGCAACGGGTTGGTCATGAAGTCGTCGTACACGGCGCCGTGGAACACGTGGATGGAGCCGTCGTCGGACGCGGAGGCAAAGAGCGGCAACCTGCCCTTGTGGAACTTGACGGCCCGCACGGCCCGCTCGTGGTACCGCAAGGTCTTGTAGGGCGTGGCGCTCAAGTCCAAGTCGTGCCACAACACGCGCTTGTCATACGACGAGGCCAAGAGGTGGTCGCCGCGCGGGTGGATGTCGATGCCGGACAACATGCGGGCGCCCGGCTGCAACTTCTTGACCAAAACCTGCTGAGCCAAGTCGTATATGCGCACGGCCCGCTGCGAGCTGACAAAGAGGTGCGGCTTGGTCGGGTGGAACCGCGCGTCCACGATCACGCCCTTGGCCTTGCGGAACGGCGACTGCGACAAGTGCTTGGACAACTGGTGGATGAGCACGGCCGTGTTCTTGGCCTCGGGCGACACGGTCACGAAGTAGTCGCCCTTGCGGTGCCACGAGAGCTTCTTCACGGCCTTCTTGCACTCGACCACGGCCGCAATGCCGTCCTGCGCTTGGCCGGCGCTGGGCGGGTACCAGGCGGCGGCGTCGGCCCGCGCCGGCTCCGCGCCCGTGCCCGCGTCGTCGTCGTCCGAGTTGACGTTGATGTCCGTGTCCTTGCGCTTGGCGCCGAAGGTGGCGTACCCCCAGCCGGCCTCGACCTTCACGCGGGCGTTGTTCTCGATGTCGAAGCCGAACACGGGCGGCACCACGAGCAACACGCGCTCGGCCGCGGCCACGGCGAGGAGCGGCACGGCCGCGTCGGGGTGCCACTCCAACGCGTCGATGCGGTCCTCCGGGTTCTCCGCGGGGTCGATGGCCTGGATCTTGTGCACCTGTCTGCCCGAGAGCACCTCCCAGAAGCGCACCAGGCCGTCGTCCGAGCCCGTGGCCAACCACACGCCCAGCGGGTCCACGGAGAGCGTTCTGATGCGGCCCGCGTGGCCGGCGAACACCGTGGAGCAGCGGACGGGGAACGGGCGCAAGTCCTTGGGCGACGGCAAGTCGGGGATCAAGGACTCCGGGTCGATGTCCAACTTGTGGTGGCGCACGCGCGGCGCCAAGTACAAGTCCAAGCAGCGCTCGAAGCGCTCGCGCACGGCGTCGGGGTACGCGGGCACCTTGCGCAAGGCCAGGTACTGCTGCGGCACGAATGTGGAGCCGCGGTCCGCGGGCGCGGCGGCCTCCCACTGCTGCTTCTCGGCGTCGTCGAACAAGTATTCGGCGGGCGGGTTGTAGGACTCGTCGTGGGTGGGCGGCGCCACCTTGGGCGCCCGGAGGGCCATCACGTGGTCCGCGGCCGCGTCGTCGTGCTCCCACAAGTCGACGTTCTGGCGCTCGTCGTGCTGGAGCCGCTGCACCTGGCTGGGCGGGATGATCTTGCCCTCGCGGATGGCGCGCACGATCTTCATGACGCGCTTGGCCTCGTGCTTGGACGGCGCGAAGCGGCGCTTGGGCTCGGGCGCGGCGCTGAGCGGCATGACCTCGGGCTTGGCCGTGAACCACTCGATGGTGGGCTCGTAGGGGTCGATGGCCTCGGCCGTGTTCTCGTTGTTCTGGATCTTGCGGATCAACTCCAACTCGCCGGCCGAGAGCTTGAGCGCCTCGCCGGTGTTCTGGTCCAAGAGCCCGGTCCAGCCCTCGGGCAACTCGATCTGCTCCAACAACTGGTCCAACGCGCTGCCCTTGGCGGGGCGCATGATGCGCTTGCCGTTGATGTCGTAGCCGACGTGCGGCATCTCCTCGTAGGCGGAGAGCGGCACGTTGCCGATGGTGTTGAAGTTCTCCGCGTCCGAGTCGTCCGAGTCGTAGACGGGCTCGATCTCGGGCCGGAGGACCCGCGGCCGCCCGTCCGAGTACTTGGAGAGCACGCCGTTGTCATGGCCGTCGTCGAGCGTGGAGAGCGCCATGCCGCTGAGCCTGTCGTTGATGGACGCGGGCTCGGAGCCGGCGTCGGAGTCCGACTCGTCCGCCAGGCCCGCCGCCTCCTCGGCGGCGAGAAGCCGGTTCAACTCGGCCTCGTCGTCGTCGTCGTCGTCGTCGTCGTCGTTTTCTTCCTCGCCGTTATCTTCGCTGTTTTCGTCGTCATCGTCGTCATTGTCGTTTTCGTCGTTTTCGTTGTTTTCGTCCTTTTTGTTTTCATCGTCGTTTCCGTCATCGCCATCTTCGTCGTCATCGTCCCCAAGATCGAGCATGCCCGAAACCTCGAACTCGTCCGCGGGCATGTCCACGGGCACGTCCGCATCGGCCTCGGGCTTCCTCTTGTTCAGCCCGGACTGTGTGTTTTTCAACGCAGCGTCGCTTTTGCCTAGTTTCGCCATGACGTTGTGGTGCTGGGGAAAGCGGAGCAGATGGAAAAATCTGTAATGAGCATCGCTTCCCGGTGCGCACTGCAGGCGGGCGCGCTGCCAGCGATGAGACTGAAGACCCGGGTTCGGCGCCTGGGCAGGGCAGGCAAAAACAACGCCAAAAGCGGCGGGGACGCCGCGACGCGCCTTGTGCCGAAAACGGCTCTTTGTAGAAAGCCCGCCGTTTTTTTATTTCTGTTTTTGGCCGGATTTCCGCCAAGTGCCCGTGATCGTGCTCCTATTCCTGTGTTGGGCCCCAGGCCTATTAGGCCTGTCTAGAGAGCCAGGCGCACTGGCATCATTTCGCGCGGCTCTCCAGAGTGCTGGCCCGATGTCAGTCTATAGTCCGAAGCCCGAGCACCGGTAACAGAGAGGGAATAAAGAAAGAGAAATATCAAGAAAGAGAGGATTTGAAAAGAGGGGATTTGAAAAGAGGGGATTTGAAAAGAGGGGATTTGAAAAGAGGGGATTTGAAAAGAGGGCATACAAAAGAGGGGAATCAAAAACGGAGGACCCAAGAAACAGAGACCCAAGAAACAGAGGACTCAAAACAGGATTCACCAAATTAGGGCCCCACAAATCATATACCATCCCGGACATCCTAAACCGCCTAGGCCATGAACACCATCCACAAGATCCTCTCCATCAACGAGAAGGAGCTACTGCTCAACGTCTCGGACCAGGCCTCCTGGCACGCCGACTACTCCGACACATCGTACATCTACATCGGCAATCTCCACGACAGCATTGCCGAAAAAGACGTCTTGGCCATTTTCTCCCAGTACGGCAATCCCACGCACATCGACTTGGTGAAGGACCGCGAGTCGGGCCGCTCCAGAGGCTTCTGCTACCTCAAGTACGAGGACCAGCGGTCGTGCGTCTTGGCCATTGACAACTTCAACGGCACGCTCATCTACGGAAAAGCCCTCAAGGTGGACCACACGTATTATAAGCTAGCAAAGGGGAAACGCGAGGATGATTTCCGGGTCGTGTATCCCGACGCAAGGCAGGACCCGAAGCCCAAGCTGATCGAAAATGCGCCGAGGCTCTTGCCATACAAGCTGGCCAGAAAGCAGGACAGCTCTGGGGAAAACACAGAGCCCGCATCCCAAGCCACAAGGGGGGGCTCCCACCACAAGAGCGCTTCCCAAGACGCATGCTCTGCGCTTGCAGACAACGACTTCTGCGACCCAATGGCTTCATTCAAGAACGACAACGACTTCTCCGACCCAATGGCGTCTTTCAAAGACACCATCCCAAAGCTCCCACTGGCCGCTGTCCTGGGACTAGAAAGCGCAGTGCACAACCAAAACAGAGCCAGCAGTAGACTCGGGTCTGGGAGGGACAAAAAGAGGTCTCATCGAGAACATAGGCACGACAGCAAAAGACACCACGGCTCAACGGAGTCTGACCCTGCGGACAAGACATAAGTGGCACACGTCGCAAAACATGGCTTATGCCTCTTTCTTGATGGAGTAATCCTGAAAGTACTCGAAAAACTTCAACTTCTCCTCCACCCCCAACTGCACATGGCACAATCCGTTCTCGACAAAAGCAGCCTGACACGCTTTCAACGATGCGGCGCGAAGCGGGACTATCTTGACCTTCACAAAGGCCTTGCTGGGTAGAGTGAGCAAGCGAGACACGTACTGAGCTTTTGTCATATGCGGCACTGGAAGAGAAAGCCCGTTGGGGTAGTATCTCAAGACCGCCACTTTCACGGGCGGATCCCCGGACTGCCAGAGCTGGGCACATGGCGGCTGCAAGGGCAAAATGGCCTTATTGTTCGACGCCGAGCCCTCCGCGAAAACTACGACCAACTTTTCTCGCATCATGTCTCTGGCATCCCCGCCGAGTCTCGCACCCTGAGTGATGGATGAGTCCAAAGGCTGGAAAAGCACGGAGAGTGCCTCCCACGCGGTAAACGTGTACAAATCCTCTTTCCAAGGAATCACCACGACCAAGGACGACAACGACTCTACATTCGAAGTGAGAAATATCACGAAAATGTCTAGCGGAGACACGAGATTCAGCACCACGACTTCCCCCACTGACGGTTTCTTGGCGTTGGTTTCATTGGCGTTGGATTTCCGTACCCCTTCAACCAGCAAATCAATATCCGCAATGGAAAACAAGCTCCTGAAAATGATCCTTGTGGCTGCTTTGGGGGCCACCGACGCAAATAGATACAAGGCGACAAAAAAGGGCCATTTGAGCGCAAGAATCACTGGGTTCACCACGTACTTCCGAGCAGCCGATACCTTGACTTCGACCGGATAGAACGGCGAAATCCCGGTGCCTTTGTCTCTCCAATTGCTGAACTTTTCCATTGGTAAGACCTGCCTGGGGAGCGTACTTCAAAGCTTTGGAGAAACTCGCTGACTTCAAAGTGCATACGACCTGCACGTGACCGTCGATATCCGCTTGGCCTGCACCGGCAACTGAGCGTACTATGAACAACATAGAAGGGACTCTATATCCATAGTCTTACAATAAGCGAGTTTCGACCCATATTTCTCGGAAGGGAACTCTTGTATTTTCCATTCAAAACATCACGCTGGATTCAGTGACCATGGCACTTTTTGTCGTACCCCAGCACTGGCTGCGAAAAGTATCAAGAATATTAAAAGCTGTGCGTCAAAATGAATTGCGCAGCTCGTACGACTTTAGGTAATACTGGAGCAGCAACAAAAAAGGCCAGGTTCCAAAATCCCGGAAATTTCCAAAAGCATGACCTATGTTTTTGGTGAAAACAACAGAAACATTCAATGATATCTGATTTGACTTCTGCTGTCCTTGAGGGGTTTCCACCAAGTGCTTCTCAACGCAACATTGTTGTCTTATTCAAGAACGAGCACGTATTAGTCTCTCTATTTTTGCGTACTAGACGGAGAAAATGCTTCTGAAAATGCCGTATTTGTTGACGAGCGGAACATTGCAAGAAAACTTCATTATGTAAGCTTTCGTTTGTCGTTTGCGTTGCAACACACTGTTTGCCTCAGTATGGTCGCTTCGCGTAAGTGGGTGCATCAAACAATGAGACCATGGTTATATAAATAGACCACCTCTGAGTTTATTTTTCCCCTTATATTGGTTTGACCTTGAAGCCGAAAATAAGCATACATCCCATGAATCATCAGGAGCGGTCCCATGCCCTTCTCTTTCTTGAGTGCCTATGAATAGTACATATGCTATTGAACAGACCTTAGCTCTAAAAAGTTGAATGGTTTCAAAATGTCAATTTCCACCTCTCATGCGCGAGAGTGTCAAAAAAATTTCTTGACGAGCAATATGAAATCATCACGATTATTTTTCTTGGCTTGCTGAGCTTTTATTAATTTTTTTTGAGCTCAGGTGCTCTGTTTTAGTTGGTATAAAGCGGTTCCCACTTGTAGAAGTCCAAAATCCCTTCAGAAATCATACAGACAATGATTCTTTTTACCCAAAGCGCGTTGATCTTCAGCAGTTTTATTTTCGCCAATGTGGCCTTTGAGAATCCCGCCGCTGTATCAGGATTGTCAGACACTGGAGACTTCCCGGCTTCTCAGAATTTGCCTGGTGACAGTCAATTCATAAATAATTCTGGGGCTGTTGATAATGATGGTGAATACCAGGAAACTTTGTCAGTAGCCTTGATTATCGACATGCTTGTGGGAAATTTGGATGCCCTTGGTTTGAGATGGCTAGTCGAAGAAGAATATTTCTCCAAATTGCGGCAGAAGGCAACAGACAGAGAGTTGCACAATCCTATAGGTGTCACTCACCGGGTAGTTCGGAACCGTCTCCATAGATCAAACTTGGGCTACCTTGCGAAGCAAAGAAACCCAAGGCTCCCAGCATATAAACGCAATGCTGGTGAAATTTTCGGAGGTGTCGAGGAGTATCCCGATAAATACACGCTAGTGAGTGCCGTCAGCGGGAACAGCGAGTCCTTTCCGTCAACCATGGATTCTAGTGTCTTGTGCGAACAGATGAATAACTTACTATATGAACTTTACAACACTGTTGAAGACAAGTCAGTGGCCTCCATGAAATATTTGGCTGAATGTGCATGGTTTACCCTTCTCGAAGAAACAGACACCCCTGGATGCCTTTCGACGCTACAGGCATCTATTAGCCCAAGTCTCAGTATCGAGATCTCTAATATTGGGCTGGCTTGGGCTGGCTTATACCGGAATGGAGTACTCGTCCAGCAAACAGGACTCCAAGCACACGAAGAAAATTTTCAGCAGCAGCTTTGTCACGAAGTCGACGAAATATTGCCCGACTATGTGTACTCTGTCAAAGAGATTGCGGAGTACACGTGGCAAGCTCGGCCAGACGACACCTTTATTGTTGTGTCGGGAGGTGTTCGAGAGGTGTTGAGCGTGCCCGAGATCAGAAACGCGTTTTCCAAAATCAAAAGTCTAGGTTCTGTAGCAGAGCCTTTCTTGGATGAGGACGACTTTGACTTGATCAGCATGGGAATCGTGAAGGCAGCAAGAATAGCCTCTGGAGATCACCCAAAGGATGATATGCTCGCGATTGTGATTGGTCTTGAAAATCCAGAGGATACTTGAAAACGCCCGGAAGACCCTGATTTTCCGAAGCCCAGGCTTTTTCTGCACAACATTGTTTTCCTTTCCAGGACACGCGGCATGTGGTTTCTCGTCTTGACTTGAACATTTTTCGCAGCAATTTCGAATATGAGACAAGAACAAGACTGAGCAGGCAGCAATTGTTTCGAACCACACAGTGGGAGGTTTTAAATTCAAAAAAGGTGAGTGGTAAATCGAAATTCAAAGACAAGACTACCCTAAGAAAGAATGTGGTTGTGATTGAAATCGAGCTAGTAAGCCAGAATGTAGCAGAAGACACTGCGTGATAACACCACCAAAAAGGCTCGGCAAATTTGACGGCGTAGCCAGGTGAGACAGCGTCCATATAGCTTTATTCAATCGACACAAAACAGGGTGCAACGGTGTCACGTTTTGGGTAAGAAATCGGTAGAAGTGAAGCGTGGTCCAGTATACGGTAATTACGCCCGTGCACCCCGAAGACTGGGGTAAAGGCTCCAGAGCGTGTTTGTACACGTCTGGCCACTAGACTACGATTTCTAAAGCAATGGTCTAGCTTTATGCTTGTGACGTAACAGAGACGTCTACAGCAGGAAATGGGAACAAATATATCTTAACATTATATTGACCACATACTAATATACACAACCACAAGGCGACCATTACGCCATTGTGTCAATTATAACATAGGAACGAGGAAAAATCAATTTTCTCAAACGTAGCCCACTTACAATTCCTGGGAAGCCTTGGCGGCAGCCTTCTTGGCTGGCAACAAAGATTGGTGGATGTTTGGCAAAACACCACCCTGGGCAATAGTGACGTGGCCCAACAACTTGTTCAACTCCTCGTCATTTCTGATGGCCAATTGTAAGTGTCTTGGGATGATTCTGGACTTCTTGTTGTCTCTGGCAGCGTTACCGGCCAACTCCAAGATTTCAGCGGCCAAGTACTCCAACACGGAGGTCAAGTAGACTGGGGCACCGGAACCGACTCTTTGGGCGTAGTTTCCTTTTCTCAACAATCTGTGGACTCTTCCGACTGGGAAGGTCAAACCAGCCTTGGAAGATCTGGAAGTGGATGCTTTCTCAGTAGAACCTGCTTTACCTTTACCGCCGGACATTATGTGATAGTTATTTTTTTGTTATAAGTGAATAGATGAGAAATCTTTTGTTGCTCAGCACAGGTGCGGTTCGGTTTTATATAAGCTTTTTTCCCTCGCTCGCACGCCACCTGGGTGATGCGCGCGTCCTCTCCACGAAACCACTGTTGTGCTCTCCTCCTGCACACAGAGGCGCGGAGTGCTCTTCACGCTATCTCCAGACTCTCCTCCGCGTCCGAGTCCCATACTTACGCGCGCGCAGCTCTGTGCTGGTAGTTACGCACCTGTCCCAGTATTTCCCAGCACGCCTCCCCTGGTTCATTTGCACCAGTCCAGGTGAGCGGCTATCAGATACTGCCAAACAGCAGGGCCCACGCCAAGTCCCAGAAGAGCCATGCCACCACCATTCGAGAATCACATCTAATAAGCAACTAGCTAACGGAATCGACAGGGTGTGCATGTAGGCCACTGCTGGCGGACAAGGGCGGCGGCTTGCAATGCAACACGGGTCAGTGCCGCATGTGGACACGTCGTGTCGTGTATCGTGGGTTCTACACGTATCCTGAATTTTGGCGGCTGTTTTTTTTTATTTTTTTTGTTCCCAATAATTTCTCGTTTTTCGGTCCACGCCTCCAAGCCAGGGCGGCACGGATGGCCGCGACGTGCAGTTTGCGCTAGGGCGAGGACGTGTTGCTGGAATCGCGTGGGGCCGTTCTGGCGGGTGATTGGAAGAGCGCGCGCGGACGAGGAGTGTGCTGGAGTTTACACCGTGACGTGCACATGTGAGCACGCGAGTGATGTTCGTTTGGGCGCGCCCGTGCACTCGGTTTGCAGGAGCGCGCACTGGAGTTTCTCCCACGCAACGCGATTCCGGCCTGCACGCCCGCTTGTGGCAACCAGTATATAATTTGAGGCGAATCCCCGGTTGACTGCAGAACTCAACTAGTTTTCACACAACTACTTTACTAATCTATAATCATCAACAATGGCTCCAAAGGCAGAGAAGAAACCCGCATCCAAGGCTCCAGCTGAGAAGAAGCCAGCCGCCAAGAAGACTGCCTCTTCTGGTGAGCCAAAGAAGAAGTCCAAGACCAGAAAGGAGACCTACTCTTCTTACATCTACAAGGTGTTGAAGCAAACCCACCCAGACACCGGTATCTCTCAAAAGGCCATGTCTATCATGAACTCTTTCGTCAACGACATTTTCGAGAGAATCGCCACCGAGGCTTCCAAGTTGGCTGCTTACAACAAGAAGTCCACCATTTCTGCCAGAGAAATCCAAACCGCTGTTAGATTGATCTTGCCTGGTGAGTTGGCCAAGCACGCTGTCTCTGAGGGTACTAGAGCTGTCACCAAGTACTCTACTGCTGCTAACTAATCATGATGTTAAGGTATGACGGAGTTGCGGGGATTGTCGGAGCACTGCGTGTTTGCTGACGTCTCGTCGCTCAATTCTTTCAGTACACTGAGGTCAAGGATTGACTGGTGTAATGTGTATTTGTATATTAGTAATGGAACTTATTATTGTATTTTTCCTTCTTTTGATTTGTAATGCTTAACCTTCCCTGTCGGCTTCTATTGATTGGGTAATGCAGATTTATTTATTAAGGGATTGCGATGTTGACTGTTTAAAAAAGAGGTGAATCATTTGATTTTTTCGGGGACATCGCCATTGAAGTAGTTTATCACCATGAGACAGACTGAACAGCACCAGAAATTGAACAAGTGATGAAGCCAAAACGTATGGCGAGTCCCGTAGACGATGCAATAAACCCCCAAGTAAGCAAGACTCACAAAGGAGATTTTGCTGATCCAGCGGTCTTTGGCCTTGTCGCCCGTGTCACTTCCCAATGGAAGCGAGTTCCCGAAGTAGCTGCAAAGCTCGACCATCGTTAGAACCGGAGCCACCGCGAGGAAATTGTGATGCGACGAAAAAGGCGTAGCCCAACTGACGTTGAGATTGTGCACGAACACAATCAACACGGGTATGTTGATGGGAAGCACCCATGCCATCATCATCAATATGCTCATGTTGAAGTTCCAGCACGACCTCGAGGGATTGTCAAGTAGAATTTTGATGCACGTGGTTGTGTGAATGACGAATGATATGACGTATGCAAATTGGTAGGGAAGGTAGAAAGGAATGAGAAGGAGAAGAGCCGCAGACGCAACGACCTTCTTTCCCCAGGTTTTGCCCCTTGGGGCAGGCTCTGTTTTGGGGCCCAAGCCAGGGCGAAGAAAAGCACTTAATCGCGCAAAGACATTGATCAACCCCACGACGAGGAGACCGATGGTGGTGAGAGCGTGGTAAGTCAAGAAGTTGATGCCGATGGCCATGATATAGAACATGGGCCCGATGAACGCCAAGCAGTTCTCCTCCAAACCGAGATAGAAGGAGTTCAATCGGTAGCCATCTTGTATGCTCAAGTTGATCTCGTTGGGATCTTGGAGAACGACTGGATCCACGAGGTTCAACGCATACTGGACAGCGCGGATTTTAGTGACGGGAGACAAGACCCACAATGCCAAGAGCGTGGGGACAAAGATCTGCACGCTGCAGACACTGGATAGTCCATACACGTAGTCGGGAAACCTCCCGGAGACGCTGTATTTGCGGAACTGGAGTATTGCGACCAACACAGTGACGGCGAGGCAGTGGGAGACGACCGCGAGGCGGTAGCGCACAACAAGGAGCCTGAGGCTGCCGAGCCAGTCGACGGAGATGGCCAACTCGACCGCAGCGACGTTGTCGTCGGACCAGCCGCCTTGCGGGTCGGACCAGAGCTGCAAGTTCAAGCCCAGGCCAGGTTTGTAGCTCGGGAAGGGCGTGAAGGGCGCCACGCCGTGCATGGTGACCAGAAGCGTGGAGCGGCCGCGCAACTTGATGAGCCACTTTGTTTCGTAGGGGTCCTCGACCCACTGGCGGATGAACGGTTCGAAGAGGGGCCCGCTGGTCTCCTTGAGGTCCACCCTGTACGCCAAGAGACTGGACCAGGCGCCAGGCACGTTGAGATTGACGGCGAGCGGGCGCGTGGCGAGCAAGGACACGTCGGCGCCCCTGGTGATGAGCGAGAGCATGTCCGTGCCCACGACGTACGTGGAGGCGTCCCTGGCGCTGGTCTGCGCGACCATAAAGCCGTCGTGCGCCCCGGCGTGCTCGCGGTTGGACACCACCAACAAGGTGTCGAAGTCCCGGACGTCGTCGGAGGAGAGGTGCGCGGCCCAGAACGGCGCGGCGCCGCCGTCGAACGCCGAGTCCTCGAGCGAGGCCACGTGCGCAGACGACTTGGGGATCTCGTTGTAGCGGGCGGCCGCGCTGGCGCACAGCAACTCCATGAACTCCTTGGTGGCGGGCCCCGTGAGGTCCACGGCGGGGGCCGCGTCGGCGGCCGCGGCGCCGCGCTTCTTGCACAAGAACACGCAGTGGGGCGCCGCGCGGATCTGCGCGAGCGGGTCGCCGGCGGGCGGCGCCGTGTCGGTGAGGAGCAGCGCGGTGGACGCGGCCGTGAGCGGCAAGAGGCTGAAGGCAAGGGCGCGAGGGGACACCGGCGCGGAGGACTTCCAGATGGCCGTGGCGCCGCTGTGGAGCACGGCGTCTTGCACGTCGAAGCGGAGGGAGAAAAGCGCCTCCCGACCGGCGCGCGAGCCTTCGGGCGCGGCCTCGAACCCCGAGAGGAGGTTCTGGCGGAACACGGCCATGCGGTCATGGAGCGGGCACACACGCAGCGGCGAGGCGGCGTCGACGATCTGCAAGAGCGCACGCAGCACGCTGCGGCGGAGCTGGCGGCACCACACGATGGCCAAGTGGTCCATGGGCGTCCACACGCCGGGGATGCCGGAGGTGTACACGGTGAGCGCGTTGGAGGCCGGCACCACGGCGCCGAGCGAGGTGTAGTCCGCGGGCAAGATCGCGTCCGCGGCGCCGCCCGTGATGGACACCACGGCCACGTCGCGGAGCCACGCGTGGGCCGGCGCGGAGCCGGCGAACGCCGCGTGCCACACGCGGTCCGCGGCCAGGTAGAGCCTCAAGAGGTCGCCGTCGAAGGTCAACGGCGCGGCCGCGTGCGGCGCCGCGAGCGTCACGAGCGTGCTGATGGAGCCGCGCGGGCACGACGCCAAGGTGGGCATGACGCGTGCCACCACGCCGCCCATGGAGTGGGCCACGAGCATCACCGCGGCCGGCGCGTCGGCGGCCGGCGCGTACAACAGCAAGATGAAGCGCACGGCCGCGTTCAAGTACTCAGCCTGGTCGAGCAACGTGCGGCCGTGGAACGCGGTGTAGTCCTCGTTGAAGTCCGCGGCGAAGAAGTCGAGGCTGCGGCCGCGCGCGTTGTGCACCACGTCGATGTTGGCGTCGTGGTGGAGAGCGGCGCACTCGGCGGCTAGCGACCGCACCTGGCGGTACGACCCGGCGTTTCCCGGCACGAAGAGCACGGGCACGCCGCGGAGCGTGCCGAGGCCCGCGCCCACGGCGCCGGGCACGGCGTCCTTGCCCTGTTCGCGGTAGAGGTAGAGCGAGTACTTGGCCGCGTACTTGGAGTGGGACTCGTCGAACGCCTTGATGCGCGCGTACGAGGGGTACATGTACACGGGCTTGCAGGAGCTGGTGTCGGCGGCGCCGGCGGGGCGCTGGGCGTACAAGTGTGCAGTGAGGAACACGAGCGTGAGGCCCAAGAAGACGATGGGGTAGAGCGGCCTTCGTAGGCTGTCTGCGCGGAGCATGGCGGGGGGTCGGTTGTTTGGTTGGTGGTTGGTGGTGGTTGGTGGTGGCTTTGGTTGGTTGTTTTGTTTTTGTTGTGTTGTTGTTTTGGTGTGTTGTTGTTTTGGTGTGTTGTTGTGTTGTGCTGTTGTGTTGGTTTGGCGGTTCTGGTGGTTTTGGCGCCTTTGTTGGGGTGGTTTGGTGTTTTCGCGGTGGGTTGGTGGTGGGCCGGTGCTAGGTTTGCGCGCTGGGGCTGGCGGCCAGTTGGTTGGGTGCACGGTCCTTGCGCTGTTCGCGGTGAGTTTTCGTGGACCTGGGCGGATGTCCCTGGGCGCTGGGGCCGGCGCGCTGTGAGAGGTACGGGGCCGCGCGGCCCTGGCACAAAGGCCCCAGGCCCGGCGCTGCTGCAACTACGGCCAACGCGGGGGGTGGCCAGAGAACTGGGGGCCCGCGGCTGGGCTCTGAATCTGGGGTTGGTGCTGGTTGTGGTTTGGTTGTTTTTGGTTATTTCTGGTTATTTTTTGTTATTTTTGGGTGGCGTTTGGTTGGGTTTGGGGTTGGGTTTGGGTTAGGTTGGTTTTGGGGTTGGTTGGTTGTGGTTGTGGTTGGTTTTGGTAGTGCCTGGTTGAGGTGTGGTTGTAGTTGGTGTGGTTGTAGTTGGTTGTTTTTGTCTTTGGTGTTGGTGCTCCTGGGGTTGGCGCTGCTCGATTGCGGGCCGCGGGTTGTCTGATGCGCGGCTGTTTGGGGCCTGGCAATGGGCCTGGGTTCTGGGCGTGTCTCCGCTGCCGGAGAGATCAATTTTTGTTGTTTTTATTTTTGTTTTTTTTTTTTATTGTTACTGTTCCCGGGCTCAATTATCGGCTGCTTTTTTCTGGTGCCCGCCACTGCTTTGAGTTCGTTCTTCCACATCTTCTCCCCTACTTGCTAGTGCTTCATTCGACCTAATATACCGCTCATGCAGTGGCCTGGTGCCGGGCTCCACAACTACTAGGAGTAAGTGCGTTTTTCTGGTTTTTGTTTCGGAAGTTTAATTTTTTTTTCCTTGCCTTTCTGCTTGGCTCGGCTGGCTTCTCCAGATGGCTCTTCTTCTACTCGTGCTTCCAGTGTTCCTACCGGGACCTAATAAATGAGCCTGGGCGTGCGGGCAGCTACTGCGGCCATGCTTTCTGGCTTGACTATGGTGTCCTGTATTTCTATTCCTTGTTGCGTTGCTTGTCCATCTCTCCAGATCTGCTCTTTATTTTCCCTGTGCTATTCACGAGACCCACGAGCAGCGGGCCTGGCGCTCTCACCGCAGCTGGATGAGTGCGTAGTTGGCTCGTTCCATCTGCCTGTATTGAGTCTTCGTCATGTCTGCGTCGTCATTTACGTCTGCGTCCTTTCGAGCCTTTCAGTTCTGCGTCCCCTCGATGTCTCCTTCCTTTCGATGTCTCAATCCCTTCGATGTCTTCTTCCTTTCGGTGTCCACTTCCTTTCAATAGCTGCCCTCATCACCCGCGTTCTGTTTCTCAGTCCAATCCAAAAAAGACAGCCCAGCCGGCAAAACCGTGGTCGGTTTAAAAAAAAAGATTCATGGCTACCCCAAGCATGCTTGGCATGCTTGGGTGCTCCAACACCACCCACTACACCTCAATTCATAAAGCCACCTGTGTTTCTGTAGCCTCTTCTCATCGCCACAGCTGCGGCCTCACCCCTTCTCCCGCTTTGGCTCGGCTATCTCCATGTGCTTGCTGATCTCGTTGCTCGCCGTGGCCCGCACACTCACGTCATCCTTAAGAAGCCCCTTGTCTTTGCTCAACTCCACCAACTCCTTCAACTCCGGGCCCGAGAACTGGCCGTCCAACGGGATCTTCCTCACCGGCACTTTGAACCCGTCCTGGTCATAACCCGCGTGGTCTGGCCGGCCCCCTTGCGAGGGTCCGCCCAGCTCGTCGAGCATGGTTCTTTCTTTGAGGAGATCGCGTTCCACCAAGCCTTGTAGCTTCTTGAGAGTGGTGCCTCGGGTCTTGCCGTTCTCGGCCCCGGAATCTGGCTGTGCCACGATCGCAATCTTTTCTTCTTCCATACCACAATGGCTGGAGCAGCTGACTATGTTGAGTGCACCGAGAGCTCTGGTGCGTTGGAAACACTGATCTTGTGCTGCACAGTAATACTGCAAATGGGCGGGTTGCGGTGCTTTCCACAAAAGGAATGTCCGTGCTGGGTGTGATCGCACTGACGAGGTATTTGGCCCGTAGTATAGTATATTGCCGAAATGAGGACTGTATCAGATGGCTATATTGGCGGACAGGTCGGGTGTATTGTCCAGAAATTGCGACCCTATCCCGGTTGCTGGGCCCAGGATATATACGTCTGGCCGCAGCAATCGATAACGGCTGCCTGTATGCCCTTCCGGCCCCGTGCCATCACGATCCTGGGGAAGATTGCGGGGACTGCCTGTATGGAGTGGCCAGTCGGCTGAGAGCCAGTCTTCAAACCGGGTCATGACCCGTGCTACTTTGGGACCAGATGTGCAGAATACAGTCCGGCTTGCTACCCCTGAATCCCATGCTTTCGGCAACATGCCCGCATATCCATGTCGAGCCCATGTCTCACAACGAGCATATGTCTCACAACGAGCATGTCTCGCGGCGACCTGGGGTCTAGTGGCGGGCCTGCATGTAGCAGGGATCTACAAACTAATATTGCTCCACAGCAAAACTAGAACCGACGTGTACTGAATAACCAGAGACTTACATGTATTCACTGAGCTCAAACCCCAATCCTTAAACCAAAAGAAATCCTCGGGCCCCCGCTGCTGTTTCCGCGGCCCCTATGCGTGGTTCACCTTGGGGTGCAACGTGTACGAGCGATCGAGCCTGCTCCGCATCCCAAGGCAAATGAAGCACAACAACAACAACCCGGTGCCGGCCCACATGCATATGAACATGTCCTTTCCTATTGTGGCGCTGAAGCCGGCCCGCACAAATTCGTGGACTCCCTTGGCGTGGGCCACCGTGTTGAGCACGCACGCGGTGGTTGCGAAAAGAAACGCCATGAACAGCACCGTTGTCGAAGGCGAGCCAGGCCGTGCGCTGGCGGCACCTTTGGGCACCACCACCAGGATCGCGGCAAGCACCGAGAAGAGAAGCGCCACTAGGAAAAACCCGTACGCGATTCTCAGTAGGTAGTAGTAGGTGTCTCTGTTGGTGGAGAAGTCCAGTGGAAGGTTGGTGAAGGAAAAGTTGTCGGCCGGCGAATACGGGTACGCAGGTGCAGGTGCCGAGCACTCATAGACTCCGTCGTCATTTGTTTGGCAGAGCCCGTACATGGTCCACCTGTAGTTTCCTTCTAGCTCGGAGAAATAGAACCTTCGAATAACACTGCTGGTGCTGGACCCGCTGATATTGACGAAGATCATTGCCACCACGGCACCGGTGGCACAGAGAAACGCCACCAAGGAGAGGATTTGTCTGAGCATTGGGCGTTTTTTTTTTTTGTTGTTGGACGGGACAGAAGTGTGGGGCTGCGCGTCCTTGCTGGGGAATGCCGCTTCAAGAAAACGGGGCTTCTTCGTACTTATACCCTCCATTGATGCCGATATGTTCTGTTGGCATATTACTTTCGGGGCTAACAATAGCACCTGCGCCGCGCCTCCTACATAAATGACATGAGTGCGCACCGGCGCCAGGGCTGTGCAATCACCGGCGGGCGTACTGTAAAAGTGCGGGTCAAATGTATGCGGCCCGTAGTTGTTGGCAGAATCTTGTGGGAGGCATACTGCAAGCGGCAGGGCGGAGGTGGTCTGTGCAGAGTCTGTTTGGGTGGAGTCCATCCATATGGAGTCCCGCCGGGTGCATATCTTCTCGTGCGATCCGAGTTTCTGGCCGGGCTGCGGGACATCAGCCTGTATCCTGTCCAAGGCTTGAAGAGTTGTGCTGTTGTTATCGTGACCGTGGCAATGAGACCCGAACAATGGCTGACAGCAATTAGACGGGGTGCTAAGAAACCCCCGGGTCAAGAAAACTCGAGGCTGCACGACTGGACTTTCCTTGATCGCAGTTTCACATTCGGAATTTCCGCGGCCTCTTGATGTTCCGTGACTAACTTCTCACTTTCTGCATTTCGTGACATGACCAGGTGCAATTGCAAAACTGACAAAAGCGTCTTGCAAAAATCACCAAACCCAAAATAGTGCACCAAAAAACACTTCAAAATATAGTTCGACCAGCGGTCCTCATACCCCCTTTAACAAGACCCAATGTTGCTTCTGGTGTGGTTGGAAGTGGGGAAAATACGATACTTCCTCGCTTTCGGAATTTGGCGCGAGCACTTCTATCTCCGCTTTGGGCGTCGCGGCACAGGACGCCCAGAGCATATTGCGATTAGAACACTGGTTCTTGATTTCAGCGACTGAAAAAAATGACTCCGATGCAGACACGCAGATGCTGCAACAAGCAGATGGGGGCTTTGTTGCACCCATGTATGTCATCTGTTTGCTTCTCGGGGCTATTTATAGGGTGGCTTTTGCTGCGCACGGCTGCGCTCCGCAGAAATTGCAACCGAGTCCCTGCGCCGCGGGCACCGCGGACCAAAAAAGCATGAGCCATAGAACAGAACAAAGACCAGTCATAATTTTGGGGTTTCGGGTCGTTTGGAAGCCCTGGCTTGGCGGCAGGAATCCCAGGACAAATAACGGCAAGCGCCCGGCCAAAATCGCTTTTGGAAGACGCATCAATCTTTTGAAACGCTCTCTGCTCACTGGTCCCACAGGCATCTCTGTCATGGATGCGAGCGACATCCTTGAGACGCTTACTTGAACAATAGCCTTGCCTAATCGAGCCATATCCATCTGAAACCGTGCTTCTGCGATCACTTATCTGTACAATGGTGGCTTATCATGCATTCACACCAGGTGTCAGATGCCGGCTATGCTTGCTATTAATATCGTTAGCGAGAAGAGTTTCTCGGAATCTTTGTATCTGCACATACTAGTAAAATCCATGATGGTGTACCTATTATTAGGCATCAATAATTTAATTGACGATCCAGGGAGTGTATGTGCCGCAATTCTGGGGCTCTTCGGCCCAGGGTCTGCGAAAGTTGGGTTTGATCAAGAGAGAACATCATTCACTTTCTGTCGGGTTTGCCCAGTAAAATGAGTATGGAGGCTGAACCTAGACTTGCCAGAACACAGATTCCATCGAGGCACATGGAAAAATCGCAAGGGCCTCCGATTTCACCCCGCTGCATACAATTAATAACCTGAAAGTACGGGGTAGTATGCAAGCGACGTTGACTCATGCTTTCATTCGGGAAGAAGTCCTGCTTTCTATTAGAGGGGAATGTTCTTTTGGTATCGAGACTACTAGCTACACGGATGTACTAAGTTAGGGATATATCTGTAGATCAGGCCGTGGGAATCTGAACACGTCCATTGAGACTTGTTGCACGCTTCCTGGAAGCTCTCATTAGTGAGTGGCCACATACTGAGGAATAACATAAAAAATTATTACGGGGAAAAATATCGAGTTTCTGTTATCTCAGGTGGCTTGTCCCCGTCTTTACACTACTAGCAAAGCAAGACAAGTTCATGGCTTCGACTACTGCCAACAGGAAACAACACCTAACCTTGGTACATTCAGAAATCTGGGGAATACAAACGACGTTTGTAAGTTCTGACAGATATAGTGACCGACTCGAAATACCCAATTCTGGTAGATGAACGAAGAGGTATGCCGGCCCACCGTGATAGATCCGTTCTGAAATTTGAGTTGAGCTGCATGAGAAATTTTGTAGGTTTGAGGCTTTTGGAGGACAGGATGATAAACAGCATGAAATGCATAAACTGCTGGACACTGCAAACCTGACGCGAACCGCGTTACAATGAGGTGAAGTTTCTATACTGGTGCCATGGAACTGCCTATCAACAACCACAGAGATGCCCCGTTCACGGGAAGAAGAGGCGACTCCAAGCAATAAATAATCGGATCACTACGCTCTACCAGAAATGCAAATTGGAGATGGTAAATGAACCATTTGTTGCAAGGACGTGTTTCATGCATCAGAGACTCACCTCTCCAACTGCTCGGTCTCTGCAAATTTCCTTCGATACGACTGAGAGAAACACCGATTATAAAAATAGAACGACACAAGCAAACAAAGTGGTTTCATTGAATTTACACCTGTTTTCTACGGTCGCTCACGGCCTACGCATCAGATATCAAGAGCCACCGTTGCCAGATTCTAGCTTCGCTACCCCAAGCCGCGCGCATTGCCCCATACATTGCTTCCATAACATACATACCAGTATTATTGGAACAAGCGTTCTTCGAAAACACACCAGCAAAACAAATCGAGAAAATGGCCGACAACACATCAGCAGATCTTTCCCAACAAGTGCAGCAGCTCGCGGAGCTTGTGCAAAAACAGGGCAAAATCATTGCCCAAACAGGCAAGCAGCTCATGGAATTGCAGATTTCTGGTGTCAAGGCGAGAATGGCCCAGGTAGATTCGTCGCCTCAACAAAAAATTAACGTGGAGGACTTTGCCACAAATGAGGATATTGTCCAGCTCGTCTGTGAGCTTCAGGGACAGCTTGATTTCATGGAGGAGAGGTCGATTGCCAGAACGTTCAACTCACATCTCACGAAATCTAGCGACAGCACACAAAAACTCGCCCCTTTGTGCAACAGAGACGGAGCCCCTGCACCCGAGTGCTTTCCCAAGACTGTTGGGGATTTACACAGTATCGATGCTGCAGACTTGCTCCGCCTATCTGAGTTCTACGAGTTAATTATAGAAAATGAGGTGGATCCCGAGATGGAGGCGATCATGAAATCGGACACCTTGACAGCAGAGGATGCCCAGAAAATCAAAAACCACTCGCTGCAGCAGGCACCGCTCAAACAGAGAATCGAGCAATTAACGCCCCAGGACGTGGATGAGTTGTTTGATGAATTCGCAAGATTTGTGGGCGTGAGAATCAGAAGAGGTACTGAATGGTAGCTTCCGGGTCATGTTGCTACAAAGGGAATCAGAGCCCTGGGAGTCCAACTTCTTGTGGAGCCTCGAAAATGGAGACCTTACCCAACTCCAGGGAACCGACACCCCGGCCGCCGGAGTATATATTGTGTCACGTGCGTATAGCAACTCGAGGGCTTGCACCCTAGGATCACGCACCTGTATGCCGGTTTCGCGGACCAAAAAAAAAAAAACTTCTCGCACTCTCTGGTGAAAATTGAGTGAAGGAAGACTAGTACTTTCGGAACTTATTGCCAAACATCAACAATGGGTAGAGTTATTCGTAACCAGAGAAAGGGTGCTGGCTCCATTTTCACTGCTAACACCAGATTGAGAAAGGGTGCCGCCAAGTTGAGAACCTTGGACTACGCCGAACGTCATGGTTACATTCGTGGTGTCGTCAAGCAAATCATCCACGATGCCGGTAGAGGTGCTCCATTGGCCAAGGTTTCTTTCAGAGACCCATACAGATACAAGTTGAGAGAGGAGACTTTCATCGCCAACGAAGGTGTCTACACCGGTCAATTCGTGTACTGTGGTGCCAAGGCTTCCTTGAACGTCGGTAACGTCTTGCCATTGGGCTCTTGTCCAGAGGGTACCATTGTCTCTAACGTCGAGGAGAAGGTTGGTGACAGAGGTGCTTTGGGCAGAACCTCCGGTAACTACATCATCATCATCGGACACAACCCAGATGAGGGTAAGACCAGAGTCAAGTTGCCATCTGGTGCCAAGAAGATCATCTCCTCTGACGCCAGAGGTGTCATTGGTGTTGTTGCTGGTGGTGGTAGAATTGACAAGCCATTGTTGAAGGCCGGTAGAGCTTTCCACAAGTACAAGGTCAAGAGAAACTCTTGGCCAAGAACCAGAGGTGTCGCCATGAACCCAGTTGATCACCCTCACGGTGGTGGTAACCATCAGCACATTGGTAAGGCTTCTACCATCTCCAGAAACGCTGTCCCAGGTCAAAAGGCTGGTTTGATTGCTGCCAGAAGAACTGGTTTGTTGAGAGGTACCCAAAAGACCTCCGACTAAGCGAGTTGCTAATTGAAATGTATAAATAGTAATGATGCAAAAAAAAGTAATCGAAGGTGTTCTTGTCATGACGCCCCTTGTGGCACTTGTAGAGTGCTCTTGCAAGCTCTCAAGGCTTTGCAAGCTTTGCTAGTTCTGTATTCTCTGAGCTATTTGAAACTGAGCTACTTACCGAACCTTCTTCGACAGAGGGTATGATTACACATGAAGTATGTTACTGATCGGCTTTGATCTCAGACTCATTCTCAGACTTCCTCTGATTCGCCCTTCACATCAAGAATTGCTTCTTTCGATGCATTCTCTTGCTCAGAGCTCTGTATAGTGGGTTCCACAGATTCATGCTTCGAGTTCTCTTTCTCTTTCGGGGAAACTTTGGAAGCACTTACCGTTTCAGCTGCCTTTTTTGCCTCTCCCTCCTGAGCAGGCTTCTCGACTGCACGATCCTCCGCTTTCTCATGTGGGAGGTCATCCGTGTGTTCAGGCTGATCTTCTTCTTCTTCTTTGGCATCAATTCCACGATCTTCGTTCAGATAGGCCCTCGTTACAATGATCGAGTTCCCACAGCACTTTTCTCCAGTACAACTCTCAATCACCTCTTCTAGTGTTTTCAGCTCAGGGAGATCGAGAGTGATTATTGCGTTGTGGGAACGATGTTTCAAACCTCTCATCCAGCCTCTGGGCTTGAAAATTTTGATCCCAGTCGGATTGAAATCCTTGAAGATAGCCTTCAAGTCATCGTCACAGGTTTTAGCTTTCAAGCCTTTGACGAAAACTGCGTTGTCGGAGAACTTTCTTTCAACGGGGGATTGAATGAGTTCAGCACTAGAGCTTTCCTCATTATCCTCCCTAGGGTCGTCGCCTTCCTTTTTCGACAACCTCTTCACACTCGAGAGACGGGTAGGTTTTTGGCTGGGCGAATATGGCACGTGAAGCTTAATCTTAAGCTTTCTGTCCTTGAACAGTTTGCCTTCGAATTCTTTGATAAACTCTTCTGCGTCTTCTGTGGTTGGAAGGTCAGCGTAGGCAATTCCCAAGGGCTTGAACTTCAGACTGCCGAATCCCACGAAGTAGTTGGGGATAAATACATTGGTGCTACGGCTCGTTAGTACTGCGAACTGGCGCACGAGTCAAGTGGACTTTTACACTGGCGTAGTCAAAGATGGGGAGTTTAGGTAACGTACGCTTTGGTGCTAGCCAAGTATTCCCGCAACTCGTCCTCGGTGGTTTGGTAGTTGAGGTTGGAGATATAGACTTTGCTTTGAGTTGTCATTTACTATTAAGAGGCAGGTTTGCGTTGATTTTTGTTTTGATTAGTTTGCTCGATTCGATGAATGCGAAAAAGTGCGTGGCGTTTTTGTGACTTAAAATTTGAGATTTCGAAGTATGTGTTTATCAAAAATTTACAACTGGATTTTGGGATCCCTCTTATATAAGGCGCTGGCGCCTGTTTTTGCAGCCTCCCGCTTTTGTGGTGCCGTCCTACGCAGGCCCATTGTCGCAGCACAATGTCGCACAAAACCCGCCATAATGGCCGCCTATATGTAGGATAAACAGAACAGCATGAGCTCTGGCTGGTCAGGACCCTCATCAGTTTTTCTATGAGTGGCCCGAGTCACAATGGAGTCGAGAGCCTTTTCGGAATTTGAGTGCACACGAGATCTCGAGAAACCAGAGTTGGTTTTGGTTTGGGAGAAGCTCTTTAGGCCGCGGGATATAAATGAGGGTGTTTCCTCTATCGTTTCTGAGTTGATATTTTTTGCCACTTCGTACTTCGGTCTTTTGGGACGCCTATTTTCCTTCAATCTCTTTGGGTAGTCGTTTCTGCAGCTACAGTTTATTTCCTGACATATGCGGAAGGACAATGAATATTCGGTGGTCCACAAATCTATAATAGAAACTGGCCCGCCACGAAGCTCGCACGATGATTGTCCCACTATAATACTATAATGGGCTCAGAGCTGCCTATGGCTGAGATGCAATACAAGTGGTTCGGTTTCTCTTCTTTCGAAGCATAGCTGCCATGTGACATTCGTAAAAAAGTTTCATCGGGTAGACAACCTGATTTTCCTACCAGAAAGACAACCTGATATTTTCTACTAGACGGAAAACTGATTCTGTATCTTGAAACCACCTCACTGGGCCTCGCGAAAAGACTCGGTTTTTATTGGCAAGCGAGCAGCGAGTCTTCAACAGACCGATCAAGCTTGCTGAATCTGCAATTCATACTGCTTCTGCAATTCATGCTTCTTCCGTAATTCATTCTGATTCTGCAATTCCGGCTGATTTCACGAATTTCAAACGGCAGACACCCGTAGCAAATCGCCTTCTATCATCGCGAACCAATCCTAATTCCAGCCACATAATGTTTATGCGCCCCGAGTGACTGAAGATGCACGCAACCATGCTTTCCCGGATATACACGGTGTCTACGAAGGAGCGTTCTAAATTAAAGTAACATTTAAAGCTTAAGATTCAAATACACACGTGGCTAAAACATTTAGTTTCCACCTCTGCCCTCAGCAACGGCCTTGGCGGTACCTTGCAAAGCGTATCTGTGGTTTCTTCTGAACTTGGCGTCGACGTTCTTCAAAGTTCTGTATCTGTAAGTCTTAGGCTTCTTGATACCGTTCTTGTGGGCCTTCTTGTTTTGGTTGTGGTTGGTGTGGTTCTTGGACTTGGACATTGTTACTGGAGGTTAGTATACGCATGGAAAAGCTTCCATTGCTTGTCTGGCATTGCACGAGTTTTACGCCTAGCAGCTAGTGAACCTTTCTTTCTTTCATTTGGTGGAGTCACAATGGGAATGGCATGGTTGACGAATCATGTGCATGGGGTGCCATGTGATGTGATGAGGCGGTTTTCGTTGAATCAGTTGATTTCTGTTGAATCTGGACGACATCCACAAAAACGTCTTTATTTCACAGGAACACTACCGCTGGCTCCATGACAGCCGGATTTCATGCCATCGGCACCTCTAGCAAGCACGTCGATTTGGACATACCTTTGGTCTATAGTATGGAAGAATGAGAGTCTCAGCACCGTTGAATTTTTCTGAGCGCAGCCAGTGTGGGCGCAAAATTTTAGGGTCGCGCGCACGACCAGCAGTCACACCGCGCACGTGACCTTAGCTGAGACCGTCAATGCTGGGGTTGCACCCGAAAGTGGCGGCGACGATTCACCTAGAATATGAGGGCATTTTTATAAACACGAGTCAGGCGCCTGTTTTATCGATTTCATGTCAGTTATTTGAAGGGGGGGTGGAGGCACATGAGGTGTCGCGGCCCCAATATTGGGGTGCGACATGGCCAATTTATTAGAGCCTCAGGCACACTGGACATAAGAGTAACAGAACAGGAAGCAGTTTGCCTTTCTCGGCGAGAGCTGCATTTTGCTCCAAACGCCTCTCAGACAAACGCCTTTCAGACAAAGGTATACATATGCTTTAGGAAGTCCACATGTCTTGACTAGAATCCAGACATGATGTACAGTACAGGTAGACATCAGGAAGGCCGGTACTTCCTGGAAAATCACGATACGCAGCTGCGGAACGGGTTTTGAAATGTATTTTAAAGACAAGTGTATAGTACAGGTAGAAGAAATCCCAGCAGACAGAATCTAGGCTTGCACAGGAGCAACGTCCATCTGCTTGGCCTTCTTGGCAGCCTTGTCGTTGTGCTTCTTGCCCATGATTCCACCACCCCAGTGCTTCCTGGAGTCCTCGTACTTCTCGATGAAGTTGGCGTTAATGGTGGACACCAACTTGGCCAAGTCGGCCTCGTCCGCAGCAGCAACCTCGGTCAAAGCAGCGACAGAGGAGGTCTTCTTGTGCACCAACGTTCCCAATCTGGCCTTGCCCTTGACAATGGCGTATGGCACACCCATCTTTCTGCACAACGCAGGCAAGAAAATCACCAACTCGATGGGGTCCACGTCATTGGCGATAAGCACCAACTTGGCCTTCTTGTTTTCGATAAGCGACACTACGTGGTTCAAGCCGTACTTAACTACAAGGGGCTTGGCAGACACGTCGAAGGCCTTCTTGCCCTCGGCGATGGCCGCGGCCTCCTTGGTCAATCTGTCCTTCTTCTCGGCGGCAGTCTCGGGTCTGTACTTGTTGAACAACTTGAACGTTTGCGTGGCGGTGTTCTTGTCCAAGACGTTCTGGAACTGGGCAATGGCAGGAGGCACCTTCAATCTCATGTTCAAGATCTTCTTCTGTCTCTGCAATTTGACGTACTGAGGCCACTTGACGTATCTGGTCAAGTTTCTCTTGGGCTGGATGCTCTGGCCAATCCCGTAGTTTTTGGGCGTGGTCTCAAAAAGAGGGTTCTTGGCAGGCTTGGCCGTCTGGCTCTTGGCGGCCAAAGGGGCTGGGGCAACTTTCTTGGAGGCGGGCTGTGTCATTGAGTTAGATTTTTTTCAAACGAGAAGCTGCAAAAAAACGTCACTCTACAGTATCGCAAGGGATACTCAGCCTATGCTCCAAGAAGCGCATGCGCATTCTTGGTCACTAAATAAATGTTATGTTGGAGATGGCTGGTCTGAGACCGAAGGGCCGGATTACAAGATTGACCACTGGCAAAAATATAAAGATACGTTGAGAGTATCCCACTGTACTTTTGTGACTTGCAGAATCGCTTGCAGCCAGAGACCATCAGAATAAGAGCCGGGACCCTGCCCATCTCTCACATTAGATTAGATAAAAAACGGCACCGCTTCTTGGCACATAATCCGGGAGGGGTTCGTGCAGAAGATGTCTTTAAACTTCAAAACATACCATTGTTGTGTTGTGTTGGGGAAAAAGATGGATGTAGGGGTTGAAAATTTTTCTCGCTCAGCCAGATGGCCATATGAGCAGGGATGCACGGGTGTATTATGGGTGCAAATCACCTCCACGGTGCAAATGATCAGTGGTGGTCTGGCTTTATTTTCGAAAAGACTTGGAGATTTTCCAAGTCTGAAGGCGAGTACGTGATTCAACTTTGGTCGTCAATTTAGTGTTGTGCATATGGGAAGGGTGGTTTCTTGTGTTTTCATGAAGTATCTACATTCGCCGGACCGGACAGACCAGGATTTTGGTATCATATCCAAGACGCAAGCAGTGGATTGGAAAGGCAATACACACGAAGTTCGCTTAACGAGAATTGGGGACAGTATTCAATAGTGTCAGTGTGTCCATTTCAACAGTTTTATTAGTTTCATCAGTTCATCAGTTTTATTAGTTTCATCAGTTCATCAGTTTCATCAGTTCATCAGTTTCATTAGTTTCATCAGTTCATCAGTTTCATCAGTTCATCAGTTTCATTAGTTTCATCAGTTTATCAGTTTATCAGTTCATCAGTTCATCAGTTCATCAGTCCATCAGTCCATCAATTCACCAATTCGTCAGCGCTTCAGTTCATCGGGTCAGCCCTTTCTGAAAAGGTAGTTGTTACCAAGGGCTCTGTCCAGAACCTGCTGTGGGTTTTCCAGCAATGTCCAAACAGCTATGCGAGAAAAATCGCTTGTTGATATCTCTAAGATATAGGACACACCGGTGCGCCCGTACCCCCAAAACCCCGATAAAAGAAATGAGCGACTCTCTCAAAATCCTTGACATTTCCACCAGCAGCGCTCTACTTCCCAGCCATTCTACGTTTGTCTCTGACCTGGATGGAGATCCTGCTGTTTGTTTAGTTGGCCCATCAGCACCGTATACGAGAACAGCGGCCTGCACACTGACACCACGTCCTGCACCGCCCCACCAAGCCGACTTCGACTCCCAGCCCTAATATTCCCATCATGGCACCTTATCTTTTCGGTTGTTCTTCCACAAATGTCTTTTGTTATTCGCGCCCTTGCAGAAAACCTGGCATCATGGAGGACAACTGTGTCTGGAGTCATGGGACTGACGTCGTATGTACTGCTTTTTCCCCGAACAGCACATGAAGAATGCAAAAAACCTAGCCAGTATTTCCTCGGCTTTCTCCGAACTCGTCTACTAACTTTCCAGGCTCGCTTGCTGGGTCGTGTTGCTCATGCCACAGCTCATTGAGCAATGGCGGATGAAATCGGCCGACGGAATTGCCATTGGCTTCATCTCAATCTGGTTTTTGGGCGACGTGTTCAACTTGGCAGGCTCTCTCTGGGCCAGACTATTACCGGAGGTCATTTCGATAGCCGTGTGGTTCTGCATTGCGGACTTCATGATGATTTTCTCGTACTTCTACTATACGAGGATCTACCCCCAGCACCACAAAACCAAGCCTGTGGCCAGCGCTGAAACTACGGAAAGTCAGAGCCCACAAGCTCCTTTGTTGAGAAGAAGGTCGTCTGCTCTCACCGATATTGCGCTTGAGCCGGAGGAATATAGCGTGTTCACAAAATACATACTTCCTGTTCTTTTTGTGATTGGCGCCGGGTGTTTCGGTTACTTATTTGCAGGCTCAGACTCATCGGCGAACGACGGCCAGGATGCGGACATCCTGTTGGGTCCTCAGATTGTGGGCTATCTTTCTGCGTTTCTCTACTTGGGCGCGCGGATCCCCCAAATCATCCAAAACCATAAAAGACGGTCCGTGGAGGGCTTGAGTTTGTTGTTCTTCATGTTTTCCACGTTGGGCAACCTCACCTACGCGGGCCAAATCCTCTTCTACAGAAGCGATTCAACATACCTCTTGTTGAACTTGAGCTGGTTGTTGGGTTCTCTCGGAACTATCTTTGAGGACTGCATCATTTTCTTACAATTCTACATGTACAAGGGCCACCATGAGGCCCTTCACATTGCATAGGGTGCACTGACTTTATAATTAGTTAAATTGCAATATTTCATACATCTTACAAACCCATCCCGTGTCCCCCTTGCACGCCCATGCCCCAGTTCGCATTGAACAAATCCATGTCGAGAATCTGTAGAGTATTGGGTTCGAGCAATGACGCATCAATGCTATCGCCGAGGACGTACAGCGGCACAGTCGACCGCAAGACTCCCTCGTGCTCAGCAGCAGAGAATTCTTCCAGTCCTGGTGCCTCCAAATTTTGATTGGCTGGCGTATCAGACAAGTACAAAGATGCATACTCTCTTTCTGCCAAAGTACTGAGCACTATCCAAAAGTTGTCTGTTTGCAATGTTTTGTATAAATCGGCCCCCATGGCGTCCGCATCATACCCATTCACCATGTTTTGGTAGCATTGAGATTCAAAGCCCTTTCGGTTCAGGACCCTGATTGGACAAAATTCTCGAATACTCTCTGATAACTCCTTCGTTTGCTCGTTCGAGTACATGAATGCCGCCTGGCGGATTTTCGAGGGTTCCACCATGAAGAATGCATCATCACCGACTTGTTTGTGGCCGAACGAATCGATCTTCACACTTTTCCATGCATAGAAATACCGCTCGCTGAGTAATTTGAGTAGCTTCTGTGTCAGAAGAAGAAAGGATTGACTTTGCCTGAGCAATTTTCTCATCAAGTGAATATCTCGCGACTTGTCACCCGTGTGGTTTTGCATAATCACGCCACATGGAAGCGATATGACCAACGCCAGGCAGAAAATGAAAGAGCTCTGCTTGACAAGCAAAATGAGAGGCGACACCATTAAGGCGAATGAAGTGTCGAAGTACTTGTCCTGACTGAACATGAGCTCAGAGCTTAGATAGCTGAACTCGTTCATGTGAATGAGTACAGTCTTTTTTAGGAAAAAAAAACTCAAGTGCTGGACATTCTTGTATCGGTAGTAAAGATATAAGAAGTAGTTCACATAAGAAATGAAAATGCGTAGACTGAGCAAGGCCCTGAGTCGGGCAATGATGATGACCCCAGTACCATTTCCTGCGGCATGCTTGACAAAATAGTCATCCACAATCCCTAATTTTTCCTTGACAAGGCATTCAAAATCGCTGAGTGCGTTGATCAAGTAGGTTCCATCTAGAGACAGAGTGGCGTCAGTGGCCAAGTCGAGAATCGTATTCCCAGAGCTGTATAATGCGTGAGTTTCTCGTAGATGTTCTATAACCTTCTCCTCGAGAGATAGGTCATGGATATTCGAGGATTCAGCGTCGAATGTGGGGAGCTTAGTTTTGTAGAGAGTCAGGGATACGGTTCGCGGACTGACGAACAAGTACGACATGGTGTATTCGATCTGTAGAAGCGTGTACCAGACTTTTCGTCTGAGGTTGCGTTCTTTCGCATCTCCAGGAAAATTGGCAATATGATCGGGGTCACGTTCCAACATCAATGGAACAGCCAACAGGAGCATTGAGCTTGCCCCCGAGACACCATCGATATCGCAGAAAGCAACTTCGTTTTCTAGCGAAAGCATCTTGTAAATCATTTTCAACATGTGTGCTTGAAGAAGACGAAACAGAGATTTGAACCTAGAGTTTCCTTTCTGCAACATTGACACAGCCAACTCCACAGCGTGCCTTGAAATAGGCGAGGATTTCAAGAGGCTGTTGCCCACGAACGTTTCGTTGAGAATCTGCTCGTTTTGGGTCCGGACATTGGTGAAGTAGGAGAGATACGAGAGCCCCAAGATGAACAAGACCATGGAGACGACAAGCACATCGTCACGTGAGGCCAAGTTTGCCGATTGGAAAGTGCCATCGAGGCCGGAGAAGTTGAAAAGCCTGTCTGCCTGTACAAAGAGCCAATCCTCATCGATGATTGGGTAAGATGGGTAGATCTTGGCGAAAAAGCGGGCCACATACGCCATAAAGACGGGTTTGGTGGGCATGACTTTACGGAGACTGGTCTGGAAGCCGTCTTGTTCATTGAAGCTGGGCGTGAAGGAGAACCCAAGTGGCTGGCCATATAGCGATAGCTGCGTCCTTGTCATGGACTGGCTCAAGCTATTGCTGGAGAGGAAAAGCGGACCGAAATACTTGCCTGCGGCCTGCAAGACTTCATTTCGCCGGCCAGGGTCTAGGTGCTGTACGGTCATCAAGCGGAGCTTTTCGCCATGTGTGTTGTGTTCCCAATATATCTTGATGGCCGGGTCCTGCTGCGACAACTCCACGGAAAACGTGGTTCTCAGCGAAGTCCTGAAGTTGTGGAACACGTTGGCGAAACGGGGCTCGATGAATTCCGGCAGTTCAAGCGCTGCGTCGGTTTTTGAGACTCGCGCGAGCTTCGAGAGACACATGTGCATGTTCATTGTGTCCGAGGATACGGCGGGAGGTCTGTTGCCGATCATATAGGAACTCTTCTTGGCCCGTCTTTTGGGCGCACTTACGGCGGCCTGTGTATCCGGCTCTTGGCAAAACGCTACCAGGAGCGCCACCACTGCTTTGAACCGGGCATCAAGCCCGGTGCAAGTCAGATTAGGGGGTAATGGTGGGACAGAAATACCTGGACTCCGATGCCCACCGAGTTTTCCCGTGTTGGCGGGTGCCGAAGACGCCTGACCGCGCCAATTGGCAAGCAGCGGCGCGTTTGGCGATCCGTCTGACATCTTGTATTGGAAATCTGGCGACGCAGCTGGGGCCACATACAGACACTCATCGGGACATTCGGCCCGCACGCACAGGTCGCATGGGGTCTGTTTGTCACATTTGGCCTTTTTCTGGCGACAGCGCTGGCAGACCACCGTCGGGCGCTTCCTGCGCTTTTTGGGCACATGATCTTGGGTCATGGGGGGGGGGGCGGAGTGGGAAAGCTGGCCGTTGTAAGCGAGGGCTCCGGATAGAAGGCGCTCTGGCCATGCCGATGGCGGTAAGACACCCGTACACCAGAAAATGCCGTCTCCTGCTTCCCGGAGCTGCGGCTTTGCATCGTACACACTGATGGGACAGGCGGGGCTACCAGCTGCATCAGGAGCCGCTAGTGGCCACCCAGATTGCCGTGGCCGGCCAAAGGCGGCGTCACGTGACCAAGCCAACTGGTGCCGGGCCGGGGAGCGGCTGTGTGCGAGGCTCGAGCGCGCGCCGCGCGAGGCTGCGGGTCACGTGACACTGGCATCGCCGACCGGCGCCTGGTTTGGTGTAGAGCAAATCTTGGAGGGTGTGAAGCGGCCATTTTCGGTTGTGGTGGCTCTTCATGGTGAATCAATCCGGTTGTCCAAGAAGCCTAATTTTGCTGTTCAAGATCCCATTTGGTTGTCCTGGGCAGCCTAATTTTGCTGTTCAAGATCCCATTTGGTTGTCCTGGGCAGCCTAATTTTGCTGTCCAAGATCCCATTTGGTTGTCCTGGGCAGCCTAATTTGGCTGTCTCAGAAGTCTAATTTGCCTGCCCACACCAGCCAATGTACACTGTCCAAAGCAGAGCAGTTCAGTTGTCCAGACAGTTCATTTTGCGGTTCGAAAAGCCAAATCAGCCGTGAAGTTCGGCCCACTCCCGCTCTAGAGCGGCCCGACCGCTACCCCAGTCAGAGCCCGTAGTCACGCAACCGCACCTCCAAGTCCCCCCTGTCGTCCCTATGCAACAAGAGGTCGTTGCGGATCATAACCTCCATTAGCCTCTCCTCTGCAGTGCCCGGACGCACAGTCACCCATTTGTCTGTCCCCTCGGCCACAGAAGAAACCAAGCGCTTGACGAGAAGCACGGAGCCCGCAATGCTCTTGGTGAAGGTGTCCTCGTCCATCACGTGCGCGTTTTCCCAGTCCATCATGGCATACAACCTCGTCACCACGTCTAGCAAGTGCGCGTGCAAGCGGTCCTCGAGGGCCGTTGCCCCGTCGGAAAGCCGCTGCACGTGCGCAAGCTTGTCGGCAGCCTCAGCGCCGAAGCTCGAGACACGCGCGATCCGCCGCTGCATTTCGGCCGTTCGGCGCGGGTGCTCGCGCACCCGCTCCAAGACTAGCGTGTTGGCTCGCTTGTAGTCCGAGAGGACCGCGGCCAAGTGGGCGATTTGGGCGGTTGTGGCCTCGTTCTGCCGCCGGAGCGTCTCGGCGGCCGCGGCCTGCTGCACAACGGCGTCCAGGGTCAACGTGAGCCCCGTGGCTATGCCGATCAGGTCGTTTTTCATGGGCTGGTAGGGCATCTGTTTGTAGACCTCGAAGTGCGCTAGAAGATGCGCCTGGCGGCAGGTTTCGAGCCCCCAGGGAGGGCCCGGCAGCGCCGGGCCTTCGGAAGTGCGGGCGGCAGACTCGTTGAAGACAGCCGGCCAGGGCCCGAGTTGCTTCTGGAGCCGTTCTATGGCGTCGTCAGCCTGGCGGATAAAGTTGATGGTTCGGGCAATGTCCGCGGCCAATTTGCGGCGGTAGACCTCCTGCGACACGCTGCGCGCCGGCTCCGGCGCCGGCACGGGCGCCCGGCCCAAAAGAAGGCGGAGTTTGTGTGCCTTTGTGTCCATCAATATTGGTGGAGCCTGGGATAGGAGCCGTGAGCCGCGAAGTCATGGTGCGCGCGCACACGCACACCCGTGCACCGCGGGCCAGCGCCATGGGTAGCAGGACTCGAAGCATAGGGCCTTCAGCACCCGACAGCTTCCAGCACATCCTCCCGGCCCGCAATGACCCAGATTTCGCAGACCGCGTTGCAGAACCTCGACGAGTCGTCCCGAAAGGAGATTTTGCAGTTCATCGAGAGCGAGAACTCCAAGTCCAAGGTGCAGATGTCCATCCACAACTTCACGGACTTGTGTTTCAAGAAATGCAACGAGAACGTGCCCATCGCCACCAGCACGTTGAGCAAGCCCGAGGAGCGGTGCTTGTCCAACTGCTTGAACCGGTTTTTGGACACCAACATCAAGGTGGTGCAGGCTTTGCAGGGCCAGAAGTAGCCGGGCGTGGGCCCAGCGGCGAGCTCCGGGCTTTTCTTGTATATACCAATAGACGACTTGTGTCAAAAGGAGTAGGCGACTTCAGTCAGTATCGGAGTAGTTTTGTTGGTACGGAAGTAACGACTTCAGTCAGTACTCAGAGTAGGCGACTTTTGTCAGTACCGGAGTAGTTTTGTCGGTACCGAAGTAGACGACTTCAGTCAGTACTCAGAGCAGTTCAGTGAGTACGGAAGTAGACAACTTCTATCAGTTGGTGGTGAAGGCGTGGCAGGGCCAGAAGTAGGCGGATCTCGGCCCAGCGGCGAGCTCTGGGCTTTTTTGTATATACCAATAGACGACTGTCAGTACCGGAGCAGGGGACTTCTGTCAGTAACGGAGTAGTTGTGCCAGGTCCTGAGCAGTTCTGTCAGTACCAGAGCAGACGACTTCGGCCAGCACCGGAGTAGTTCTGTCAACACCGGAACAGGCGACTGTCAGTATCCGGAATAGTTCTGTCAATACCCGGAATAGACGAGTTCAGTCAGTACCGGAGTAGGCGATTTCAGTCAGTACGGGAGTGACGGCTTGTGTACCTGAGTAGGCGACTTCAGAGTAGACGACTGCCTTTATCGGAGTATCCAACTGTCAGTATCCAGAAAAACGACTGTGCCAGTGCCTGAGTAGTTCAGTCATACTGGAGTAGTTCAGTCAGCACCACAGTAATTCAGTCAGTACTCACAGTAGTTCAGTCAATACCCAGAGTAGTTCAGTCATACTAGAGTAGTTGAGTCAGTACCCACACTGGGTATTCTTCTGGGTATTCTTTTGAGAATTCTTCTGAGTATTCTGTCTGGGTATGCTTCTGAGTATTTTCTGGGTATTCTTCTGAGTATTCTTCTGGGTATTCTTCTGAGTATTCTTCAGTCAATACCCAAAGTAGTTCAGTCAGTACTCAGTAGTTCAGTCAGCACCAAAGTAATTCAGTCATACGGGAGTAGTTCAGTCAGCACCACAGTAGTCCAGTCAGTGACTCAAAGGACCGGAGTTACCCAGCACAGCACCCGCATTTGCCCGGCCGCACGTGAACGGCCCTACACGAGCACGTCGCGCAAGGCAGGCGCGGCCGCGAGAAGGGCCGCGAGGTCCAGCTCCACGTGCCGCGAGCCGGCGCCCACGCCCACTTCCCGGAGGCGTGCCACGTTGTGCCGCAAGAGCCGCGCGGTGTCGGGCGTGCCGGCCGCGTACTTCACGACGCGCCGGGCGAGGATGGCCCAGCTGGCCAAGAGGTCGAGGCGGTAGGCCAAGAGAAGCCGCTTCGGCTCGGGCCCGGCGTGCTGGGCGCAGAGGTCGAGGAGCGCCGCATGCACGCGCAAGGCCGCGTCCACCACGAGCGCGCCGTTATCGCTATCGAGAACGAAGGCGTCCGCCAAGGTGTGGCACACAACGGCGTTCAAGCGCGAGACGCCCGCGAGCACCGCGAGCCGCAAGTTCTGGAGGACGAGCCGCGCGATCTGGTCGAACAAGAACGCGAGCACCGCGTTGGTCGGCGCGTCGTTGTGGCGGCCCAGCACGTGGCGCACCAGCGCGAGGAGATGGCCGTCGAGCACCGCCCAGTACGCTTCATACGTGGTGTCGGCGCCGGCGCCCAACACGGCGAGGAGCGCCGGGTACGCGGCGTCCCGGAGCAAGCGGAGCGACACGGGCGCGGGCGTGAGCTGCGGCAAGTACGTCAAGCACGTTTCCACGGCCTGCGCAAACACGGCGAGGAGCCCGCGGCGCGCCAAGAACGCGCCGTGGCCCAGCGCCACCATGTGCTGGAGGAGGAAGCAGCCCTGGGCGCGGAAGAGCGGGTCTGCGTCGTCCAACACGTTGAGCACGAACGCCGCGCACGCGGCCGCGTACTGGCCGGTGTCGTCGCAGGCCATGAGCAAGACGGCCGAGGCAAGCGCCGTCACGTCCGGGGACGTTTTCCAGGCCGCGCGCTCGGATTCTTCCGCGGCGCTGCGGAGCCGGAGGCCCAATGCGGGCGAGGCGGGCCGCATCTTGGTGTGCCGCGTCTGGAGCCGCCGAGTGTGGGGTGTTTTTGGGTGTGGCGTTTTTGGGTGGGGCGTTTTTGGGTGGGGCGTTTTTGGGTGGGGTGTTTTTGGGTGTGGCGTTTTTGGGTGGGGTGTTTTTGGGTGTGGTGCCTGAATGTCCAGATATATGTCCAGATATATGTCCAGTTGTATGTCCCCTGTCTGAATGTCCAGTGTCTGCATGTCCAGATGAATGTCCAGTGTCTGAATATCCAGTTGTATGTCCAGTGTCTGTATGTCCAGTGTCTGAATGTCCAGTTTCTGTATGTCCAGATGAATGTCCAGTGTCTGAATATCCAGTTGTATGTCCAGTGTCTGAATGTCCAGTTTCTGTATGTCCAGATGAATGTCCAGTGTCTGAATATCCAGTTGTATGTCCCCTGTCTGAATGTCCAGTGTCTGTATGTCCAGATGAATGTCCAGTGTCTGAACATCCAGTTGTATGTCCAGTGTCTGAATGTCCAGTTTCTGTATGTCCAGATGAATGTCCAGTGTCTGAACATCCAGTTGTATACCCAGTGCCTGTCTCTCCAGTTGTATGTCCAGTTGAATATCAAGTATCTGAATGTCCCCTGTCTGGATGTCCAGTGCCTGAATATCCGCCATCTTTGTCTTTGAATCCGCCTTTATATCCGCCTTTCGATCCGCCGCCGTAGTGCGCCCGTGTGCCCCGCTTGCGCCCGTCCGGACCGTCGTGAGCCGGGCGCCCGAGACCGCTAGAAAGCGCCTGGACACAACGTCCGCAAAGTCGGCAAGAAGCGGCACGCAGCGGGCCGTGGCCACGCGCCCGCAGATCCGCGCGAGCCGCTCGTTGCTCCAGGGCACGTGACGGTTCGCGTAGAGCGAGACGGCCTCCATGAGCTGCACCTGGAGACCATGATCGGGGCAGAAGTCGAGGCACAAGACGGCGAGTTCTAGCCGGAGCGCCGTTGCCGGGTCTGGGGCGGCACAGCGCAGCCAGTCGTGCGGGGACAGGGCCACCTGGAGCTGCCTGCAGAGCCCCGGCGCAATCTCCAAGCACGTGCGGCGCCCCTCGTCGGCGGCTTGTGTTTGCAAGGATATCTTCAAATGCTGGAGCAGGGCGGCCAGGTTCTCGTTAAGAAGGGCGCCTGGGGCCGGCGCGGCGGCCGGCGGGGGGAGGGCCATGGTCTGTCGGATGGGGAGGTGTCACGTGCGTGCCAGGGCCTCGTGGGTGGAGAGGGCTGGGAGAAAAGTGGGGTGCTGGGGAAAAAGAGTGGAGGATGGTTGGGGAAGATTTGGCGCACTGGCTGACGGGCCTGTTTTAGGGCCGCGCGTTTTGGGGCCGCATGTTTTTGGGCCGCGCGTTTTGGGGCCGCCTGTTTTGGGGCCGCCGGTGTCTTGTGGTATTCGCCATGTAGTCACCCCTCGCGTGGCAAAGGAAAAAAAACTTCCGTACAGGGAGGGTTTTTTTTCCTTTTCTTTTTTCCTTAAGGGCTTTTAGAGAATAGTAGTATTCTAAGGATCCTAAGTACCGTACATACTTGGGTTGAGAAATCTGATACTGAAAGCCTGTTTTAGGGCCGCGCGTTTTGGGGCCGCCTGTTTTGGGGCCATGCCCGCGGTGTGCTTCGCGGCCCGGGCCCACCGTGCTGCTTCAGCGAGACGCGAGTAGAGGGAGAGTTTCGGGATTCATTGCAGAGGATTCGAAAGGACACAGAGGATTCACGGAAAATACAAGAGACATCAAGAGGATCCAGTGTGACTTCAAAAGGACTCGAGAAGATTGAAGAGGATTTAAGAAGATTCACAGAGATTCACAGAGGATACAGAGGATACAGAGGATACAGAGGATTCACAGAGGATTCACAGAGGATTCACAGAGGCGTCACAGAGAATATAAGAGACTTCAAGAAGATCCACAGATAATTTACAGAGAATTCAAGAGTATTCACACAGACCTCAAAAGGATTCAAGAAGATTCAAGAAGATTCACAGAGGATACAGAGGGTCACAAAGAATATAAGAAACTTCAAGAAGATCAACAGAGGATTCACAGAGATTTCAAAAGGATTACAGAGTGCTCACAGAGAAGATAAGAGAGCTCCTGAGAATTCAAGAGAATTACAGAAGAGCTTCAGAGAGTATAAACGACTTCAAAGGGATTCAAGAAGATCCACAGAAGATTCACAGAGAATTCAAGAAGACTACAGAGGACTACAGGGGACTCACACAGACTCCAAGAGGATTACAGAGGATCAAGAGGATTCTCAGAAAATAAAAGAGAGTCTGAGAGGAGTCACAGCCAAAAGAATTAGGGTCCCCAGAGAATTCACGATTGCAGCGTATTCACAGAGATTATAAGAGAGAATCAAGGAATTCAAGAGGTTTGCAGACAATTCAAGAGAATTCAAAAGGATTACAGAGGATTCACAGAGAATTCAAGACAAAGAATACAAGAGAATTCCAAGAACTCACAAATAATACAACAGAATCCAAAAGAATCCAAGACGATCTCAGAGAATCTCAGAGACCCCGACCGAAAATGCTCCGCTGGACCCGCTTTTTGTCCACCCACAGCAGGACTCTCCGAATCTCCCCAGAGGTCACCCAGGCCCTCCAAGAAAACGTGCCTGTCGTTGCCTTGGAATCCACAATCATCACCCACGGCTTCCCGTATCCGGCCAATCTTGAAATGGCACGTGCCGTCGAGCGGAAGATCAGAGACCACGGCTGTGTACCGGCAACATGTGCCTTTCTCAAAGGCGTGCCCCACGTCGGTCTCAGTGACCGGCAGATCGAAAACTTGGCAGAACTCAAAACGGCCAATAAAGTGTCGAGGCGTGACATTGGCGCCACCATGGCCCAACGGCTCGACGGGGGCACAACCATTGCCGGCACCATGATTCTATCCCACATGGCAGGCATCGACGTTTTTGCCACCGGCGGCCTCGGCGGCGTCCACCGGGACGGCCACATAACCATGGATGTAAGCGCCGACTTGACTGAGCTATCACGCACCCCTGTCACCGTGGTGTGTGCCGGGCCAAAACTGATTTTGGACATCGGCCGCACTATGGAGTTCTTAGAAACACAGGGTGTGTTTGTGGGCACGTACAACGACGACGGGCGTGCACGGGTGGAAATCCCGGGCTTTTTCTGCCGGTCCTCGGGCGTCAAGTCGCCATACTCGTTTTCTTCCTGGAGGGAAATGGCATCCATTGTCCACAACCAGAACAGAGTGATGGGGCTCAGTTCAGGAAGCCTCGTGTGCGTGCCGCCGCCGTCTGAAACGGCTCTTTCCAGTGACTTGATCGATGGCATCATCAACAATGCCAGTATGGAGGCGCTTGCACAGGGTGTTCTGGGCAAGGAGCTCACGCCGTTTTTGCTCGCCAAGATTGCGGCTGCGACGGGCGGCCAATCTGTCGAGTGCAACAAGCAGTTTGTCATCAATAATGCCGAGGCCGCCTGCGCCATTGCCAAAGAGCTTGGAGACTTGAAGACAGGCTCGGGGCCCGTGAATGCGGTATGTTGAACTCATTGAAAATGCACAAGTCCCGGTGGCACCGAAGTGACAGGAACCACGGGGATACCAAAGTGCAGATATTGCCGAGGACATGGAATTTTTGAGGGCTCGGAATAACAGAGGGCTCGGAATCACAGAGGGCTCGGAATCACAGGGTTCGGAGAGCACGGAATTATCAAAGACGCCTAAGGTGCTGGCATTGCTTGACAAATGACAGAACCGAAGTCACAAAAGGCCCTCAACTCAGTCCCGTGAATCAAACTCCCCCGGAATACTAACCATTCTAGGTTTCGTTTCAGCCCAGCACAGACTTGAAACAGCGCAGGAGATCCCCGCCCGTTTCATCACACGAAAAGCCCGGGGCCAATATAACACACACTGCTCCCTGCACAGTCGATACCATGGTCATTGGCCTGGTGGCCCTCGACACCATATGCACGTTGCAACAGGAGCCCGTGATGGCGGATTCCAACCCAGGGAAAATGGCCGCCGGTCTAGGCGGCGTGGGTTTCAACGTGAGTCTTGCTCATCTCTACGGGCTCCAGAACCAAGGCATCAAGGCCAACTTGCGATTTATCTCGGCTGTGGGCGACGATTTGCCGGGCACTTCGATAATCAAATCCTTGGAGGAACGCACGCACGACGTGTCTGGGATCAAAGTCTACAAGGACGAATCCTCGGCACAATATACTGCCATGTTGAGCCCCCTGGGAGAGTTGGTCATGGCATGTGCAGACATGAAGATCTTCGAGAAAGAGCATTTCGCCACGCACGTGGGAAAAGAACTTGCCAGAGCCCGGCCACGTGTTGTGGTGACGGACTGCAATCTTCTGGCTGCTTCGCTAGACGCGGTTATGGCAGCTTGCCAGTTGATGCCCTCCAGACCAATCGTTATTGTGGAGCCCACGTCGAAGCCGAAACTGGCAAGATTGAGCCAGGTCAATTCCGCCAACCTCCGCGTTTTTCCAAATAACACGGTGCTGTTGATCACACCCACGGTAGCCGAACTTGAGCAGATACATGCCTCGTTCAGCCAGAGAGAGTTTTTCGACGACTACGACAGCTGGTTTCCTGCTCTTGACAGTTTGGGCATCGACGCAGGTTTCAGGGATAAGTTGCATGCACTTGGGCTCAAATTCCCGGCCTTGAAAGACCTTCTGAAAACAGGCACCTTCCAACAAGCTTTCCAAGTCCTTCCGTACGTGCCGAATATTTTGGTGAAAATGGGCCGGTATGGCTGTGTCTTGATCAAGCTCAGCACCAACGTCAACGACTACAAGTCTGTCCCTACGACTTCCAAATTCAGGCCCACTGCGACCTTAGTCTCGAGCGGGAAACCACATGATGACAACAAGAGGTTCGGCATTGTCGTTGAGTATTTCGATATTCCCCACGAAAACAAGAGCATCGACATCGTCAACGTGACAGGTGCGGGCGACTCTTTTTTGGGCTACTTGAGTGCGTCGCTTCTCAAGGAAAACTGGCTTGTGCCAGAAATCGAATCTCTAGAACAGGAGTGGGGGAAATGGGAAGCCGTCTACAAATCCCAGCTCGCTAGCGGAAAAAGCCTACAGAGCCTGTCGGCGATCAGCGAGAAAATCTTGGAGATCTGAGCAACTTACATCTGAGCAGCAGTGGTTGAGGCTTATGGATTCTGGTTCTGTATATGTATATGGAAACTTTCTGCTTATAATCAGAAATGAAATTAGAGCGCATAACATGTATGACCAAGATCATGACGGTTGGTGGTCAATATTGCTATTAAGGCCACGAGGGCGACACAGGAAAATCCCACTGGAAGAGTACTTGTATGAATGGGGAAGACTTCTTATAGCATGTTTATCAGCTGGGCTAGAAGACTCTGCGGTACCAGCCAATTTGAGATCTCTGAAAATGAAAGAAGGCATTTTGAGTTTTGAGCTGATAAGTCAGATGGATCTTGCAGCATAAATTAGCTGGCCCTTCGATCTTTATGTTGCATTGAAGAAAACACGCATGCGATAAAACTCCCACAAGGCACTACTTACTGGGAATATGTAGTAGAAGTTCCCAAGTCCAAGATTTTAAAGAGACAAATCAGTCCGATGTTGGTCTACTGTAACTGTGGTGTGCGACAATACTTTATGCCATAAATGATCACTTCCTTTCAGATGCAAAGCGATAGGCCAAAACATCACTGAGGAGCCAGCCTTCAAAACACCCAGCGTATAGCTGTCATCAGAAAGAGATAATGATCATGACTATACTGATGTAATAGGCAATAATCTAGCTTCACAAATGAACGAAGCTTCGGAGTCTCATGATCTAAAAGGCTTCTTTGAACTGCTATAGAGAAGACGCCCTCAGATCATACAGCTTCACGATATCAAGGCTGTTCCAGGTTGCGGGTGCTTTTGGAGAAATTCAGAATTTCACACACGAACTGGGCTGGTTTCAGGGTGCATGAGCTGATACCCCTCAGGAAGGTCCATAATCTTAATTGAAGTCTGACTTGTGAAAACAAGAAAGAGATGTATCGAAATGAATCACACGGAACATCTGATGTAGCTGAGAGAGTTGGGATCCGAGCTAGTCTCTAATAAAGAAAATTCAAGTATTTAGGAACTTTCGGGAAGCTAGATCTACTATATACCAATTGAAGTTCACCAGGTGCATGACAAAAACCTCGATTACCATGGTTTTCTGCTTCAAACTTAGCTCCATTCTTCAATTGGCAAAAAATTCATAATTCCGCTTGTTTGAAACTAGAAAAGGGACCACAAAGTTTGACGAAAATTAGAAGGCATATGTAATTATTTGCACCAATGAATAGCACCATTCAGTGCGCACCGGCACCATTTCCATCCTACCAGAAGTCTAAAACTTGTAACAGACCCCACCCCTTTCTTTGAATATTTATTATGTGGACACCTTTTAGAACAAGTGTACCCAGACTCTCTCTTTTGAAGCGACCAAGAAACAGTGGTGCATGGAAGGCATCTTTGGCCACGGTTTCTCTGATCTCGCTTTTTCTTGGTGGCTCGATTATAGCCAATGACCACAGCAACAGGTCTTTGGAGGGAGTAGCCGTAGACCCGTCAATCGAGCCGTTTCCCAACCACATTGCCTCTTCCGAAAACACGCTCTTTTCCTCGGATTACAAATTGATAGCATCCGGTGTCAGATCCGTGACTTTCATGAGCTTCAAGGTCTACGGTGTAGGACTCTACATTCCTGCCAAAAGCGAAAAAACCTTGGTCTCTGTGATTTCCGAATACTTGAAAGCCCACCCGGAACAAACGGCACAAAGCGTGCTTGAAGACAAGACAACTTCCCAGGAACTCGTGGCGCAAATATGCCAAAACGTGCCCTACGCCATGAAAATCACCCCAGTAAGAAACACGGACTACGGCCATTTGCGAGACGGTCTCACCAAGTCTATTTTGGCCAATCCAATGGCGAAGGCCTTGAAGGAAGAAGTTTCGAAGGGCGTGGAGGAACTCCGAAACGTGTTTCTGGAATTCAGAGGTTCGGTGCCCAAAAACGACACGCTCTGGGTGGTTTCCGACACGTCCGAGACAACCATTGCCCACGAAGGAAAAAGCATGAAAACCATGGGCTCGGTGATGGAGCCTGTGATTGCACGAGTGTTGCTTGTGCTGTACTTAAGTAGCGCCAAACCATTGAGCGAGCCTCTTCGAAAAGATTTCGTGAGATACATTGGCGGATTGTGTTGATAGGAGTGGCTGAAATGGCTAATTAACTGAGCCAGATGTGAAACTTGTCTTAAAGCAGATGGGAGGAAGTAAGGGCACTGAGTGGGTCCTTGATTTTGGAGGTTGTGGATTGTTCATGCGACCGCTGAAATAGTGATAAGATGGGCGAGATTTTCACGAGTGGCTGGAGTTGGCAATCATGGCTCTGTCGACAACAGAGGTTTCAAACAATTCTCGCTGTATGAGCATTCTTTTATTACTGTTCAATGTTCACTCCCGTGGAGTATAGATACAATGACAGATCCTATTATAAGCTACATTTGTTTCTGTTCCAAGTACCAGACCACCATGTGATTGGTATTTCAAATCGAATTTCACTGGGTGGGACTTGTATCCATACATCTGGTATGAAAGCCTAAGAGAGGTCCTTGCTCGTAGTCAGTAGGAACTTCAAGGTTCAAGAAATTAAGTTTTGACAGTGGGAGAGCAGTCAAGACAAAATAAAAATAAGCTATTGAACGAAATACACCTGCTGAATCTCATTTCAAGCCCAAATATGCTTTGAAAACGAAGCGCTTCTTCACTGCGGAGGGAAGTCATGAGACAACTCATTTGGATGATGAGCAGTAGCCTTCTAAATACTCAGATACTCAGCAAGATAGAGCATGTAAAGCATTACAGGTGTACACACTTCGATCGACTCTCATACTACGTGTTTTAAGCTCTACAACACCAATGTCTTTGTTCTGTCTGCCTTTCGACGCAATTAAAAAGATGCATAGACCAGACTGAAATAGGGCTTTCAATAGCAACGAAAGCTGGGGAGTACAACATAAATCGTACGTATTGAAGGGTGCAGACGATGAAACACGTCGACACCCTCGATCAGTAGCCCAAGCTACTTCTGCTGGGCAAGACGTATGTGAAGAGCACATTGGCCACGCCACATTCGAGCACCAAGCAACCCTTCTGCCACGTTACAGCCAAAACAAGCCACGTCCGCGCAGTGAGCCCGGTCGCCGGTGCCGCGGGAGCTACAAGCAGTGGATGAGCTTAAGCGTGTATTGCCCGTATAGAGCAGCGTAATGTACATATCAGAAAACAAACAGCGTCCGTCCGCGGTTCTTACATGATGATGGCCTCCAGCTCGACGTTGACCGAGATGGACTTGTGAGGCAAGACCTTGGCGCCGTTGACGTAGATCTCGTTCTTGATCTCGACGTCGTCACCCAAGACCGTGCAGCCCTCGGTTCTGGCCCACTTGCCGATGCGCGAGTTCCAGCCCACAATGGTGGACTTGACCCACGCGTGATCCTTGACCTGCGAGTTGGCCAACAACACGGAGCGCTGGATACGGGCACCCTCGCCGACAATGACGCCTGGGCCAATCACCACATTGGGGCCGATCAAGGCCTTGGGGTGGATCTGTGCGCTGGGGTCCACCAACACGTTGCCCTGGTGCACAAAGCCCTCGGAGCACATCAGCTCGGGCTTTCTCTTGGTCAACGAGGACAAGTACGAGCACGTGCCGGTCAAGAAGTCCTTGGGCTGGCCAACGTCCATCCAGTAGCCCTCCAAGTCAAACGAGTACAACTGCTTCTGGTCCACCAACTGAGGGAAGGTCTCCTTCTCGATGGACGTGGGCTTCAACTCAATCAAGTCGAGTACGGATGGGTTCAAGATGTACATACCGGCGTTGATGCGGTTGCCCACGAACTCCACGGGCTTCTCGACGAAGCGGTCGATCAAGTTGGGCGTGTCGCGGTCGTGCACAATCACACCGTATTTGGAAGGCTCGTCCACCTTGGTGGCCACAATGGTTCCAGCGGCACCGTGGGCCTTGTGGAACGCGGCCAAGTCCAGGAAGGGGTAGTCGCAAATCACGTCCGAGTTCAACACGAAGAACGGCGAGTCGTCCTTCTTCAAAATCTTCTCTGCGAGCTTCAAGGGGCCGGCGGTTCCCAAAGGCTCCTCCTCCTTGGAGCAAGAAATGTTGATGCCGTACATGGCTTTGTACTCCTCCAACAAGGCCTCCATGACCTCGGCTTTGTACGACACGGCCAACACAATGTCGGTGACGCCGGCCTCGGCCAACGCCTCGATTTGGTGCTGGATCATTGGGCGGTTACCAAACTCAACCATGGGCTTAGGCAACGTCAAGGTCAAAGGTCTCAAGCGGGTACCGTAGCCGCCGACAAGAATAATAGCCTTCATTGTGTGTGGATGTGTGTGATGTAGCTAAGGGGAAAAAACCTCAAAGAGAAAAGAAGAAAAGAAAAAAGAAGAAAAGGAAAAATTAGAGGAGTGGACGGCGGTCCAGCGAATGTCTTATATAAGAATCGGAGCTGCCGAAAAAAGATTCGGACGCCAAACACACCACCAGAAAAGTCGCGGTGGGACGTGGCTGTCGCAGCCAGTGCAGGCGAGGGACGTGCCGCGGGTGGAATTCTGCACGTGGCATGCATGCGGCGCCGTGTGCAGGCGCAATACTTTGCGCACGCGCGTGGTCGGGTGTTCCGAAGAAGCTTCGCGTGCGAAAATGTCGTTTTTTATATTTGGCATGGTGCCGGCTCTATTGTGGTGCTGTATGGCTTGGCATGTCCGGATGTGCCATGTTTTGTTGGGCTGGTTGTGCTTTGGGTGGGAGGAGCACATTAGTCCAATTCTGCCCTTTTTTGTGCTCGTGGACTTTGCGATCTGATGGGCTTGCTTTGGATTTTAGTGTGTGGCCGTAGTGGTCAGTCTTTCAGAGCCGGCCTTGGCATGAGATCTGGGAACTTCGAGCATACCATTAGCCTTGGTGTTGATCTGCGTGTATGCCAATAATTACAATGGTTGCGGGAATTCCGATAGTGAGAACCAATGGTGAGAATGCCTATAGTAGAGACTCGCCTAGTGGTGATTCCAATAGTAGAAACTCCCATAGTGGAAACTCCCATAGTGGAAACTCCCATTATGGAAACTCCCACAATAGAAACTCCCATAGTAGAAACTCCCATAGTAGTAATTACCATAGTGAGAACTCCCATGGTGGTAGTTACAACTGTGGCGACTCCAATTTGGTGACACCTACAACAAAATTGCCATTATTTCCAGGAATGCCAATTTGAGCGTGGAGCCAAGTCGTGCGCTTCGAGCCGTCCTCTGGCCCTAATTTTTTGCCCTAATTTTTCGGCCTCACTTTTTTGGCCAATTTAAGCCTCGCCCTCCCTCACGGCTAAAAAGGACACGTTGCCTAGACTGGCCCGACGCTCTCACGTGATCGGTGATTCGGCCCCACCCCCAAATCTTACTTCTAACCACCCATCTTAATATCCCTCTTTTTGCCTTATTATACGGATGTAGTCCACGGGCTCTGCTGCCGTCAAAGTGCCACGTGATCTTCGGGACACAGGCCTACGGCCCGACGCGATTTTAATTTGGGCCACATTCCCTCATGCAGCAAGCTTGGCATCGCGAATATGCGCTGGGTCCCGCGTTCGAGTGGCACGCTTAAAGCTGGTACCTCGGCCACGCAGAATAAAATGGAAACATGAAACGGTAAATATCTTAGCCACTCACACAGCTGAGATTTTCACGAGGAGCGCATAGATCGACACGCCTCAGCATTCCGATCCGCATTGTTTTGTTTGTTTGGCTTTGTCGAATCCACAACGAACGGCGCATCCCGCGGCACGTGACCAGCGCGACATTGGTTCCTGGCCAGCCACGCAATTTATCCGGGGAGAGATAAGCTTGAGAAAGGAGCTTCACTACCAATACAGAAAGTACATGTACTGGTTGCCTGCGGCACGGTGTTTTTCATTTACTTTTTCGTGGGATGGCAGTCAGATTCTGAACTGACACTGAGGCTATATTGGGCACGTCAAAAGTTTGCACATTGTCAGGTACTACTCCGTTACTCGTTACTGCGAGGAGCCTCATCTGGTCCTTGCATCGCATCAAAGAGGGATGTTCAAAATGGCAAATCTCACTGAAGCCTTGCCGCAATACCAGGTTCTCATTGGCAAGATGCAAGAAATTGCTGGCTCTAATCCACGGCGCTTTCTAGGAATTCAGTCATTTATGAGCAAGGCATAAGTCGGACAGAACTCCGGTCATGGACGTAGTCTTTATTAGGAAACCCCATGCGGCCGAAATCGGGGCAGCTGCCCCCTGCGGATCGAAAGACATGATATCCAAGCCTAATCATGCATAGTCATGCCATTACACTGATGCCAGCAAACAGACAGATGGCACTGTTGATGGTGTCTCGCAGTGCTCTATGATGTGAGCCCGCTGATAGAGGCTCGGCCCTTGAGAAGGCAAGCATTTCGTCTGTTCCCACCACGACGGGCCGCCATCGGCGCCGCCCAACCTCCGCAGCTCTAAAAACATTTCATGCCTCTTCTCCACCAAAAGCCCCTCCAAACAACCGCAATAAGCACCATGCCAATGCAGAAACAGGAGGCCGTGAGCTTGAAATACCGGTCGAGACACCCGAGCGCCCCGCTGTCCGACGCGCAAAGATCCATGCTGTAGCCATGCAATAGCGAAAACGTGATGCTGCCAAATGCAGGCGCCACCATGAAAGAGCCCCAGGTGGAGCCCATCAAATCAACGCCCCAGATGGACGCCACCACGGTGGGGAACGCCGTGAATAGCCCCCCGTAGCAGATCCCGTTCAACAGCGCAATGACGCTGAACCGGCTGGAAAAGATGGGCATGATCTGCCCGGCGATCCCCACGGCCATGAGCGCTAGCAAAAACCACACCTTACACACCGGGTACCTGCGTTTTTCGCTCGACACCCAGTCGATCATCACCCCAACAAAAAGCCGGATGGCAGTCGACAGCGCGGCAATGACCAGGACCTGGTCCGACAACTGCACGGACGGGCCCGCCGTGGCCTCGATGATCAGCCCCAAGTTGTTCTGGAAGCACTCCAAGGGCCCGATGGAAAAGAAGAGCGCCACAAGGAGAATCCAGGCGGACTTGTCGCGCAAAAAGCTGGCGTATCTCTCGCGGTGATGCGGCGGTTCCACGGCCGAACACTGCGGGGTCAACGCAGGCTCGGGGCCCAGCTCCATGGCCGATAGGAGCGGCTCGGAGTCGTTGAAAATGACGTCCTGCTCAATGGACACGATCAGGTTGGACACGAGGTTCAAGATCCCGACGAAAAAGTAAAGCACGGAGAAGAACATGAACACCTTGTACAAGTCCAAGATGTCGCGCGATGCGTGGAAGTAGTCGAGCTTCAAGATCTGCGAGCCGAGAAGCGACAGCACGCCGTAGCAGCTCACGGGCAAGGAGATGGCCAAGCCCTTGTGGTCCGGGTAGATCTTGGCACACGTGAGCAAACTGGAGAAGTAGAGCGAGCTGGTGGCAAGCCCAATGAAACAGAAGCTAGCGGCCATGGCAAACACGCTGCCCCGGGACAAGTCGGCCGCGGCGCTGGGGCTGTTTTCCAGTGCCCGGACAACCGCGGCATTCACGAAGTACGCGGGGCAAAACGCCCATATCGAGATGATCGACAAGAGCGCCGGGCCGTAGCAGTCGGCCAAATATCCCAACACGGGCAAGCACAAGTACATGCCCACGGCGGAAAAAGACACTATGAGGTTGATCTGCGTATACGTGAGGCCCACCGCGTGGTGAAGCGCCAGCAGAAAAAGCGAAAATAGCATGATGGAGCCCAGCGAAAGACAGCTCAAGAGCGCTATCATAAAGGCCCATCGCTTGAGGTGCACCAAGTCATAGCGGGCCGCGAGCCCGGTTTTGATTTTGTACGTTAGCGCAGAAAGGCTCTTTTGCATGACCATACTGTCCTTGGTTGTCTGTGTGGGCGGCCGATCGCTCGGAATTATGTGCTTTTGACTGCGGTAATATATAGTTCACAGGCGAGCCGGGTCATGAACCAGGCAGAAGAATCCGAATGTGGCGAAGCTGGACCGAGAGAATCACGGGGCTTCGGGTGTTTTGAGCTCACCCTTAATAGCAAGGAAATTTAGCAAATATCCTAGCGTTTCTAGCAAGATGCGGATCCAGTATGGAACAGACCTGGTCACGATAAGTGCAAAATCCCAGTGAATCACCCGCGGTGTGTGCAGGACCGGGCAATGGCTGATCTTGGCGATGATGCCTTGGTTTTGTTTTAGGCACCAATTCTGTTTGGTTTTTGGGTGCTTGAAAAAGGGGAGCTATCATTTGCTTGTTTTGAATAGCCTTTCTGGGTCAAGTTCTACTACCGAGCGTGTTTTCGCTAGTTTGTCTTGGTGGCATTGACTGCGATCTGCTTTATTGACTGCGATGTCGCTATTCAATTGGACGTTTTCCTACATGGTCAGCTCGACGCAACTAGCACTCATAGATTATGATGGACTGTGTTTTCAGTTCAAGGCTCTTTCATGGGACTTGGAGTATACTCACGTTTTCCTTTTAAAAGACGTGCTTTCTGTAGTTCTCCCAGGGGAAAACTGCTTGTGACCCCGTGTCCATTCTATTGTGGTTGTTCTTTTCTCTGATTGCCCCTGCTCGGCCGATGGTTCCTCTTGGGATTCCATCCTACAATATGGCCCATTCTGACGCTTCGCACTTCGGAATATATTGCTATCTTCAAATGTAACTCAAGAAGCGGTCGACTTCGCCCTTTGAGCCCAACCAGATACCTGACCGCTCGTGAATCTCTTTGGGCAATATGTCCAAGATCCGCTCACCTTTATCGTTTACGGCGGACCCGCCGGCCTCCTCCATCAACAACGCCATCGGGAAACACTCGTACAACACACGCAATTTTCCGTTCTTCAGTTTCGAGTCCGCAGGGTACGCGAAAATGCCTCCATACAACAACGTCCGGTGGATATCTGCCACCATGGAGCCGATGTAACGCGCGGAGTACGGCTTGCCCTTCAACTCGTCCTGTGGCTTTTTCAAGTCCTCGATGTACTTCTTGACGTTTTCTGGCCAGTAGTAGGAGTTACCTTCGTTCACAGAGTATATGGCTCTAGACTTTGGGATGCGCAAGTTGGGCTGCGTCAAGATAAACTCCCCTAGTTGGGTGTCCAATGTGAATCCGTTCACACCGTGTCCTGTGGTAAGCATGAGATGAGCAGAAGCACCGTACATGGTATATCCTGCCGCCACCATTTCAGTGCCTTTTCTGAGAACATCTTTGATCAGGCCCTTCAGATCGTCTTTCAAGCGGTAAACACCGAAGATCGTGCCGACAGAGACACCCGCGTCGATATTGGACGATCCGTCAATTGGATCGGTGCAGACGGCATAGCGTCCACCGCCCTCAAACACAATAAGGTCCTCCTGCTCCTCAGAAACAAGCACCTTGACATTGCCACTAGATTTCATGGCATTGATGAAAATCTCATCCCCAATAACGTCCAACTTCTTTTGTACATCGCCGGTGGAGTTGGCAGTGCCCGAGATGCCAATGAGCTTCACCAACTCGGCTCTGCGGATGTTGTGTGCGATGAACTTGAAGGCAAATTGGAGACCGTTCAACAAGAGCGACAATTCGCCGGTGGCCCCCTGAGCGTATTTCTGCTGTTCTTCAAGAATGAAGCGGGTCAAGGTGATGATATCGGTTTCCACCTTCATTTGCTCGGAGACGGATTGCGACATTGTTAGATATGGCTGTGTGATGAGAATGGATTTGGGTGAATGTGTGAAAGATGCTTTTTTGGTTCAATTGGGAAAGGTGGTTCTTTTTTCGGAGATGGAAATATTCCTAGAAACCGCCAGAAAAAGGACTTACCCCAGACTTTCTATAGGTGGCCCCGGGGATTGCTTTCGCGTGCGGAGTGCAGATGGGTGCGCTGCCACGCACGCCCGCAAGTTCCCGGGTGTGGGGCAGCCGGGCCGGTGGATGCGGATCTGGTTGGGGCGATGTATGCAGCAGGGCCCCTAGCCAGAAAAACATTGGCCCCTTAGTCAGCAGCTGGCCGGGGCTAAAAGGCTGTAAACAGCATGATATTGAAAGCTGCTTTTGTGTCATTTCAACATCGGCAAAAAATTCGGTTTTCGCTCGCCGTTCTTCTCTTTTCACAGGAAAACTAAACGGCCCCGGGCCGAGCCGGGTGGCTCGTTTCCAGTGCCAGACCCCCACCCCCGCACACCACGAATGACCGAGCGGCCCCATCCTATGCAGCCGCGCACGCCAGTCGCGAGGAACGCGCATAGGGCCCGCGGTCGCCCACGGCGAAAGTCCGGTATTCACACGGAGAGAGCGCCTAATGCCGTTCCTACTTTCGCCGGGCCGCGCTATGGAGCGGAGTTTAGCAGCAAACCCATGTCCCTGATAGGCTTTGCCGCGAGCGGATCTTTCCATTTCCTCTGTTCTGTCTTTTTCTCTTTCTTTTTTTCTCCTTTTTTTTTTCTTTTTCTTTCTCTTTTGGTGCTGTGGTTGGTTTGAGCCCGGCGCAGAGTACCTGTTCAGTGCTCACAAACGACTGTTGCGGGGCGGGGCTTCACGCTATGCTAGACAGTTGCTGAATGTGCCTCGTTGCTGAGCAACTGAAAACAGCAAACACAGCTCAAAGCTGGATAGAGGCGCAGCGGAAACCGAGTTCCAAGACACGCAAAATCAGGCGATGTCGCTTTTTCTGAAGGCCCCCACGTGTGAAGCACAGCCGTATGGTGTAGCACAACCCGCACTCCGGCCAGAAAGAGACCGTAAATTCAACTCAAAATGCATGACAGGATGCGCTTGAGCTTCTCTTCCTTCCGGCATGTTCTGTCGACTCCACAGGACAAGCCCTTCAAGCCCAAACGCCGGAAACGGCGAGGCGTTAAACACAGCGGCCCCCGTGCACGTGACGCGTGTGGACCTCCTCCCCCCACCATTCGCGTTCTATGTAATTCTCTCATAAAAGGCGAGTATTCCCTCGGCATTTCTACAATAATCCAAGCTGCCCTGCGCTGAAGCTCAGCATCTCCTGGGTTTGGGCTGCAATGTGCGGTTGAGCTCCTGCAAAAGATCGTAGCGGTCGTCCTCCTTGGTGCACTTTCTGCCGTAGCCCGGCCCCGTCGTTTTCCACGACGAAGACGACTCCAACGACCGGTAGACGACTGCATACTCGCCCGTTTTGTCCGCCTGGGCGTCCTCGAGATCGGCGGCAAAGCGCGTGCCCATCCACGCCAAGACATCGGCGCCGTTGAACGGCTCGGGCAGCGCACGCCCGTTTTTTTGTGGAGTCTCCTGGGTGGCCGTTTTGGGCGCCGGGAGTTTTACCGTCTGGTTGGGCTGCAACACCAGCGGAAATTTCCCATTGCTGGCCAGGCCGCTATTTGCAGGCCCGGCGCCGGTGCCTGTGCTTGGTTTCTGCAGTAGTTTAGCCGCCCAGTCAGACATGTGGGGCAGGTTGTGAATTTATAGAAGTTGTAGGTCAAGATGGTCGATGGTTATTCAGGCGCGCACTTGTGGGCTGGCGAGAGGCCTGGGACTTCCGGGCCCATGCGCGTGGCCAGATTATGCGAATGCTTTGCTAATGATTAGTTTAGAATTTGTTTATGTTTTGTTGATGATTTGTTTGTGTTTTGTCGATGTTACTTTGATGTGAGCTTATTTTTTTGGCTGGTGCTTTTCTATGTTATTTCATTCGTATGTCAAGAAGTAGAAGTGTATGAGTAGTATAGTTGAGTAATTCGGGCCGGGGCCATCGTTCGCAACTGCGGACTGATTTTAGGTCCAATTCGCGGCTCGGCATTGAGAGGGCCCCAGGAGATGCCAGATTTGCCATGGCACTAGGCAGAAATGACATATATTTTGTAGAGCCACAGTCATGTTTTGGATATGTTTTCGGGACTTGGAGTCTGCCCTCAGAAAATTCGAGTGGAATCTTCGGGTTGGAACGCGTGAAATTGGGACCAAGCGGAACATAGCTTGAACTCCAAATCCACCGTCGCCACGCATTCTGAACCCACCAAGGCCTAGTCCACTTCCAGTAAATTTTACAGGTTTGAATCCCTGTGAGTATCAATTGACATATTTCCAAGAAAACTATATGAATTGGCACACGCCGAGGCTCAAGTATATCGAGAAGCATTGAGTTCTGACTATCCTCAGGACGTAGTTCTGAATATGATCCGGATGAAAGACAATTAAGAAGTCCGCATTCCGCATGATATGATGAAACTGGGCAGCACTCAGGAACGCTGAAGATTTCTTCTGAACCAATGCAAAATCAGCTATGACTTCAGCTATACTATGCATCCCAAGCTAGCATACATCTGCAAATTACTGGCCGGATCCACTTTTCCGGATACCATGGGTGACTTGATTTATGTAGTACAAGTTCTAATTTCCATCCTTGTTTGGACACCAATTTCGAGGCATGAAGCAACAGACTAAAGCCTAAACCCCGAGGATTTTGCAACTGCACAGCGTCCTGGATTTTTGGTGCTGTCTGTTTTGTAAGATTTTGCGATTCAAACAGCCGAGGCAAAAGATTTTTGTCGTGGCCCATCCTAATATTTCTGCTGTGTAATTCGTTCTGCTTTCACCGATTGCCGTGTTGCCAGTGTATTCTGTAAACGGATGTATCTATTTCCTGTCACAGTAATGTATTTCATAACAGCTCATTTATCTCTCGTACTTATGGGCTGTATGATGACTTTCTACAATTGAGTATATGTGAATTCCCAACCGTCCGCTCAGCTCAACAATGAAATACATGGTTCTTATCCGCCATGTTTACAACAGGAGCCTCTATCTAATCCTTCGCAGCTGTCTGTGTGCTTATTTTCCCTTTCAAAATCCAGGAACAGTTAGGTCATCGATCGAGAGGGTTGAAAATTTCTAGCCTAACATTCATTTAATATTTTAAACGAAAACACGGACTGAATAAGTTGAGGCGGATTTGGATGTCCAGGTATGTATCTGTATCAAGATTAGCCACAATGACTGCTGAGACATGATATATCCACCGTTGGGTGAGAGTGAGAAGCTAGTGTCTTAGATCGGATATGCAGTGAGCTGGGCCGGCAATATGCCCGTTTTATATAAAAGGTGCTCATAATATCTAGATGACATCACACTTTCTGGGGATTTGTTCATGCACCGTGCCTTCTCTAAGAAGCAGAGGATATTGCAGGCAATAAGACTCGGGAAAACAAATCAGTCTCTGGTGAAATATAAAGACTTTTCTGAAAAGCTTTGGATTGTACTTCGGCTTCCTGATAAGCATCTGAAGTACTGGATCTGATGTTGTGAGAATGTCTTGTCATTTTTGGGCAAACTGTCTGAAGTAAGGGTATGTCCATCCCGTGTTCTGCAGAGCCTAAGTAGTTGGGCAAGGTCTATCTGGACTACCCGATTCAGCGCATTTGCTTGTGAAAATATTCTTTTGTCTGATAGTCATGAGCAGTGATGGCAAAATTATATGTAGCTTTTTTTGTTTCTCCAGTCTTGGTTGGCTTTATGGATATAGTCGCCAAAAATTCCGGTGAAGACATAAAGGGCCCCACTAGCCTCAGCTTTGAGGAAAAATGAGGCGAAGAAGAAAGCAAAAAAAAAAAGAGAATTTTAGTTTAAGATCCATTTGTTGAGTACCGAAGCAAAGTTTGTTCGGTATCGGCTCCAACAGAAGAACTCGGGCAAGACTGCTTTGGAAGCTGTAAACATGTTTCATGTCCATGACAGCTCACTTGAAATAATTTGGGTCCTCGACTAATCCTCTGTTGATTTCTTTGGGATTGTAGAGGAGTTCCTTTCAGTTATACTACTATGTGCACGAGTGTAGATTATTCTGGGCCAAGGCGTACTCTATTAAAGCCTTCTGATGTTTGCGAACGATATCTCAAGAGGGTCCAAAGAATTTCCTTGATTTTTTGCTTGATTTCTCGAGCCATCACCCTTTGTGCTATCCCGTCAGGGCTTAGCCCGGCATTATTTCGCAGTGGTGCTACCATCTTTTGCATGCTGCTTGCCATGTATTCTTCATGAACTCCGCATGAATTTTACTAATGCGAGCGATGTTTTTCTAATCTCATCAGTCTCTGTCCACCGATATCAGTGCACCGGCATTGAATGCATACCAAGGTCGTCCGGTGGTATTGGGGACTGAATAGTGTAGTTTTAGAAGGGATGGGGACACTGCTCAATAACCATGAAATTGTATCAAAAAACCATTCAAACAGCCATCTAGTCCATGTTCACCAATGCCCTCATTTTCCTTGCCCGTCACCATCTACCAACCCCATCAGTCAGAGACTCTTGGTGTTTTCTCGCTGTTCTCCCTATTTATTAAGTGCTCCTCCAATACAGGACTACTGTTTGCCAGTGACAGTCCCCAGACTTCCAGGCCGAACTTCCCTCTGCACTGTTCAAAAATCACGCCGCTGCCGTCCCAAAAATACGTATATGCCATTTACCGGTGGCATTCTCACAATCCCCCATTTCCCCCAAAGATCCCAGGTCTATACTTTATTAGTGCTGTTCGCGAATGACCAAGCGGGGTTCCCAGCATCCCGGTGCCCCCGGATTCCCCGGATTCCCCGGAATCCTCCATTTTTTTCTCCTTTTTTTTCCTCCCCTGTTTTCAGCCACCGCCTCTCCACTGCACCCCAAACCCCCATCGCCGTTCTTTGCTCCCCCAAAACAGCGCCCCCATAAATCCGCAAAGTTCCAGCCACCGGTTGTCACGTGACACCCGCCCCATCGTCGCCCCTCGCGTGGCAAGGAAAAAACCTTGTCCCAAAGAGGATGTTTTTCCCGAAGAGGATGCTTCTCCCGATCTTGTTCTCCTCAAGCGTTTCAGAGAATAGTTCTAAGGATCCTAAGTACCGCACATACTTGGCTTCAGAAATTGATACTGAAACCGGTGCCCGCCTTTCGCACCCGCAGCGTCGCGCGCCTGGCCGGGTCATGTGACCCACGCGCAAAGAACACGTCAACAGTCAACGAAATCCACGCACCCGCCCACTCCTCTTTTTCCTCCCAAAACACACCATGAGTTTCCGAGTTTTGGACCTAGTCAAACCGTTCGAGCCCTTGGTGCCCGAGGTCATCGCGCCCGAGCGCAAGGTGCCGTTCAACCAGCGCGTGATGTGGACCGGCGTCACGTTGTTGATTTTCCTCGTGATGTCCGAGGTGCCGCTCTATGGAATAGCGTCCTCCGACGGCTCGGACCCCTTGCTCTGGCTCCGCATGATGTTGGCGCTGAACCGCGGCACGTTGATGGAGCTCGGCATCACGCCCATCGTGTCCGCGTCCATGGTGTTCCAGTTGTTGCTGGGCACCAAGTTGATCCACGTGGACATGACCAAAAAGGAGGACCGCGAGCAATTTCAGACGGCGCAGAAGCTCTTTGCCATCATGTTGGCCGTGGGCCAGGCCACCGTGTACGTGTTGACCGGGATGTACGGGCCGCCGCGCACCTTGGGCACGGGCGTGTGCTTGTTGTTGGTGTTGCAGTTGGTGTTTGCGGGCATCATTGTCATTTTGTTGGACGAGTTGTTGCAGAAGGGCTACGGGCTCGGCTCCGGCATCTCGTTGTTCACCGCCACCAACGTGTGCGAGCTGGTGATGTGGAAGGCGTTTGCGCCCACCACCTCGGCCTCCGGCAAGGGCGCGGAGTTTGACGGCGCGGTCGTGGCCTTGTTCCACTTGTTGGGCTCCCGCAAGGACAAGAAGCGCGCGCTCTTGGAGGCCTTCTACAGACAGAACTTGCCCAACATGCTCCAGGTCTTGGCCACCGTGCTCGTGTTCTTCGCCGTGGTGTACTTGCAGGGCGTGCGCGTGGACTTGCCCGTGACTTCCGTGAGACAGCGGGGCGCGTATATCATGTACCCGATCCGCTTGTTCTACACGTCCAACACGCCCATCATGTTGCAGTCCGCGTTGTCCTCCAACATCTTCCTCATTTCGCAGATGCTCTTCATGAGATGGCCCAACAACCTCTTTGTCAAGCTCTTGGGCTCCTGGGGCGCCCGCGGCGGCTCCTCCCAATTATACGCCACCAGCGGCTTGTCCTACTACATCCAGCCCCCCACCTCGTTCGCCGAGGCCTTGGTGGACCCGGTCAAGACCGTCATCTACGTCACCTTTGTCTTGGGCTCGTGCGCCGTGTTCTCCACCACCTGGATCGAGATCAGCGGCACGTCCCCCAGAGACGTGGCCAAGCAATTCAAGGACCAGGGGCTCGTCATTGCCGGCTACAGAAGCACTTCTGCGTACAAGGAGTTGAAGAGAATCATTCCCACCGCCGCGGCCTTGGGCGGTGTGGCCATCGGTGCCTTGTCGGTCATCAGCGACATGGTGGGCTGCTTGGGAAGCGGCACGTCCATCTTGTTGAGTGTCACCACCATCTACGGCTACTATGAGTTGGCCGTCAAGGAGGGCGGCTTCTCTAAGTCCGTCGTCAGCGGCTACGTGGACGGTATTTGAGACCCTCCGAACATTCCATTCGGTCGCGCCAAGGACCATGGTTCTTGTGTGTGTTGCGTAGAAATTCACGCACCCGCAGAGCCCTGTAATATGTATGGCATTCAATCCATGCACTGCTATTTTGTACTTTTTGGCCATGAGGAAACCGCAGGCACTACCCCAGTGGCTGTGTGCGGCGGCTGTTGCATGTATGCAGCGTCGGTGTTGTATTGTCGGGCTACCAGCCAATGCGGAATATAAAGCTATATAGACTAGACTGAGACACGAGACTCCCGAGATGGGGCTGATGAAGGTGATTGAATCCACGGCTCCGGGGCCACTTGTCCCCAGGTTTGTGTCCGTCAGAACGAGCGGCAATTCCGAGTCCGTTGAAACAAGCCTGTGCGAAAGCGGGATTCACGCCCCGGAAGAGCCGAATTTCGCTGACCAGTTCTCGTATTCGCTCAAGCCCTCGCTGGACACAGACGGCCGGATGTAGTTCAAACTCTCGACGAAATCCTCGAGCTGGATCGGCCTGATCTCTTCCGTCGGGGTGCTCAAGAGCTTGTCGCCCAAGGACCGCAACGGGCCCATGGCACTGTCTTTGGCGAGAAGCGTGATATCGCTGCCACTGAAGCCTTTGGTGAGGTCGATGAGCGTGTGGAAGTCCTCCTCCAGCAACGTGTGGTTCTGGTAGGCCAAAAGTTTCGAGATCTGTAGTTTTCTCGTCTCGTCTTCGGGAAGAGGAATGTACACCCTCTTGGCGAATCTTCTGCGGGCGGCTTCATCGATGCCCCACGGCAAGTTTGTCGCGCCGAGAATGAGCACCCTGCTGACGTCGCCATCGGTGGAGTCACGCCCGGCCGCGGCGGACGAGAGCTCGGACCACTGGACCAAGAACTCGTTCTTGATCCTGCGCATGCTCTCGACCTCGCCGTCGTTTCTAGTGCCCAACAACGAGTCGATCTCGTCGATGAAGACGATCGACGGGCTGAGCTTCTTGGCCAAGAGGAACAAGGCCTTGACTAGCTTCTCGCTCTCGCCCAAGTACTTGGAGGTCAAGGACGAGGAGCTGATGGAGAAGAATGTCGACTTGGACTCGGTGGCCACGGCGCGCGCGAGCATCGTCTTGCCGGTGCCCGGGGGCCCGAACAAAAGCATGCCCCGCGTGGGCTCGCGGAGCCCGCGGAACAAGTCGGGGCGCAAGAAGGGGTACACGACGGCTTCCTTGAGCGAGTTCTTGGCCGCGTCAAGCCCCACGATGTCGTCCCAGTGGACCTCGTCGCCGCGCACGACGATGTCGTTGAGGATCTGGTGCGCGGAAACCTCGTCAATGCCGCGGATGGAGCCGATGAGCGCCGCCTGCTCCTCGGCGGACATGTCGCCCGAGGGCGGCGCGGGCTCGGGCGCGGCGAAGGGCTCGTCGTCGGACTCGTAGTCGCTGATGATGTTGTTCATGTACGGCGACGTGGGCGTCGGCGGCAGTGTCTGCGCCGCGGGTGCCCTGGGCCTGTCCGGGGCCGGCTTGGCTTTGGCGGCAGCCGGCCGCGCCTTGGCTATCGGCTTGTAGTTGTATGTGATGTTGGATTTCTTGGCCGGCGTGCGGCGCGCCTCGTCCGCGGGCGGCGCCTTTGGCGGCTGGCTGGCGGCCGCGGCAGGCTTCTTGGCCGTGCTGCTGGACGGGGCCTTGGCCGTGTTGCTGGACGGGGCCTTGGCCCGGCCCCGCGCGCCGCTCTGCTGCATCATCTTGGGGATGTTGAGCGGCTGCGGCTGCTTGTAGACGTACTTCTTCGGCTCCGGGATGTCGGACGTGGACCGGGACGCAGGCTTCGAGGCCGGCCGCGCGAGCGAGTCGCCGTTGGCGGCCGGGGCCGCGGCCCGCATGGCGCCGCGCTTGGGCGGGACGGGCGGCGGGGTCCGCTTTCGCCCGGGCGCAAGGTCCTCGAGCGAGCGGTGCACCGCGCCGTCGAGGTCAATCAAGTTGGCCGGCTCCGGCGACGCGGAGGGCGAGCCCGCGGAGCCCGCGGAGCCCACGGAGTTGAGCCGCTCGTACCGCACCAGCGACATCTCCGTCTGGTCGAAGTCCTGGAAAACGTCGGGGCCGGGGGGCGCCTTGGGCCGTGTCCACGACACGGTGGCCGCGGCCTGCACCGTGTCCCTGTTCTGCGGCGACATGTGGTAGCCCGCGCGGAGCGACCTGGCCATCGGGCGCGGCGCGGCGCCGTTGAACGAGCGGCCCTGCGGGTTGCCGGGGCGGAGGGACGGGATGCTCATTTTGTGGGCCGCCGCCCGCGGCGCCGCCGGCGGCGCGCCCCTGCGCTGCTGCTCGTCGAGCCGTAGCTGGAGGCGCACCAAGTGCCTGACGTTCTCGTCGCGGACGGCGCGCAAATCCGCGAGCACGGCGGCCTCGTCGGGCGACGTTTTGGGGGCCTTGCGCTCGAACACGTCCACCTTGTAGAGCAACAGCGTGTGCAAGGCCTTCCAGCCGCGGAGCGCGTCGGCGAGCTGGCCGCGGTCCTCGAGCTGGAGGTTCTGGAGGGACGTTGCGGTGGCGTCGGCGTATGTTTGCTGGAGCTCCTCGAGCAAGTAGGGGGCCGGCGGCTTTCTCCTCAGGAACATGGGGAGGAGGGGGATTTTCGCCGTTTTTTCGGGGGCACGTGCCGCTGTTCGGGCCGGGGGCGGTGGGGCGGGTGCGAGGGGACGGGCCCGGGGGGGACAGGGGGGAGGCGGCCGGCGATGTGTGGAAAAGCCAGCGGTGGAACCAGAAGAAAAGTAGTATGGAGGGACTCCTCCATGCGCACGCGGCTGTTTGGCAGGCGGCCGCGGCGCACGTGACTGCAGGCTGCGCGCCAGGCGAAGCCGCGGCCTGGGGATCTGGGGCCGGCCGTTAGTCTGTGGTTTCTTGGTGGGATGATTGGGGTTTTTTTTGTATTATTGATGTATTATTGGTGGGTTTTATTGGTGAGGTTGGAGGATTATTGGTTGGTATTACTGGTTTGCTTTGGAGTTTATTGGAGGGTTTTATTGGTGGGTTTTGAGTCTTATTGGTTGGTATTACTGGTGAGGTTGGAGGATTATGGGGGGTTTTCCTGGTGAACTTTGGGGATTCTTGGTGGGGATTATTGGTGAGGTCTGGGGATTATTGGTGGGTTTATGGGGGGGGGGGGGGGTTTCGGATTATTGGTTGGTATTACTGGTGTGCTTTGGGGATTATTGGTGGGGATTACTGGTGTGCTTTGGGGATTATTGGTGGGGATTATTAGTATTCGTGGGTGTTCTTTCGGATCTCGTTGGCTGCGGGCTAGTGGGTGCGAATATGGTGGGGCTCCAGAATTGGATTTGGGTCTCGGCAGTTTTGGAGCTGTGCTCCTAAATCTGTTTCTTTTACCTGGTTCATGATCGCCCGATTTACGTAAGTTTATTTTGCTGATTGTTTGCGTTTATATTGCTCTGTGCTCGAATACAACACAGCCCTTTGTTCAATTTGCTTCAATCGCATTGTGCCGATCCCTTCTTTCTGACTCGTCAGATTAACTTTTGAAATGACTTTCTCTGTTTGTGAATGGGATTCGCTTTCTCAAGTAGTTTTGCCCTGATTGTTTTGCCCTGATTGTTTTGCCCTGATTGTTTTGCCCTGATTGTTTTAGTTGCTTCATTCTGCTGAGGTTGTATGCTTTCATTCGATTGCTTTGGGTCAGATCGTGCCGGTCAATCCTCAAAAATCTTCATTTGTGTTCGTTGCTGGAGTTCTCTCTTTAGTATTCCCTGCGATTTCCTCCAATCAAATTGTGTGGTCTTTTTCGGAATTTCCTGCAACCACCCTGAACCTATGGCTCTGTTTTGTACTCCTTTGGACATAGTTCAGGTTGTTCTATGTATTTGCCTCGTCCATTACTCTGCATGGCTCATGCCGATTCATCCACATTATTGTGCGGGCGTGCTTTTTGTGTCCCAGTTTCTTTGACTTTATCTGGATTTGCTTGGTTCGCCCGTTTCACTGAACGTTAACTTCAGAATGTTCTGCTCGATTTGCTCTCTAGGTTTGTCTGTCTGGTCCATCTCTGCGTTTCATATTCTTCGGTGTCCTCTTGCTAGCTTTCCTCAGATCGGAGTCTTTTATTTCCGAGCAACCAGTTTCGCATGTATACCAAACTGGGGGCCTGAAAGGCCTAATATTTTTGCCCCACTAGCTTATTCTCAATCAATGAATGGATATTGTACTTTTCCATTCCATCCAAGTTCAAATGGCTCAAAAGTCTTTTTCAAACTCAGATTTATATCTGTTCCTATCCAGTATGTTACGTTTTCTTTACATCTTTCTCACCGGAATCACTCAGTCGATGCATTGCGATATCCTTTTCGCTATGTTACGGTAGGGTTTGCAGTACCGCTCGAATGAAAGACCAGATTATCAGGTCGCTGTTTTCATGGAACTCAAACTGGCATTTTGCTGTGTGGTTCGTGTAGTAATCTTCTGAGACGTATGCATATCTGGCTATTGCATTTGATCAGTACAGTTTGGGAAAGTCCCCTTCATACAAGATCACGTTATCATAAAACATACATTGCATTACGTCCCTGTTTCGGTCGTTCTTCTGAAGCAAGTGGCATTACGAGACCTTGAGGCTTAGAAGACACCAAGAAAAGAAACAATAGATCCCTTCCAATTGATCTTGCAGATGATCTCCCCCATCGACTCAAAAAGTTCACTTGTGCGTCAAAAAGCCCATCTGAGGGAATTGGGAGAGGCAAGTCCCTCAAAAACAACCGGAGGTACATCTCGCCCAATTTGCATGAACAGGGGTCTTGTATCATATTTGATTCTCATCCGCAACGTCTCCTTCAAGCCTGGATCTGTGCCCCATTCGAAGCGTGTGTCTGATTCTTGAAGATTTTGTATGTGCAACAAGAAATAGCCAGCTGAAGATATTCTGTCTGATGATTTGGAGCATTGTTCAGAACAAGCTGATGAGAAAGCTCTTACCCACAACCTGTCGTGCGTCTTAATGGGGATTATGGGCGTATTTCAAACATCTCTGCTTTCTTAATTCCTTAGTTGGTAGTATCACAGTTTCTAGCGAAACCTTCAGTTTTTTCTTCTCTCGTCCCATCAGACTAAAAGGGGATCACATACGATGAGACCCTAGGTCTGAACGCTATTAAGCTTGGACTAACTTGTCGAGAAATATGTCTTGCGGGAGTTGACAGGCTTGTATACTTGCAAATAACCTTACTTGGAATAGTGCTTGTGGTTACATGCACTGTGCTCTTGGGACAGAATTAAATCATGGCACAAGTCACATACAACCCTGTTTGGCGGGCTCTGATTCAGTCAACTGAGTGAATGGGTAAAACTCAACTGGAGTCTCACATCTAGGCATTTTGGTTGTCATTTATCAGACCCATTAGTTGAAGCGTTTTCTGGGCCTTTTTCCTGGACTCAGCCCGCATTTCGAGGCCGTGTGTTCTGGAGTTCACGTTCTAAAATAGGAAACATGCGTTGCACATCCATTGTAAAGAGAAAGCATCGACTTTCGGAGATGTCTAGATCACTCGTAATTCCTGCTACGCTTGGGGTGCACCCACTAGAAAAAAATTACATTGGCCAAAGGCCTCGCTACGCTAGAGAATGTAGTGGCATAACGGGATACACTGCGGTTTCGAACCCACAGCATATTCTGTATAACCTCGCTTATCTGACCGAACTTCTCCAACAGCAGGCACAGTGCCCAGATCTGCCGTCCCCAGAGCTCTTCTGACAAGCGGCCCCATAGTGCGCCTCCCTAAGTTAATAGGCGAGACACGAGGCCACGAGCTTCCAGCACGAGGCTGAGCAAAAAGACCAGGAATTGCAGAGCAGACGTGTCTGCTGCCAAAAGTATATGTGAAGACGCCCGGAGGTCAACTTTCTAAAGAAAAAAAGAGGAAAGGGGAAAAGTGCGCGATGCTCGCGGCTATATATACTTGCCCGTGTGCCGGGTAAGTGCGCTGGCTTGCGTGAGACCGGTACCTGAGGGTCCGGGAAAATGGACAATATTTGTTCAACACACAAAATTTGGATAGTTGGATTTTGTAATGGGTCTTTTCACTGTGGTGGTCTCATATATCTCGGGGATTTATAATTCCATTGTCAATTGGATTTTTCCCAGCGCCGTTCTTGTTTCTCGTTTCTTGGAGATGAAGAGTCTCGCTTTTTCTTCAACAAAGCCACCTTTTTTTCGAAAAGTCCCCTTGATGTCAATTTGAAGTTTGTTCCGAAAAAAAATGAAGAACCACTTCATCTTCAATACTTGTAACATATACAGCATAAAGTCAGACTGACTGTTGGTAGTCTTATAATCAGGAGTTTATCTCTATGCCCATCAGGTCAATGATATACCCTTTTTAGTTACGAGCACCAGTCAGCCTCAGGAGCACTCGGCCCCACGCTTTTAAGTTGATACTCTCTTTATTCCTTGCAACACCCAAAATTCAGAACGAATCTGAACTAAGATAGAGAAAACAGTGCTCAAAACATTTTTCGTTTTGGGGCTCAAAGCGAAAAACCCCTAACTTCTGTCTCTGTCTACCCCGGACGTCGCTTTCAAAATAATGACTTCCAGCCAGTGGGCCATTCTCTATGATTCTTCATGGCCCAGAAAAGTCAGAATTTTTCTTTTGACCATTCCGACCTTTCAAACACTGGTTCATACATATTACATGTTTCATAGTTCCTGCCTGAACAACTGCTATTAGACGGCTCCTGTCTGGAGGCAGTCACATGACCCTACTGATGCTTTTCGCAAATGAACATCAATGCTAGAAATCGTAATTAGTTAGAAATCCGAGGGTAAAAAGCACATAACTTTCCGGAACATGAGGGGAGTCTGGAATCAACCCGCCACCACACCAACTTGCTGCTTGTGTGATCACCGTTGAATCCCACCATCATAGCAGATAAATGCGCACTGCACATAGCGCACCATCGTTCACGTCTACCCCAATTCTCGCTCGTTCCTGCAGACCACTTTCCATATATTTCAACTAGCCAGTTGTCTTATTGTCTGGGAGTCACCAGAAAATGTTGTCCTCAGCTACTTTCATGAATTTGTTGAGCAATGCTGTCACATACATTGTCATTTTGATGCTGAATGTCCTCATGGCAGTGCGCTACTTCAACGCAACCTACCCCGAGACCGCGAGACTTATCACGATGCTCTTGGCAGCATATATATTGTTCAAATGCTTCATGCGGATCGTGCGATTCTGGTGGGGAGTCTTCAAGTTTTCTGTGAAAGTGACGCTTCTTTTTATTGCGGCACTCTTGGCATTGGGTGCCTACTACCGAGGGCCGCAACGTTTCTTTATGAAAGACCTTCCATTGGTTTATCGGATCTACCAGAAATTGAGACAGAAACAAAGGGAAGCTTTGAACAACTTGCCCGCGGCCCAGGAAATTTTGGGGAATCCCATTCTAGATTCTGCTGTAGAAAAGAACAGCGCTCTTGGGTGGCTTTCTGGGAATGCTGCGCAGCTCAATGGCGAAAATCAGAATTTCGCAGAGAATAACGTGAACTACATCCAAGATTTCGTGAAGAAGAACGTTTTGAAAACACTTTTGAACGCCGGGTAAAGCTTGGGGAGCTATAGCGTGCTCAGGGCTACGACTCGAGAAAAATAAAATAGTATACTATGTAATAACATAACGTCAAGGCATGATATATGAATCGGGAAGCCCCGTTTATGAATGAATCTTAGAATTCAAGATTTTGCTCCGTAATCGAGAGCCTCAGCTCATGGCGATATCTCAGGGCCTGTCTCAATATTGTCATGTGTACGAAATCCTCAAAGTCACCTCTGGACCCGCTATGTGGTTAGGACCATGAAAGAATGTCTCGGAGACGTCAGGCCATTTCTCACCTGAAATTCATGCATTTTCTTTGCTTGCTTCGGCACAATCATTGTCGCCCCCATTTATATCCCGAGGCTCATCCAAACACTGCAAGCCATGATCTCTCGTGGTGAAAGCCAAAAGTAAGCAGATCCCAAGAAGTGGTAGAGTGAAGTAAAAGTAGTTCCTGAGCGCCACACTGTACATGTGTCTGACGACATTGACTTGTTCTTTGGTCAACACTGAAACATCAGGATGCGAGTAGATGTTTGCTTTCATGTATCGCATATACAGAGGAGGCAAAATGGAACTACCTGCCTGGGCTTTAATGTCTTTCAACAAAGAATTAGTGATAATCAACGAGGAAATTGCTGTGCCCAAAGCACCGCCGAACGACCGAATCACGTTCCTTGTACTGATGACTACGGCTCTCTGAGCCTTCCTTGTATTTGCCTGTGCTGCCACCATTGTGGGTTGGAAAATGAATCCACAGCCTGTGCCTAGAACAACCATGGTACCCACAATTATGGCATCAGAGGTGTGCTCGTCCCACAAAAGGGTCATTGCATGTCCAGAAAACCAAAAAGAATAGCCGGCAATCATCACTGGAAGGTACCGGCCAGTAAATGTCATTATTGAGCCGGCAAAAGCCGACATGGATGCCTGCATAAGCACCAAAGGGAGGGTGAATATGGCCAGCTTCTTGACTGAATGGCCTCTCACTAACTGAAAGTAGTAGGACACGGCAAAAAGAAACGAGTAGTATGCCATGCCGAAAAGAAATGTTGAAAACAAGATGACGCTAAGCGTGAAATTCTTGAAGATCGTGAGGGGAATCATGGGCAACTCAGGAATCTTATACTCGACGAGTAAAAAAATGGCAAAGCAGATACCTCCAACAATAAACATTACGATGACCAAAGCGCTATTCCAGGGATATGCTGAGCCCCCACCACTTACTGGAATAAGAAGGAGGATCAAGGATGCTGCTGCAAAGAAACTGCCGATGTAGTCGATGCTCTTCAACTTCTCCCTGGTGGAGAGAACTGAGTCCAAGCTTTTCTTCTTGCTTGATACTGAAAAATACACCAAGAAAATGATCACCAGAATTATGGGAGGCATAATGCGGTAGAAATCTCGCCATGTTCTTTGCTCTGCAAAATATGCCATGATGAGGGGCCCTACTGCATTACCGATTCCGACACTTGACCCCAAAATACCCTGTAGTTTGCCCCGCCGCTTTAGCGTGACAACATCGCTCATAATTACCATTGACAAAGAAGACACGCCCCCACTGCCTATGCCAGCAATTGCCCGGAAGATGTAGAACTGCGGGCCATTAGCGGCAAAGCCACAAAGTAAACTGGAGATGAGAAGCAAACAAAGACACGCTAGCAAAACTTCCTTGCGGCCAAAAATATCCGCAAACCGGCCAAAAAACACTTGGAATACAGTGCTTGCTAGCAAAGAAGCAGTACCCGCCCAATTAATAGTATTCTGGGCGTCGAGGTCTTTTGCGATATACGTGAGTGCCACCGTGACACTGGTCTGGTCACAAAAGGCCGCAAATAAACTGAGCGAGGTTCCGAGAAGACATATGAGTAATTTTTTCATTGACAAAAGATTCACATGAGCGTTTCCCAATTGGTCCTCCAAGTGTTCTGGGGGGTGTTTCTGCTCCACTGGTGAGGTGGAAAATGAGAGGTAGTTGGCGTTGCTTTCTTTGTTGGAGGTTTCGTCATTATCCTGTGAATTGTGGGCGAGCCTCTCCTTGGAGATTGTGTTGGGGTCTGTAGAATTGCTCATTTACAGTGATTTTATGGGAAGTCAGAAACTGAGCTGTGTTTTCAAGGTTCGAAAGGAAAGAAAGCAGCGATTTATTATGATATCATATACCGACACAAAAGGTTCGGCAGGTAAGGGCTGGCAAAGGAAACAAGCAGCATAATCAGATTATAAAAGCGTTTATATTCGAAAATAGTACGTCTTTCTGCCCTGTCTTGGGCTTAGTGAAAGCAGCCTGACAATTATGTTCGCAGCCGACTAGTAAAGTTTGCAGCTCTTATCGCGTAGTCACCCGCATACATGTAGTGCATATAAAATATGGCGGTGTGATGGACTATCTCGCTAGCGTGCCCTTTTTACATGGCTTTGGCTTTTATTCGAGCATATTTCTATTTTTTGGAATTCAAATAAATTACAGTACGCCAGGTTAAACTTCAGTCCTTGTGGTGCTGGTTTGAAGTGCAAAAACAATCTGGTGTGCATGCACTGCTTTTGGACTGCTGGAGTCTACCCTGCGTGAAACGCTTATTGAAAATATAGGCCCGTCTGGAGATTGATACAATATTGTATACAATTTCAAAATGCATATAAAAGTGACAAGTTATATTGAAGTGTATGGGTGAAAGGATTTGAGCTTATGGTAAGGTGGTAAGGACCGCATCAGTGGGGCCAGGGCAACATATGAAAGACTTGAAGGTAATCTGAATAGGGGTTTTCCCAACGGAAGGGAGAAGAAGGCACATGCCTCCTTTTAATGTCTTCTGAATATGCGACATTAGACTCTTTTTAAATCGTGTGTCTCAACAACAAGATTAGAACATCCTATTTCAACAGCCTGAGGGCTCATGAATCCATACCCAGTTACTCCCCCATATGTCTTGAGATGCCCCTAATTTATCCACCTTCGATTGTAGAATTGCCACGTTTAAAGGCGTGTCATAAACAAAAAGATAATCTCATAACAAAGCTGTACAGATGTAAAAGAATGTCTATACATCTGTTTTCAAACTAATTTTGACGGCTTTTGATACTATGTCTTGCTTTGCCATCCCGACTGGTATTTACTGCTCCCTGATAAAGCCTTTTGAGTTGTCATAACAACTGTGTAGATATAATGCTCTTGTATTCCGAAGGCCGGAATATTTCAAATTTCAAAATAACATGTGTTTTTTTTTCACAAATGATACACCATATATGTTCTTGATGAAATTACTCATACTACCAAGAGAACTAAACTCAAGAATAACCGGATATTGAGTTGAATCAACACTGGTAATTGCAAGAAACTCTTGCATGTTCGCTTATAGTCACGATTAAGTGAATGTGATTCATGCTAGGTCATTTGTACAGAGCGGGAATCCAGTTTTTATCTCCAGAAAATAATGTTTTTCAGATAGGAGAAAAGCAGTCAATCCTGGTTGACAGATGGCCAAAACAACTCTTTTTTTACCGGGCTCGCTATTATAGCTACGGTGAGTCTTACTTTGGCCCGAGCTTTTATTTAGGTGTGTCATACTCGCTGTGCAAACCTGCCACTGAATCGCTTTTTGGCAATTAGCCATAGCATCAGATGTGTTGCGTTAGTGGATTTTGAGCCATAGAGCGGAATAATAATTTAGTTACAGTTGTTCCACAGGGCCAGCTCACCCACTCTCCACGGTGTTTAAAAGCAAAGACCCTTTCTAAAGACTCTATCGCATAATGTGGATCACTACTTGTGCTTAAAGGCAGTTCTACTATATGCTCTGTATTGATTTTGAAGCTATACCTAACCTTTCACCTATGATTTCTCTGGAGTCATCAGCTCTTCCTGTTGTGACCCACTAGGCATGTCTATATTCAACTTAGCCACGGTGCAAAATATGTTATTCCTGACATTGAAGTCCTTTGTGAGATCTCTTGTATGACTGTATTGCTAGATACGAGCTGCACAATTGTGTATGGCAGTATCCTGAACCGGGTGTATCATCGTCAACAGGTCTTTTGCACGGGACTTGCGGAATATACAAATATACTTCTATTTCACTTTTGAAATGCATAGAGTGTCTGCCTTGCGTCTCGATTATAAGGGGGAAGGCTCTGAAAGAAAGGAAACTTTATGTGGTGTTCGACGTGATATCTGATGGAGCTCACACCAAAGTGCATACAGGCTAATATTTCATAGGGTATGTCATCGTCCAGCTGGTACCAAGTCCTTATAAGTCGATATATAATACCATGCAGTTACTTGGAGCCAGCGAAGGAATGTAATCCATAGGTTTGCTCCCTCGGATGCCTAAAACAGCTCTACGGAAGAGCCTGGGCCAGGGTTAGCGTGATTTCCGCCAAAAAGTTGAGATTTGAAGAGACTGAACAAGAAGAAACGGAATGTGAAACGCTTTATCAGAGAGAGAACTCCAAACTCGGTGGTTTGGTGCATCGAAGGACAACATGTAGGCTTGTTCCAGGCACCAGGCGGATCCTACACATAGCACCCCGTCCAGAGGTCCCATTTCCGGAGGAAGAAGGCTTAAACCAGAGGCAAATAGAAGACCAACATACACCAATTCTCGCTTTAGACCGATTCCCGCGATAGAGAATTCTCACCAGTGACCAATTCTCATGAAAGAGAAATTCTCACGATAGACCATATCTCACGACAGACCAATTCTCACGATAAACCAATTCTCACGATAGACCATATCTCACGATAGACCAATTCTCACGATAGACCAATTCTCACGACAGACCAATTCTCACGATAGAGAAATTCTCACGATGGACCAATTCTCATGAAAGAGTATTTCTCACGATAGACCAATTCTCACCAGAAACCAATTCTCAGCCAAAACCGAGGCTCCACCAAGTCCCTTCTAATTTGGCCCGCACACGACCCGCGCACGCCCGCGCCTGAGCTCGGAGATCGCAGTGCACCCAAACCACCGCTGCCCCACCCAAACCAACGCCCAAAAGCACTGCAAACGTGTCTGCACGCATCATGGTGAAGGACACCACATACTACGACATTGTCGGCGCCGCGCCGGGCGCCACGGAGGTGGAGTTGAAAAAAGCGTACCGCAAACGGGCCATCCAGCTCCACCCGGACAAAAACGGGAACGACCCCGGGGCCGCGGCCAAGTTCCAGGAGTTGGGCCAGGCGTACGCGGTGCTCTCCAACGCCGAGAGCAGGGCGCTATACGACGAGGTGGGCGTGGAGGGCCTCAGCGAAAGCCGCGCGGAAACCGCCGCGGACATCGATCCCAGCGAGCTCTTCAAGATGATCTTTGGCGGCGGCAGTTTTGCGCCCTGGATCGGGCAGTTGTCGATGTTCGACGAGATGTCCGAGACCGCGGAAATCTTGGCCGAGAGCGACGACGAGGCGGGCGGCTTGCAGGCCCAAGGCGGCCAGGCGAGCACGGCGCAAGCCTCGGAGCCCGGCAGCCCCGGCCCAGCGGAACAGCCGCCGGCGGGCGCCAGCAACGCGCCGTCCGAAAACGGAAATACCGACACGTCCACAAACGGAAACACCGAGACGTCCGTGTCCACGTCCGTGTTGGGCGCGGAGGCGGCCGCGGCGGCCGTGCAGCTGCGCCCCGCCACGCCGTCCGCGGACTTGAACACCGAGGTGCAGCACAAGAAGAAGCACAAAAAGAAGATGACACGTGCGCAGCGGGAGCGGCTCGTGGCGGCGCACGACGCGTCGCGGCGCCGCAAGGAGGAGCGGATCCAGGCGTTGACCGCGGCGCTCGTCTCGCGCATCGACAGCCTAAGGAGCTGCGCCTCGGCCGAGGCACGCGACGGTTTCCGGGGCAAGCTCCGCCGCGAGTTGGAGGACTTGAAGATCGAGTCGTTCGGCATCCAGCTCTTGCACTTGATTGGCCGGATCTACGTGCAGCAGGCGCACGCCACGGTGCAGGCGTCCAAGACGTTTGGCGTGTCCAAGCTCTTCACCAGCGTCAAGTCGAAGAGCGAGCGCGTCAAGAGCGGCTTCCAGATCGTCAAGAGCGCGTTGGACGCGCAGGCGTCCGCGGAGGACATGCTCCGGCACCAGGCGGAGTTGGAGCTGGGCGGCGCGGAGCTCACGGAGCACGACCGCCACCAGCAGATGGAGGCCGAGCGCTTGATCACGGGCAAGTTCTTGGCCACGGCCTGGGCGTCCACGCAGTTCGAGGTGCAGGGCGTGCTCAACAAGGTGGCGCAGCGTGTGCTCAACGACAAGGCCTTGCCCAAGAAGGAGCGCGTGGCGCGGGCGCGGGCCATGCTGTTCATCGGCAACGAGATGCTCGCCACGCGCCGCACGCCCGAGGAGGAGGAGGAGGCCCGCATCTTCGAGGAGATGATGGCCGAGGCCAGCGCCAAGAAGTCCCACGGCAAGAGGAAGAAGAAGATGGACCAGCAGGACTTCGAGAGCTACTATGCCGCGGTGGACCCCGAGTCCTCCAAGGAGTGAGAGCGCCGTCGAGGCGCGCCCCGCGGCTGCGCTGCTCGTCCACGGGTCCAGGGCGTGGGGCCTTGCGTTTCGACGTGCCGGTGCTCGCGCCTGTCTCTGTCGTGTGGTTCCGTGGGTGCTGGCCGATTTCCGTGATAGCCGGCTCTGGTGACGGCCATCTCATGGTCATCTCATGGTCATCTCATGGTCATCTCATGGTCATCTCAAGGCCATCTCATGGTCATCTCATGGCAATCTCAAGGCCATCTGATGGTCATCTCAAGGCCATCTCAAGGCCATCTCATGGTCATCTCATGGTCATCTCATGGCCATGTCATGACCATCTTCGTGGCCGTTGATCATTTGCGTGATGGCCGGTTCGTGTCAGTCAGCCTCTGTGTCGGCCAGTTCCATATCGACCAATTTCATGTCGCCAGCTTCATGTCGCCAGCTTCATGAGGGTCATATTCGTGACGGTCATGCCAATGACGGCCATTTTCGTGGCGGTCGTTCATCGGCTTGCCCATACTGGCTCGGCTAGACCTTAGCGGCCCGCGCCGGACTCGCAGTGTGCGGAAATCGCCAAATCCTGCATGGCCCGCCATCGTTAGGCACCCGGCCGCTTTCCGTCTCCGCTTTCTCCGCGCCTTCAGTCCCAGGCTTCTTCGTCCCCATCCAAAATGGCCCCCTCCAACAAACAAATCCTCAGTCTTTACAGGCAGCTTTTGTCCAAGGCCGCCAAGTTCGACAACTACAACTTCAGAGAGCATGCCAAAAGAAGAGTCCAGGACTCGTTCAGGGAACACAAGGCGCTCAAGGACGAGCTGAAGATCACGGCATTCTACAACGAGGGTGTTGACAACTTGGCCATGTTGACCAGGCAGACCGCCATCTCGCAAATGTTCACGTTCGACAAGCTTGTGGTCGAGCCGTTGAAGAGCCATCATTAGATGCGCATGGGTCGAAAGACTCATTATCGGCCGACGGTGGCAAGTATGCGAATGGCTATTTAACGGAAAGGAGGATAAGGAGAAAGGGTGTGGTCTTGAAACTAGCTCAGATGTGACGCGGGGGGGGATTGAAAATATAGTTTTAATGTAAATTGTACGAATCGGGAGATCAACGTAAGGTGCGCTCTGGGGCTGTGATCTTTGCGTCACGAGCCTGGACGCTCCAAGCAAGCCAAGTTGCTGCATTTAGCAACCACCTTTTGCCGGCGATTGGATTGTGGATTGCTGAAATTGACGGAGTTCACCATACACTTGGCTGGTTCAAGTTTCAAGATACGGCGGAGCCTGTAATCGAATAGGACGTTTAAAATGTCACCTATTTTGCTTCTGAGGGCTACTCTTCTTATATCCAAGCAAAGCCACTTCTGTCTAGATACAAAAGTCAATACCACTTTAGACTAGCCTTTTATGGAAAGAGACATGTGCGACACGAATTTGTGCATAGTATCCAGTCTCCTCCGAAAGAGGTGAACTAGATCAAAACATACCACGTTATCTGGTCTCAAGACAAAGGGACCGAGACAGTCTCAACACATCCAAAAAATTATGAGCAGATTCGAAAAGTACGCCAAAAAACTGCAATACATCTCTTTTATTCTTGAGAATATGTGGCTGAGGCATGGAATCGAATCGAGTCTAAACCGTGATAGGCGCTTCGCCCACAGTGTGTGCCAGAGTGTTTGACGAGGTTTGGACTATGCGCTATAAGTATCCGCCAGTAGCTGGTATATATAAGCTGATGCATTCATATGCGGCGGGCTACTCTTCGAAGACGCATTTGAAAATTATGACGGGTCTATTTAACTAGAACAAGCGCATACAATTGTTGTGGCAAATTCACCAGACTCACAGTGAAACCATATCTGTCTGGTAAAAACTGATAGTATGTGAAAAGCGGCTTTCCGCTTTCTTCCTAAAGTCCATTGCGATAAACTGAGCTCATATTCCCGCAGGCCCACAAATTAGTTGGCGTGTTCGAGAAGCTTCATCAGCATCCCTATACGTCTATTGTATATTTTTGATTACTGTCCACGAAACAGATCTGCGTGAATAACTGCCACATTTTTCATGCAAATGCTTGAAAATGTTTAGTAAGCAGAGAGAACGATGGCATTACCATGATTTGTCTGCGTTACTGCGTGAAGTGAAAAGTGTCAAGCAGTATGGAGGCACAGAAAAAAATTGATCATTGCTTTTGGAGCTTTTCTCACTTAAAAACGCATCCGGGGCGAAACTTTGAGCAAGGTCCGTTTTCTCTCATCACATAATCACACATAGACAATTCTAACATATGAAAACACGAAATAGAAAAAGCCCTTTGGAATTAAGTTATCAATTTCAAAGGCGCCGAATAGCGCGCATCAAGTCGTTGAACCTATATTGCCTATTAAGTCATCAAGGATAGGATAAAACAATGTGGCCACAATAAATACTGAAAGCAGCGGACTGAATATCTTCTCACAAATGCTAGCGTCGAAGTTCGACAACCTATATGGGTACAGGAAATACCCCCGGTCATTTTCCAGTAGGTTGGCGGCGAAATTTTACGACGCGCTGTATACAGGCAACGCACTATTAGAGTTATCGCCCACGTGCTGAGAGTTACTATTCGGGCGCATCTCTGCTCGCCTGCGCATAGAACCACCACGTTTCTTGACTATATTAGACGGCCCGAAGCTGGACGAGAAAGTCATTGCATATTTCCACATATATATTTTCTTGGCAAGATTCCAATAATGGCACCGCAGAAGACAGTTGACCTCAACAAGCCGTTGGACGCGGCCGAAGAGGCCGTAATTCGTCGCGTGCCTCTAGAACCAGAGTTGGCCACAGTGGCCTTGACTTTGCATGGAGATATCTATCGACAAGCACAAGGAAAAACCAACCATGCAATCGTGTGGCACCCTCTTACACAGGCGTACATTTGTATTGTTTTTTTGGTGTCTACAGCCTATGTGTTCAAGGACTTGGTGGAAGTTCTGGACTCAATGAGAGAGTTTTTCGACTTGCTCATGCACAACAAATATGTGTTGACCAGATACTTCCCCGCAATGATTTTTGTGGCAGGGACAGTGGGGCTCATCAGTTTTACCATCACGGATGAGTTCCGGGTCATCAGCGATAAGATGGCCTCTGACAAGTACATGGCGCAGGTTTTCCGGTTTCCATTGAGAATCTACGCCAATGCCCAGCCCACCGAGCAGAACTCCGCTTTCGTCAAGTCGGCCTCCCAGAGCACTGATTTTATCGAGTACAGAAACTCACCGATTGCTGTGGTCACAGTTGTGCCCTTGCCAAACCAGTCGACTAGCGACACGTTCTTCGCCAAGATCACCGGGCTTCATGTCAGAAAATCCTACCGCAGTGCTGGTGCTGAAAGTGATCTTTTGGAATATGCTAAGGAAAAGGCCAGACTGCTTTGCAGCCGATACGTGGCCGACAACAAGATACACACCAAGAACATGCGTATTGTCTTGGTGGCTGAGGCGTACTCTGTGGACCAGAACCTCACTTCGCTTTACCAGAAACTGGGCTTTTCGGTGAAAAACAAGACGACCAAGTTGGACCCGTACTCGGCCGAGGCCACGAAACACTTTTTCTACGTGATTCCAGCAGGTGCGCTCTTGAATTTTTTTGGAGTCTTCAGAGTCACCTACGAGCTTCAGTTGGACAATGTCGTTGACTTGGTGGCAGAATCTTCTGCAGCGAAGAAGAACAAGAACAAGCTTCGCAAAAGGACGTAATATATGGCGCAGAAGCCAAATAATGAACAGTAAGGCGAGGGTTGTTAGCCTGAGGGTGCTCATGAGCACATACATGTATCGGGGCAGAACCCATATGTCTCAAAGGCGAGAGTTACTTTGGGTTTATACATGCCGGGCGGTGGGAATGTAGATTTTCTAACAGCACAATCCGAGCCGTTTCAATCTACACGCAATTATCACAATCAGTTGCAATAAAAAAAATTACGCTGACAATGGGTAAACTATTGACAGACTTTTGATTACTAAGGTCGATTGCAGCATGCTCGAGACTATTTGAAGAAGGCTTGAAACGGATGCTCCGGTATTCTGGCCTGTTCACCTGTATTTTGATAGCAAAATAGGACTCTATACACATACGCCTGCGGCTTATGTAACCACATGGAGCGGTCTTTCTGGGACTCAGCAAAGGGACCCTGCTCTAATCTAAGAGACCGACAGCCTTGCGACTGCGTCTCCCCTTTCTGCTCTTGATAGCAATGCGGGCGATCCATAATACCAACAAAAACAGGATCATGTAGAGAGAATACTTAAACAGGGTCTTAATTCTGGCGACCCACCTGTGCACAAAAGTCGCTTCGGGATCGCCATACTTCGCCAACCTGTGTGCTCGTTCGTTCTCCTTTATTCTTCTTTCAGCATTTCGCAAACGCGAGATGGACTTTCGTCTCCGTTCTTTCGATACGCCTTGGTTTCCCACGGGCGCCTGCTGTTGCATTATGTGTTCCAACTCGTCTATGGATTCGATGTAGTGATCGAAATCGGGCAGATACAAGGCATAGATCTTGCTCTCGATGATGTCGACGTTCTCATACAACTCGCCGGTTTCAGCCGAGATGCCGATGTAGAACTTTTCTGGAAGCACCACGTCCATGACCGAGAAGCAGTTTTTCCACTCGCTCGATTGGTCCGGGTCATGGTTGAAGTCTACGGACAAGTAGCCGTTTCTCGTGTGTACTATCCGCATGCGTGTTTTTCCCAGAGCCGGGTTGACTATCGGCTTTGGCAGGCATGAAGCGATCATTGAGTCCATGCCGTCCGTGTGTTTGTCGTAGAATAAAGATGAAGAAGAGTACTGCGCATTAACGAGTGGGAAGCCACCCCTTCTTCCGTTCTGGAAGGTGTCCATGAAAATTCCCAAGCCTTTAAAGTTGTTTTGCACTCCAAAAACGTCACCCAAAGGAAGCGGGTCTGCAGTGAACCACACGGCCATGCCGTCCGGAAGCAACTTTTCTTCACTGTGAATATGAAACGTGAGTTCCATCTCGAATGACTCGGCCTCCACAGGGGCTTTCAGGAACATTCTGCTTGCCTGGTGCTTGTGGTCAGATGTGAGGCTGATATGCTGCCCGTTTTGGACTACCACGTCACCCTCGAGGTCCCAGTTCGCCAGCTTCAAAGTATGCTGGTCCAAGTATGGCGATGAAATTGCGTGCTCGGGCAATTCGACGCGCTTGACAGAAACCTCGCTTTTCTTGTTTTGAAACATGTCGTTGATTTCCTCCGGCGAGAACTCCTCGGGCTTGCCCATGAAGACAAACCAGTAGACGGCCACAAGCGAGGCTAATGACACTAAGGCCATTAACACCCTTGTTCTTAGGGCCGACATTACAACCAGCTGATTTGAAAAGAGCGAGAGTGAATTCAGAGTACTGAGCTGCCGAGTCACCGATAGCCTCGTTGCTTTTTCCCTGTCTTGCTGCTAATGGCAATCTGCGGGAGGGTTGAGAAGCTTACAGTTCGGACACGTATCCGCGAAATGGTCAGACATGTCTAGTTGCATAAACGACAGGACGCCTTCTATGGCTGAGCTTACTATGCACTACGAAAACATCTCAGCCTGGGCTACCCCGGGAGAGGCTGTAAATACGTATTTGTCGTATATGCGATGCATGCCAGCTCACGTGAACTGAATCATGTTACTAGTGTTCCTCTGTGATACAAGGCGCAATTTAAGTCTTGAGCACTGAGCCAATCCTCCCGTTTCGAGCAAACAGTGCGGTGGCATGAAAAGCGGGGTGCTAGAGTGTTTCCAAGGGCTGGGAATATTTTGTTGCATGCAGAAAGATGCAGACTCTAAAGTTGCATTCGTTTCACTTGAAAATACACAGATTCGATGGGTTTCCTAGCTCCCCCACTTGTGCAACCGAAAGAATACAAAACTTTATACACAACAGGGAATAGTTAGGACATCAACGACCATAACAAAGTCCCAACAAATTACACCACTGGTATCAGATGTGCTGGTCTTTGAATGAGGAATCACTTCATGTAACAATAAGTATCGGATTTTGATTTATATTATGTCTTCCCAAATTATGCATCGTGGGATGACTTCCTTTTCTATACATGCTATATCCGGCAGAGGCGGCACTAATCCTGGCAGCTGCGGGATTGGATACCTTGAGTCTGACTTTGATGTTACAAACAGAATTATGTCTTGTGTCTCCGAATGACATAAAAGATAAGTCTTCGAGTACCAGAGGTGTTCTGGATCAATTCCGGAGTATTTGGATGGCAGAATTGTGTATCAAACACCTACCAAACACACAGAATGATGCGGTACTGGTTCTACGCTGGAGTCTGTATTTCCTTTATTCCTCGTATCGCTAAAATGTCTGCTATATACAAATATCACCTACCGAAAACAACCGTCCTCATCGCACTCAACCACGTTTCCTTGCCCTCGCCCTTTATCTCCGATAAGATCCGCTCGTAGTATTGCGGGTTGCCTTTGGGCTTCAATAACTTATCATCAAGCTTATAGTAGTTCCTGTACTTGTCGTTGACCAAGTCACACAAGGAAATGTACTGAAGCTTTAAGTCTTGCTCTGGAATCAGTTTCACGACGTCTGGTTTCTGGAACCTCTCAAGCTGCAAGTCCTTGAAAGAAGCATAATGTTTGATTCTGTCTTTGGGAAGGGTCTTCAAAAGCGACACTATCTTCTCCGCAAGTTGAGCTCTAGAGGACATGGTGGGAATGGCCTTCTATGGTGGCACTGCGTTTTCTCATCCACTCTAATGTCATTCGTGCGCCTGTGTGCACACCAACTCCAAAATCTGATGAAATTTCTCCGAGCTGCCTCTTGGACACGGCTGTTTCGGTGGACCCCTCCGTTTAAAAAATAGCAAAGTGAGGCTATTATCAATCACTCAAGACTTTAATTATTGATGGAGCAATTGTTTTGTTCAACACTGATGTAAACTCGGACTCGTATTGCCCTAGATAATCGGTCGCATCACTAGAGGACCTAGACCAGAACTACATTTCGATTGAACACTTTCCACGGCCTTAGTATCGTAAGGCTTCAGAGTTAAGTTCCCCCAGTCCCATTACTGGGTAACTTTGAAGAGTGTGAACATCTCGCTAGACCAAAATACAACATATCACGTGACACCTCGGGGCTCGGCCGTACCAGGCCCGTTGGAGACGGGAAAAAATTGGGCAGATAAGTCCATTAGTTTTCACTGACAAAAACACCAAAACGCTTCGAAACCATGCCTACACCTAGACTTATTTTTGTACGTCATGGCCAGACCGAATGGTCCAAATCGGGACAATACACTTCAGTTACCGACTTGGAGCTCACCAAATTCGGTGTTTCTCAGATGAGAAATACAGGCAAGCATTTGATCGGCAACACGCCCTTCCAGATGATCAAGCCTGCAGACCTCAAGTTGATTATCACGTCGCCAAGAAAAAGGGCCAAGCAGACGGCCGATTTGTTGCTCGAAAGCTTAGATGACGAAGCCAAGGCGAACATCTCGATTTCGGAGGATAACGATTTGAGAGAGTGGGAATATGGCGATTACGAGGGGCTCACAACGCCCCAGATTCTCGATTTGCGCAAGCAGAGGGGACTTGACCAGGATGGCGTGCGCTGGACGATTTTCCAAAAGGGCTGCGAGAATGGCGAGGACCATCTTCAGGTGACAGAGAGAATCGACCGTTTGATCGCCCGGATCCGGACCGTACACGCCAAAGCCATTGAAGATAATGCAGCATGTGATGTTTTGATTGTGGCACACGGCCATATTCTCCGTTGCTTTGCCGCAAGATGGGTTGGCAGGCCGCTTAATGTGAACCCAGACATGGTTTTGGATGCTGGCGGAGTAGGTGTTTTGAGTTACCAACACTGCAACATCAACGAACCTGCCTTTTATTTATCTGGTGCGTTCACAGTGCCAGTTGATCAGGAGGAATCGGAGCAGTAGATATGGGGATAGAGATTAGAAACATGGACTAGAGATAGGTGCTGGAATGAAGATAGATGCTAGAATAGAGACTAGAGACTAGAGAATAGAGAATATAGAATTGAGATGGAGATAGAGATAGACATACATATGAGATATGGGGACAAAAATGGGGTTTAGATCTAGACACTAGGTATATAAATTGAGGACTAGAAATAAGCACCCCTGACTCGTCTAATTAACAAGAATGCGCAGAAGGGGACTAGGAAATATTTCTCAAGTGCAAGTGATTCTTTCTGGAATGCGCTTTGTTGATCGATCGTATATTGACAAGAGTCTTGACATTGATTGTGAATGCACGTTGCTGCGAAACAAAACGAATATATGGAAGGAATCAAATAGCAGAGTCCGTACCTGCTAGCTCTCACATAAATTATCACACGTGTGATATCACGTCAATTTAAGCATCATTATACGAGTGTTTTGAATCTTTCAAAACTCAACTCTGCTCAACAGACTTGTCGAAAGAACGTGGTACTTGGCATTCGCGTTACTCAAGATTCTCGGCCCAAATTCTTCCGAATATCGGGGCACAAAGCATGCCAATGTTGATCCTCAGATCAAACTATGAGACCAGAGAAAAAAATGACTTGCGCTTTACCATACGTATATTCTCGAGTAGAATTGATTTTCGTCGGGTCATACCTGGCGCTATGATTATCAAACATGAACCGAAACAAGTTCTGCTTGTATTTTGCACAACATACTTTCCTCGGTTACGAAACTTGTGAAAAGAACTAGGAAGATAAAGTCCCTTCGTGACCTAGTTGCTGGATCATGGCATCAATATATTCGCAACGGCTTCTAATACAATTATTGAGAACATAGTTGCTTCCTTTGGCTAGATGACAAATGCAGAGCGGGGATTGTATGGTGTGTAAGTTGGCGGCTATATGAGTCTTTCAGAATGAATAGAGATTTTACTTGAGGTGTTTGATGTTTCGTGAATCAGACTTGCTAGGCACTTGTGATGAGAGGACGACATAAAGTCATAATTAAGCTAGATAAAAGGCCGGGATACTAAAAAGATCAATATTGGACCGGGCCATCACTTTATGTCCTTTCTCGGGACAATGAAGGCAAATAATTTTCACGATTTTTGATGCGATTGATTCAAAGGTGTGCCTGTGGAAACCAGAGCATCAAGAATAGGCTGCCGCGGATTGAGTATAATTCAGAAGTAAATTGACTTTCATTCGCCTTACACAAATTTTGTTCAAAAGAAGTGCCCCAAATAATCATCTGTGCCAAAATCCTACTCAAATAGCAGGGGCATATCTGGACTCTCGCATCGAGACACTTTTGGTCATTATACCTGTGCTTGCACTTTGGCGAGACTAAGCGAGACCGCTTTTCGCAACAAAGACCCAGTGACAAGTGGTTTGCAACCCTGTTACGAAAAACTCCCTCGAACCTGGCCAGATCGAAAACCCAAATGGCCAACTGTTTATCATGCTCTTTTTCATCCTTGGTGATACTCCGCATGTCCACTCACATTATTCGGCTACACAATCACGCCAACGATACCTAAATACAATAAATAGGCAATGCAAAACACAATAAAACACAATAAAAAACACAATGAAAAACAGAAGAAAAAACACAATAAGAAAATGCAAAGCACGCACGCCTTCAGCATGCACGAATAGACACACGTTTCATCTAACCAGACCCGTTTCGGTGCCTTTGCCCGGCCCCCATTCCCGGGCATTACATAAAAAAGCAGATGCAGTTCAGCCGGCCCGTTTTGGGTGTTTTTCCCAGTTGCCCATTTCCAGCCAGCACAGAGCAACGGGCAATTCCCCGAAATCTGGTGACAAAAAAACCAGCACCAAAAATCCCCATGGTGCCAGAAGCAGGGCCCCAGGCATTATGTGCAGAGGGCCGACCTGTCAAACGGCTCGCCAAATGCCGCGCCGCGTTCCCCGCCATGCCATGTCACGGTTACTCGTTGTTCTTTTCCGGACCGTTGCAGCCAGTCGAGACGGGCGCCACACTGGATTTGGCCACCCCTGTTTTCTTCTGCCGCCCTACAAAAACCGCAGGCCACACTCTCTTTTCTTTTAAATATCTCTATATAGAATCCAATGCCGTCTGTCCCCCGCCGCTCACCCAGCGCTGTGCCCGTCTGGCTCGATTGCGATCCAGGAAATGACGACGCCTTTGCCATCTTACTAGCGGCCTTCCACCCGAGCTTCCGGCTTTGTGGCATTTCCACGGTGCACGGGAACGTGAGCTTGCGCAAAACCACGCGCAATGCCTTGGCGTTGCTTGAGAAATTGCGCTTTGCCCAGGGCGAGATCCCGGTATACGCCGGGGAGCCGGCGCCGCTCGTGGTGCCGCCTTTGCACGCCGAGGCCATCCACGGCAGCTACGGCATTGGCGGCACGGATTTGCCCGAGACCCCGGGCTTGCAAGCCAACACGGAAATGCCGTACACCGAAGCCATGGCCAGGGCCGTGGAGGACCACGCCGGCGAGCTCTGTATCGTGTGCACGGGCGCCCTCACGAACCTCGTCAAGTTTATGGCGCGGTTCCCGGGCCTCGTGCCGAAAATCAGGCTTGTTTCCATAATGGGCGGAGCCTTTGACTGCGGCAACATTTCGCCCGGCGTCGAGTTCAACATGCGGACCGATCCCCATGCGGCGCAGAGGGTGTTTGCCGCCCCGGGCTTGGCCAACAAGATCTTGCTTGCGCCGCTCAACCTCACCCACACTGCATTGGCCACCCCGGCCGTTCGCCTGGCCATCTACAACCCGCTGGGGAAAAACAGCTCGGCATTGCGGAAGATGTTTTCGCAGATCTTGACTTTCTACAACAACGCGTACGTCAAGAAGTACGGTCTCCACCAGGGCCCGCCGATCCACGACCCACTTGCGCTTTTCCTCCTCTTGCCGAAGCTTGCCAGCGAGGCCCCTGAGCTCCTGGAGTACGCGGAGTCATGTGACTTCCATTATCTCCAGAGACACTTGGACGTCGCTACCAAGGGCGACGAATTGGGGCGCACGACCTACGTGGACTCCAACTTGGACCCGTTGCGTGTGGAGCGAGGCGGTGTTTTTGTTGGCCAAAGTGTGAACATCCCGTTTTTCTGGAGGCACGTGCTTGCGGCCTTGGACCTCGCCGACGCCCAGGTCCTCAGCCGGAGCTAGCCTTGGAACGTACGACTTATGATATCAAAAGCCGGTGAATCCATGTCCTGGGGTACGAGCGCACATACCCCTTGGGCATATGGAAGCTGTCGCCACGGCCCTGGCCCTAAGACGAGCTTTTCATATTCATGCATTAAGTTCACATATACCCGCGCTGTCCGAGCAGCATACCAGGTGTTAGTCTGTCTGATGGGCCAGTCGTCCCATGTGGCAAACTCGAGTCTAGCTGTCCCAGTGTTTGGAGACAAAAATATGTACGTATAGTTAAAAGTTTCAATCCTGGACCGACGCATCTCCGCTCTGGGCGTTGATCCTTTCAACAATCGGCATGCCGATGGTCCCGATACAGTTCAGGGCCCAGATCACGTCAAGATGGTTATATTCGGCAAGCTCCACGACCTCCAAGTTTTTTGGCTGGGAGTAGAAGTGGCGCTCGTAGTGTTTCATGTGACTGGCAAACCGGAGCCCGTCCACCAAGTAGTCCTCGCCACCCACAAACACCATCATGGGCACGATGTTGGTTTTTTCGGTGGTGGAAAACCACTCGGCCTTGTACGGGAAAAGTGTCTTACTGTCTTTATCGTGAGCGTCGTCGATTTCACCCATGTTCTTTTCGAGGTCCTCATTTTGAATAGGCACAGTCTCATCTCGGCTATTGAGGGGCGTAAAGTCCGCCGTTGTCCTGTCTTTATACGCTTGTTTCAGCTGGAGCTGGTTCAGAAAGCCCTCCTCCACAGAATAGGAAAGCCACCATGACATCAACTTTGCCGAAACAAGACTGGCATTGAAGAGGAACTGCACATGGATGACTTTCTTGTGGTTGTAGCAGTTGCGGATGTTCCACCCAAATAGGTACTTGAAAATCTGGTATGAGAGAGTGCTAAAGAACATGGTGGTTCCCATCAAGTTTCGAAGCTGGGTCAACATAGCCAAAAAACAGCAGTTGCCAAAGATCATTTTGTACATCCGCGGCGACTTGCTGTGGATGAACTTTATGAAGCTACGCTCGTGGAATAGCCTGCCCGGAAACGCCGCGGGCGCCAATGCAAAGAAGTGCTCGATTTTCGCATGGTGCTCTTTAAGTTGCTCGTTTCGAAGAAGCAAGAGTGTCTGGGTACATCCCTGTGAGTGGCCCACCAAATACACTTTGGCATGGTTTGGCTTATGCAGTAAGACGTTATCGATGATGCAAGGCAAGTCGTAATACGCCAAGTGACGCACGTCCCAGTCCCAAAAATGCTCGTTATGCATGAGATTTCCCTTGAGCGTCAGGTGGTTTGGTTTGAAGCCACATCGGTTGTTGCCCATCCACACGTCGTATCCTTGATGCAAGAAAAAGTACGGAAGTGAGTTTCTGCCGGGCGCCAAATATGCACCAGCACACAGCAAAAGCCCATGCTGCAAGATGATGGGTGTTTTCGCGTCACGTGTTTCCGGGCTTTCCTTAGGGTCTATGAGCCGGTGCAAAACTAGAACGTAGCCGTCCTTGGTGGTGATTTCACGCTCCTCCAAGTCCAAGTCCAACAATTGTGCATAGTATCGCAAGTCACGTGTGATCTTGAGTTTATCTACGTTCGGGTACGGCTCCACGGGGGAATAGTTTGCCACAGCGTTTTCTTTTTTGGGTCTGTTGGCTTTTTCTCGACCGCTGAAAATGTCTCGGAGGTGGTAGATATTGGCGCCTAGGGTCACGGAACATACAAAGAGAAACGAGCCGATGGCCGAGCTCAAAACTATGAAAAATGTGAGCACTGGGCCATGGAGATCGGTTCTTACCGTCGGGTTCAAATTCGACATATTATAGAATAATGATTGTTTTCAGCGAGCGAAGTGGCAGCAAAAAGGTGGTGTTTCTTGATGGAGATATAACGCCTTCATAAGCCTACAGCTCATTGGAACACGCTATGGCTGGCCAGATCTATACGAACCTGTACATAGACGAAGCGGTGAATTTCTTTGTTTACGAACACACGCTATAGACCTGCACGTTGCGATTTGCATCATCTCAATGATGCGCGAGGAAGTAGAGTAGGGAATGCAGTAGACTTGAAACGATGAGATACATTGTTGACTGTGCTCTATTCTTTTTGGGAGACCGAATAAAATGCTGTTTTCATGTCACTCAGTCTTTTAGATCATGGAGAAAACGCTTCGTAAGAAAGATTTTGCCACTCATCGTTGTTCTCCAGAAAGTTGGCAGAAAAGGAACCAAAGTCCCTTTAATAATTTAAAAATGATTGAACGCAAAACTTATAAAACTTTCGAAAATCACTCTTATTTCGGTAAAAATTGTACAGAGAGAATGGTTGTTTTCCGCATATATATCAGCTGCATGAATAAAAACCGTTGTTCTTGGTCGACCAGCCAATAAAATATTTGGTGCTCACCTTTAAAGAGAGATTGTTTTGTAGTTTGGTAACTTTACCTGATGATCGGATCAAGCATATAAATATGAAACAGAACCTTGCAGATATTCATTTGGTACCAAACCATGGCATCTTCGTTATTAATGGCTTTTGCCGCAAATCGTACACGAATTCAATGTACGCAATCAATGCATTTGATACGCATCTATATATAAAGTTACTCCAACTCAGGAAAGTGGATGTGATAGAACGGTTGCATAAAAAATTCAAATCATGACCCATCATTGCCTGGAATCAAACTTTTTTTGTCAGATTCATCTGAGTAAAGGAGCAAGACTATTCAAATCATATATAAATCTGAACTTCTCGGATTCCACCGAAACTGTTCCAAATTTCAACAAGATTATCTCCGATTCCCCAGATATCATTCCTTCAAAAGTCTGACACCATACTTAAACTCACATGTTCACGACGCCCTCCAAAAATTGCCAATGACGCTAGGGAATACAACTCAATCAAGGGATATGTACGCAAACGAAAATCGCAATTCGCAAAAACGCTAGTAGGAGAAGGCAGACAGAAATCAAGAACAGCGTATTGTGATGAAGCCATCAAAACTTTCTTCAAGCCGAAAGGAATCGAATCGAAACAACAATATTCAGAATACTAGAAAACTCAGACTCTGGTGTCTCTAAAGACGAAACGGGAGGGATGCTCACACTCGCCACTGACGACTGCTGAAAGCTCCAGCGTTGTAAGTGCTTTAGACAATTCCTGCTCCGTGTAAGATGCGTCCATCAAAGCCCTCTCTTCAGCCGATGAGCGAGCTTTTATGGGGCGAAGAATTTAAGGCTTATGATTTTTTTTTTTGGTAGATTCATCTGCTTAAAGGGGCAAAACTATATAACGAATATATATAAAAACCTTCAAACAGCTCCCAGCTACGTACCAAGTGTCGTAGCTCGGCCCGTCCACTTCCGTTAGTCACGGCCTGGACAGTCCTCATCTGATTTCCACTGATCGCGGCCCTGGGGAAAAATATCGCGCATAATCTCGCTTTTATTGTTGTACTTTCTACTTCCAAAAAATGAAATGGTCTGATCAACAATCAAAGATTGCGCGATCAAGAAACATAAATTAGTTTGTAATAGCTGGACAGTCCTCAAACTCAAAGAGCGACTTCGTGGCCAAGTTGGCTAAGGCGTAAGACTGTTAATCTTAAGATCGTGAGTTCGACCCTCACCGAGGTCGTTAGTTTTCTTTTTACTTCGTCTTTGAATATGGCTGACAGTTATTTTTAAAGTCAAGGCAATGTGTCCCGCTTTCGGGTGATGGACCAACAACAGAGGAAATCTTATCAATTTTGTGTAAGCGTATACTCTAACTTGTTACAGCTTTCAAGGAAGGCACCTTTTAATGGCACGACAAATTATCTAGATCTTTCTCTCTGATCGTATTTCTAGAGGCATTGAAGACTTATTTTGGTAGTTTTAAAGCTTCTATATGAACAGTTGCATTTCTGTGCTACAAGTGATTGTTTTGCAAGAAAATGTATCAGATAGTTTAAGCTCTTTCAAGGGACATGCAGCTCAAAGTAAGGTACACTTCTTCTAACTATTGTTTGATATTCACCACTTTGTTTTTCTGTTCGCCTTCCTTCGTTGTAAATTTGTATTCCGTTGCTAATATATTTCATTGCAGCGGCTATCATGATTTCGCTCCAGCCTTGTGCAATATTCTTTGTGTTAAGTTTAAGCGCTTTTTTGACCCCGATCTCGAATGGCCTTTCTTCAATGTAAGAGAATCATGATTTTCAGGGAATGGTTTTAGAGCTGTTCAAGTCCTTGAAAACATTAAGACTCTGTTCTTCACCGTAGTCGTTCTTACATTCTTCCCTAGCACCTGGGTATACTTCTGGAAAAGCTTTACTATAGCTAAAGAATTTCCATTCTCTTTCAGCCCAAGTTGAGTCTTCAATTGACTCACCTTTTTCCTTTAGTTCTGAGGCAATGAACTCATTTTCTGCCTAAACACGCAGAACCTTTTTGCCCATGAGCATGGCTATTTGGTCGTCGGTAGCATCAGATGCGTCCATGACAGCTTTAATCAAGTCGGGGTATTTAGAGACGTCCTCCAAACCAGTGGGTCCTTCTGGGATTCCGTCAAAATCAGACCCCAATCCCACATGTTCCCACCCAATCAAGTGGGCAATATGCAAGATGTGGTTGACAGCATCTTGGAGAGTGGCCTTTCCACTGCCACTACTGCTAATAAAGTCTGGGTAGAAGTTTACACACACCACATCATTATTCTCTTTGACCTTGAGTAAAACATCATCTGGAACATTTTGTGGATGCTCACAGAGAGCATGAGCAGACGAATGCAAAAAAATGACCGGCGAAGCCGTTGTTTTCAATGCGTCCCACATGATTTGCAAACTCACATGAGAAAGGTCGACCATCATACCCAATCGGTTCATTTCCCGAATACACTTCCTCCCAAATTCGCTCAAGCCTCTATCTGGGAGTCTACCAGTAACGGAAGATGCAGCAGTGGCAAACGGATTATCACAATTATGTGTTAGAGTAATATATCTACATCCAAGATCAAAGTATCGCCGAAGCACTCCAAGCGATGCATCTACTTGGTGTAGTCCTTTAACACACAAAGTGACTGCCAATTTGTGGTTTTTAAAAGCCGCAATTGCCTCGGCACTGCTACTGACATACTTGAGATTTTCAGGGTACATGTCGGCTAATCTGCGCACAAAATCGATTTGCTCCATGGTGTCTCGAACCACGGTTGTGGGTTTATTGAAATCTTGGTAGAGTGGGTTTGTGTCCTTACATTCAATGAAGCAACTAAAGAATTGAACGCCCACTCGACCTTTGACAAGTTTCACTAGATCTGTATGGCACGTGAGGCCAGATTTGAAAGTGAACTTCTCGTTATCTTGGACTTGGTAGTGAAGCTGTTCCCGGACCAAGTAAGGAAAGTCGTTGTGCGTATCAACTATTGGTGTTTGGTGACCAAGACATCAAATCTTTCGGATGATGCCATTATTGGGACTTTGATTCTTTTTTCAAAAGAACATGCGTATCGGGACGTTCCGAAGAGCAGCCCGATGATTAAGTATGCTTTTTTATCAGTCAATTACAATTCTTCCAGCGCGCGGCCCCAGCGACTCACCGGGACCAGTGGATTTGCTAGCGGATCTTGCCTATTAGGGTATTCCGAAACACGCATCCAGTTACATGACACATATCAACTGCTGATAAGGCACGTCAAACGTGCGACATCTGCGCAAGCTCTTAAACGCACTGCGGAGCCACCTTCCCAATATTGCACTTCAAACTATTTAGAGTTCTTCTATCTTAAAGATTTGTCACTTTAAATAGACAGCCTGTCACTTCAACATGATTGCGTCTACCTACATTCACCCAAGTATCTAGAAAAGGTTACCATTCCGGATGTCACTCAAGGAACAACCACAAGTGACCAATGAGTCGCTCGCGATTCGCCATAGATATGACCCGAAAACAGGCATCAAAAGAGGACAAGGCATATTTCGATGATTGCTCTTGCAGGCATAATTGGCCCGGTGTCTTTATTTGAATGGGATCTGCGTTGAATGCCGGAGGTCCAGTCGGACTAATTGCTGGGTTTGCTATCGTGGGCATTCTTGTCATGATTGTGATGTTTTGTATCGGGGAGCTCAGCTGCGTGTTTGATTTTAATTTCAGCACACATGCTTCCAGGTGGGGGGACCCTGCATTCGGGGCTTCCATGGGGTGGTTCTACGTGTTTTTGTGGATCTGCAACATTATTGCGGAATACGTGTCGGTGATTGCTGTCCTATCATACTACAGCTCCCGGGTTCCGCTTTACGGGTACTTCTTGATACTCTGGCCAGTGTTCTCACTTTATCAAATGTTTGGTGTTGACGTGTTTGGCGAAGTGGAGTACGTTTTGGCCTTCATCAAGATTCTCTTCATCTCGGGATTCTACTTGTTCAGTATAATATACGCCTCCGGTGGAATTGATGGCTACAAGCCTGAAAACGTCTTCAAAGCGAAACCGCTAGCAGGAGGTTTTAAAGGAATTGCCAACTCGTTTGTGTATGCGGGAGTTTTTTACACTGGGATTGAAAGTCTTTCGGTGACTCTTAGTGAGCTGAAAAATGTGAGATCCGCTGTCAAAAGCGCAGTGCGCCAGGCTATTTTCAGAATTTTCTATGTCTACTTTGGAATCTCTATTGCCTTTGGAATAACCGTGGCATACGATGACCCCATGCTATCCTCCGAAAACAAAACCATGCAGTCCCCTATGTCGATTGCATTGATTAATGCTGGCTGAGAAAATGCAGGATACTTCGTGAACACTATTGTATTTGTTACAGCCCTTTCCTCGATTAACAGTGCAATTTACTTTGCTGCCAGAAGCTTAAAGAGACTTGCTGATGACGGTGTGGCCCCTACCATATTTTGCAAGGTTACCAAGCAAGGCGTTCCATGGGTTGCTACGCAGGCTGTCCACATTTTTGGTTTTCTTGCTCTTCTATCTATTTCCAGTGGATCTAAGGTTGCTTATAGCTACATTGTGAATTTGGGGGTTTTTTGTGCTTTTATCGTGTGGACAGCTATCGTATACAGGCATTACCGGTTTCGAAAGGGCTGGCTCAGTCAAGGAAGATTGCTTGGAGAATTGCCGTTCAAAGTGCCTCTCTTTCCATTTCTCAACTACTTGGGAATATCCTTGGGTATTGTATTGGTGTTAGTACAGGGCTGGCTGATTTTCAAGCCTTTTGATGCTGGAAATTTTGTGGACTACTACATTATGGTTCCCCTCTTTTTCATCTGTGTGGCTGGGTTGGGTTAAAAAGCAAGTACATTTTTTATGACTCAATGGATTTTGATACTGACAGAAGCGAAACTGAAGGAATGGCGGACGAATACAGTGTTAAAAAAGTGCCGTGGGCGAAGAGGCTTTGGGAAAGCATCTGAGATCAGACACAGGGCGCTTGTATGCTTTTCAAAATTTATAAGATTAGCGAACAGAGGAAGCTGAAAAAAAAGTTTCGGAATACATCAAAGTCTTTGCTCTGATAAATGCAAGAATATAAGTAAAAGCAAGCTCTATCAGCTATTTTCTTTCCCTGAGGCGGTACAAGGGGATCTCATGTATCCATTGATTTGCCATTTGTCAGGGGGTCGATAAGTTACTGGACTCAATTCATAATTTGCAGAATCAATTGGCGACACGAGGTCCATTTTTGTACTTGAAAATTTTTTTGTCACTTAGGAGTTACATCTGGTTGAAGGATTTAACAACAGAGTTTCAGATATGTTGTTTCGGAAGGTTTATCTTAAATTTTTTGCATACAAACATATGTATTTTTTCGAAGAGATGTATTGAAGGATACCGTTGCCCGGAGAGAAGAGCGAAAATTGTACATCCTAGGAAATCTCAACACTCTCCCAGATGTGTACGAAGCACCTTTTATCGGGTAGAAAAGCCTTTAAATACGTACCTTTGAAACTCGACCCGTCCTCTTCCTTCCTTTTTTTATGTTATTTTTTTTGGTAGAATCATCTGATTGAAGCAGGAGATTCACGCGCTGGAGCTCTTTAGGCTGATTTCTTGAGTTTTTCATTTATGAATTGGCCTTCTCGAAAGTGGCCGAAGGAGGACTGCCGCGAACTGAACAGTATCAAATCTCTGAGTGCATTCAAATGAATATAAACCAAATCGTGCTCATTCCCAAGGATCAGTGCACCATTTGGCGCGTTGGTTTGCCTTTCTCTGAGCATGCCGCAAATACCCGTTAACTAAAGGCTGTCCGGCCCCGGGTGCGACTCCCGGGCAGGGCAGCTTGGGCCTCCAGGTCAAGCGCGGGTGGGAAATTCGGTGGTTCTCTCCATCCCTCCCTGGGGCCTCGGTCCTGGGGCGAACTCATGCTCTTGAGAGCTTCCTGGGCGTAGAAATTTACGCCGGGCGCCGCCATCAGAAAACTAGCATTCTAGGATGCATGGGAGGCGGCGCGGATGGTTGGTTTTCCCGTTGAGGGAAGGCTGTTGAGTGCAATTTGCGGCCTATGGCACCCGATACCGATCATTGCTCAGGGTCAGGACTACAAACTTTTTGCCCGGAAACCATGCTAAACCCATGCCGTCTCGTTTATTGCGGTGCAAACGACACATGTGGTTTTTATTGTACTTTAATTTAACGGGGCTGGATGTGGCATTACGAGAGTCTGTTTATTAAGACAAGAAGGGTAATTTGACCCCGTTGGGTTTAGTCCCTATCTGATTTCGGATTGAGTGAGATCAGTGGATTCGGGCCGACTGCGGGAAACTTGAGTTCACAACTGAAAATGTTTCAAAGACACTGAGTACGAAGAACTCCTCGATGGTTGTTTTTGCCTACTAAGCTGGAAGAGCTTGGACATGGAGTTTTGATTCCTCCTCCAAATGAAGATGATGAATATTTACGATGGGCTTTAATGGAGTCGCGGTGAAATTGGGCATAATGGGGTTTTAATTTCATGTTTAAAGTACGTGTCCGTCAGTGGCGCAATGTTAGCCTTCGAAGCGAACGAGCTTTGTGTGTTGCAAGAGAAGTCACTTAATATAGTGGATCAAACCGTGAACTACCATATATCTCGGGGAGGAAGAGAAGAGAAGAAGCTCAGATGAATCCAACGGGGCCATTCCGGGATCACGTGACGCCAACTCATTGCACATGTAAAACAGGGCCCCAGATCCAGCGGTCATTTTCAGTTTACATGTACACTGGAGCAGCAGCATATCAGCGTTTTCTTCAATGAGCCTGTTGTTTTCGAGTGAGCCCAATTTTTTCAGTTTTGCTGGTCTTGCCTGGATGTGCCAGTAAGGCCCAGCTCGCGGCTGCGCACGTGACTTCAGCATCACTCGTCGTCTCTTCTTTTACTAGCCACCATGATTATTGCCAGCATCCGGCGGATCTTCACATCGTTTCGGACAGAGGAGGAGGAGAAGGCGTACTCGCGCCATGCGTTTTTCAATTTCTTGGGGTTTTTGGGTAGCTGCGTGATCTTTTCTTTTGTTGCGCAGAAACTCTCGAAGCAACCCCAGCAGCTCGTTTAGGGATGGGCTAGGGTTTGCCGAGGGTGGCGTTTTGAGTAGTGCTTGGGGTCTCTGGAGCTCGCTTGAGGATTGTTTTGTTTTTTGGGTTCGTTCGAGAATTTTTGAGAGCGATAGTTAGGAATCGCTGGAGGATGATTAAGGGTTGCTGGAGGATGATTCAAGGCTCGTTAAAGGATCTTGTGTCAATTTACGCTTAGTTAGATCAGTCGGAGGATCTTTGAGGATCGTGTGATATGAACGGAATTGTCTGTATTAAGCTAGGATCGTTCGATGTTGGTAACGACTAATGCAAGATTGTTGATGGAAGGTTCAAGATTGATTATGGTTGGGTTGATTGTGAGTCGTGCACGAATGATTTTGGACGGTTCAGGGTTGATGATGGATGGCTCATGATTGATCATGGACAGTTCAGGATTAATTATAGACAGTTCAAGATTGATAATGGACGGTTCAGGAGTGATTATGGACGGTCCAAGATTGGTTATCGACGGTTTAAGATTGATTACGAATGGGTCAAGATTGATTATGAAGGTCCGAGATTGATTATGACGGTCCAAAATTGATTATTTCCAGTTCGAGATTGATCTCGACGGTTCAAGCTTGAATACGTATGTGTCAAGATTGATTACGTATGGGTCAAGATTGATCATGACGGTCCAAGATTGACTACGGATGGTTCAAGATGGACTACGGACAGCAAGGCAGATTATGCATATTCAAACACCTCGAGGGTCACTCAACTTTGGCCGAAGCTCCGCCCACGGGCGGAAGGGCTCGTTCGGGATGGGCGAGAGGCGTTCGCCCCCCAGCGTCCGGGACAGGCAGCGTTGGATTCACCGTATGTACAATAAGAGGGGCCGCGTGCACGGGGCCTAGTCGCGCAACAAGAGCTCCTTGGCCATCTCGTAGGCCGTCCAGGAAATGGCCGTGCTCGGCACGTTGAAGATGATGCGCGGCCTCCAGCCGCGCGTGAACGCGGCGGCGCCGCCCTGCTGGTACATCACGCGGGCCGCGCTGGCAAAGCCGTCGACCGTGCGCATGTGGGCGTTGGTGGACACGCCGCGGGTCTGCAAGGCGGTCTTGATGCAGTCCAACGGGTTGGTCAAGGCCGCGGCGATGCCGCCGGCGATGCCGCCCGCCACGCAGTGGTAGTACGGGTTGTACGTGTGCGCCGGGTTCAAGAGCGCGGACGAGTACTCGTAGAAGCCGAAGTTCAACGCCGCAAACGGGATGTTGGTGAACAACGTGGTCGGGTACAGGAGGTAGAACGCACGCACGCCCTCGAGGCGGTACACGGCCGCCGCGGTGCGCCAGAGGCGGGTGCCGGCGGCCGGCGCCTCCAGCACTTGCATGCGCTGCTTCAAGACGTCGAACGGCGTCATCAACGCGTCGGACGCGGTGGTGGCGGCAATGCCCGCGCCGGCCGCGATCAACGGGTGGCTCTCGTCCGTGACCCACTTGCTGGTGGCGCTGCGGCCGGGCGCCAGGAACCGGGCGACCAAGAACGTCTTCAGCGCCTCGAACGCGGAGAAGTACACGGCGTGCGCCGGGCCGGCGCCCAACACCACGGACGACACGCCGCGCCACAACGCGTACGCGCCCTCGCCGGACGCCACGCGCGAGATGGCGGCGATGACCAGCCGGCTGGCGGGCTGGCCGGCCGCGAGCATTTGCATGCGCGTTTTGATCAGGTCCACGGGGTACATGACGGTGTGCTCCATGATGCCGGCGAACGCGCCGGCGGAGAGGTGTGCCAATATGCTGGCGTCCTGCGGGAGCGCCTCGTAGTCCACCTCGAGGTGGTCGGCGCCTAGCTGGTGGGGGTGGTCGGCCATTGTGAGATATGGGGAGGCGGGAGAAGAAACCGAGGGCGGCGGCTGTTTGAGATTTTTGAGATAGGGCGGCGGCTTGGGCGGGTTTTGGCGGCTTTGGTGGCTGCTTTTATAGGCGGCGGCGTGGGCGGCGGCTTACAAATGGGCGGCGGGGTGTGGTGGTGAAAAGACCCGGTGGTGCAGAACTCACAAACAGCGTACGGGAGGAAAAGGCAGGGCCTGCGATGTGGAAAAGAGGCCCCGTCGCACCGTGCGCTGGGGTGCGTGTCTCGGGCACTACTCCGCACCGGGCGCGAGAAAAAAGATGGGGCCGAGCGAGGCGGGCGAGCGAGCAGGGCCGAGAAGGAAGGAAGGAGGAAGAAGGAAGGAAAGAAGGAGAGAAAGAGAGAGGAGTCAAAGAAGAGAGGACGAGGATGAAAAAAAAAGACGAGAGGCCGAGAGGACGAGGATGAAAAAAAAAGACGAGAGGCCGAGAGGACTGAGCAAAGAAACACGGGACGAGAGGACGATGAAGGAAGAGAGAGAGCAAGCACATCCAGACGGACGAAGAAAAGCTATGGGCGGTGGCCCTGGAAGGCGCTGCGGTAGGCCGACCAGGGCGCGGCTCCGTAGGGTTCTCGGATTTATCTCTTTTTTTTTTTTTTCGCCCGCTCCGCCAAAGGCGCGCAGAGTCCGGCGCCGGCCTGGGGCCGAGTAGCGGGGTCGTCTTTTCGGTTTTTCATATTCGGTTTTTTTATTCTGTTTTTCTTATTTTGTTTTTTTATTCTGTTTTTTTATTTTGTTTTTTTATTCTGTGTTTTTATTCTGTTTTTTTATTCTGTTTTTTTATTCTGTTTTCTTATTCTGTTTTTTATTCTGTTTTCTTATTCTGTTCTTTCATTCTGTTTTTTTATTCTGTTTTTTTTATTCGGTGGGTTTACGGTGGGTTATTTTATCCGGTGTTTTATTTGGTGTGGAATGTGACGGGCGTTGTATGGTGCTGGTTTTCACCCGGTGCATTTCATGCGAGACGTACTGCGTGTCGCGTGGGTGATCAGTCAGTGGTTAGTGAGTTGATAGTGTATGAGTGGTGATAGTGTATGAGTGGTGATAGTGTGTTGATAGAGTGGTGATAGAGTGGTGGTGCTGTGGCTTCAGTGTGGTGAATACGGTAACTAGGCTGGTGTCAATTACTCTGGTGTCATCTATCTAATGCCCATGATCAATACTCATTCTCCGCCCGGAATCCCTCCATCGTGCTCATGCCCCCACTTGCCGCTCAAAATATTCACACCCGCACTCCGCTGATGTTTTCTCAAAACTGTCGTTCTCTGTTCATCTCTCTCATCTCTTCCTCCCAGGCCTTCGCTCTTCCCTCGTATAATTGCCTCCTCCGCCTCGGCGCCGTGGACGGCGCGCGGATCTGCGATGCGCCGAAAACGGCCTCTCGCTCCAATCTCTTCCATCTACAGGCGCTATCTCATTAATCAGCCAAAATACGACGCACGACTTGCCGGCCACGCCCGGCGCTTTCCCGTCCCGGCACGGTAAATCGTTCATGTTTTTGCCTGCGCTTTACTAGCATTCTCCATACTGACATTCTCTTTACTGGAATGCTCTGGAATGCGAAAATGTTGAAAGAAGCTTTAATGGAAGCAAAAATTGTAAGAAATACCTGATGTAAGACCCTCCAACCCATCTCATTAACCCAACTCATTATGAAAGTAATAGATTTTGTCATCAGAAGATTAATGCAATTCTAACTACTATTCTTGCTAGATTGCTTTAGTGACTAGCCTTCACTTCTATATCCTTCGTCAACATGGCCTTGAGCATTCTTTTTGCCATGCTTTCCTAGCATGCTTTTGACCAATAAGCATTGATACGACGTGCTCCTCCCTGAAATGCTTTCTGCACACATTCTCCAAACCGAAACCTTCTGATTAATATGTTCTATGGTATGTTTTACTGAAAGCTATTACCCTTGCCTTGATGTAGGACGAAAAAGAGAAGTCCCAAAACTCAAGTTTTATTTCACGGGGTGACGGGGCCATATCGCCTAGAGCTGTCCAGCCATCGCAAGCGCCCCAATCTATATGAGGGAAAAGACACGTGACCCAGTTGCAAAATGCAGCAGTTACTATCAACTGGGGCCAATAGGAGAAGGCGATAAACTCTAGGTGCTGTGGTGGTGGTCAGCGCTTCTACTGTATTGAGGCTGCCAAGCTATTGGCGACTGCCAGATCATTCTGATGATGGACGTTCCCACAAAATGCCTCAGCTATCTTAAAACGTAAACCTTTGTTTCCATGATAGATCGACAATTAACTATAGCTCAGCACGTGAACTCTCGTTGTGTTGTTGTCTTTGTGTTTTGTCTTGTGCAGTAGAATATATCAGGCATCCAGGGTGCAATTTTTACTGGATGTTGCTAGGTTTTGTTGAACCTATTCTGAAAACATGCTTCGGGAAACAAGGTTTTCCGTGGGCTTGGGGCAGTCCGGTCAGTCGGATGCGACTGTCTAGCATGCTTTGTTCGTTCGTTGTCTCAATGACTCGAACACCTGTAAGTTATACAACACATACCAAATAACTAGTACACTAGCATTGTCACCCTGTCCATCATGTCTAACTTGGCCACTAAAATCCCAAAGCACTCGGTTTGCAAATGGTTTCTTGGGATGCGTACAGAACTCCTGCCCCAACGTAACCAACGTAATTTGGAAAACGAAAATTCCTCAGATTCACAGCGGGAGACTTGGCGAGGGCACGTCTGATAGCGACGCTCGTGCCAGGCGGCCAGCACAAAAGTTAACGAAAGCGAAACTGAGCACTTTTTCAGAAGCCGTCATTTTGAGTGACAAACTAGTCCTTGAAATCCCTTTGACGTGCCTGGAGTGTGTTACTTATAAAATCTGTGCTTGGTGCATCCATGGCATTGAAATGCTTCGTGCATGTTTCATTTACGTGCTCTTCGTGAGCATGCCCCTTCTTCGGGTCTTTGACTGGCATATTCCTCAGTTGCATGATACGCTATAGGCAGCATCAATATAAGTGATTTCATGGGATTGGAGCAGCTCGCTAGGCTCTTGTAACTGATACATACGCTCAAACAACATCGTCAAGATAGTCTGGTTAAAAATAATTTGAATATCTCTTTATCGTCATATGTGGCTGCAACCCATGCGTATATCTCCAATATGCTTGATATCATCTAACCCAAATTGGCTGGTATCAGAATTTCCTGCTTCGATAGTAAGTATTCCAGCAGCTTTTCATACGTCACTCGACTGTCTTCTTTACTACAAAACCGAGATTAATTAAAGGTGTTTGTCGGCTACCCAGGAACAAAAGGCGCTTGGTAATATATAGGAAGAGAGACTAGATTTACTGGGATCGCAAAGAAACTCCTGATTGTTCATGTTTCATGAACATCCCGAACGAGACTGCTTTGGATTATAATAGAATAAAATAATATGATACGACTTGTTTTGTCTTTGTATTCCAATAGAAATTAAATCAAGGACACTGGCCAATTTAATAAATGAAAGTTTTGCAGAATTTTGAATATTCGTTTTGTGTAGAAAAAAAAAAGAACAAAACATAAACAAGTCAAATCATATCTACTCCACAGATCTACTCCGACCCATTTGGACGAAAATCAACTGTCAATTCACTTTGCTTATGAAGAATGACAACATAAAGAACGGTTCCTGAGTGTTAAATGGTCCCTAAAACATCCAAATTAAGAACACTGCAAACTCATTTTATAGAGCACGTGTAAGCGGATTTGGAAGTCTCGGCTAAGTGTACGTATGTAAAGATGTTTTAGTAAAATCTGATGTGCTAATTTCTTCTTATAATATTTCTGTAATATTTTAACAGCCATCAATAGAGAACTTTAAATATCGTAATTTAAAAAATCCCGATTATTTGGTTCATTAACCGAAGCTAAGGGACCATTGCAGAAAGGTTGCAATTAATATTTTGAAAGGCCCCAACAACAACAAATTGACTCACTTGGTAGATGTCAATACGCCTGTGGCTTTTGCTGACCCGTAAATTAATTTTGCTTAGGGGTGGAACATGCTGGTACCGTTAGCTCCAGGAACGCCAGATGGTCCCGGTCCTTGCCCACATGTCTATCTTTGGGTACTCTAGACTGAAAAGCCTAGGGCATTGAAAGCGTTTAACATGTCTGTTTTTTGCTAAATGTTTCTTGCAGCGCCGTATCAAAGTAGCACATAGTGCATCCATTTGTTCGTCGGCTGGAGTCACATGAAGATTGATTGCCAAAGGTCTGTTCTTATACGGCTTGTCATTTACATGGGCGCTACTGCGAAAGATACCATTACTGAGGTTTTATAGTGGATAAGAATTGATTTATTTATTGGGTGCGAATTATAAGGCGGGACTTTGTAGTAGGTGGCGATTTTGCAATGGGTGTGAATTATGCAATATGAACAACGAATTAGGTAAAAATAATTTCTAAGTGACATGGCTTTTTTGCTGAGTCCCGTTAGCTTGGCACGTTACGTTGTGGTCTTGATCTCGATCTACTAGACATTTGTGCATCGAGGTTGTTGCTCTTCATGCATGCACCACGAAACAAGTGTTATAACATAAAGCACCCTAATTTGCTCGATGTTCTTTTTAGTCACATGGAATCTCTTACAAAAAAGTAACCGAAGAATTCCGTTGAGCCTGCAATTTCATAGTGCTATGCTGGCGCCTTCACCAAAGCTTCGACCGGCTTGTCGCCATGCTTACCTAGCACACAAACAAGATTCTTTGGCTGGGCTTTTTGATATAACTTATCCAACAAAAATTCTGGGGCGTATACCGGAATTAATTCATTATAACCCGGGCATAAAATACCCTTGTTTTTAGTAATTTCGTCAAATGTATCTCTCACCATGGAATAGTAGGTAAATATCAAACTCAACACTACTAGAATGCGGCTTTCTGCCGTTCAAATCTAACTTGCTCTGGAACGGCTTGTAGTATGTTTGTGTTTAGCTGAACTGGTTATATCCGATGAATGTCTCGGAGATTGGGGACAGCACAGTAATCACACCGAGTTGTTTTCCATCCATTACAAATTAGAACTCGCTGGTGAAGCGCTGTATGCCGACAGCTTCGCTGTGTTAAACAGATCACATGAATTTCTCATACTGCGTTGCGCCAAAATACGTATCTCTTGAAAGCCAAGATCCTTAAAAACGGAATTGACAAATCTCGGGAGTAAACATTTTGCTTTTGCTGCTCCGTAGACACAGTACAAAGTAGAGAGCGTGATTCCACCAGCGAGTTCATTTTTCAATGTGGCGTCAGAAATGGGCAGCCTAATTTGTGTTTCAGACACTGACATACCAATCTATTCCCAGCCTCTGCTTATTCAGCGCCAAAGACCCTCGAATTAAACAGATGTGTAGCAAACTTGTTCAGTGGAAAGACTGTTATTTTGAGATTCATGTGCATGGTTTTGAAGTGGATACATGAGATTATCAATGTCTAGAAAGCAAAAATAGTCTTGTAGGGGTAAGGCAACCTCCAAGTTTCTAAACGTTAAGCCAATCGGTGACCCAGAGCTGAAACCATAACCACGTATATTTCTTCAGCTTATACCCCCGGCTACGTGTGACGAAGTCTGGGATCGGTATAAATCGGAGACTCTTTGGATCCAAATTGGTCTCTCTCTAATTTTCTCATTCTCACTGGAAGAAACAAAGACTAGCTGTACTGAGCGGACCCCTCATACCAAGGTGGCATTCACAGGCGTATTCTTGAATACACTGTTTTATCGGCCTTAAAGAAAGGCGATCCGCTAAGCAGGCGAGCTGCAAGTCATAGTTGAAGACTACGAATCTCCTAAGACCCCCAAGAGCCTTTTCATAAACCCGGACTTTACTGCGGTCAAAACCAAAGACCGAGCACATCAGATTCAGTGACTGCAGAAACAGAATAGGACTCAATAACTGCAAGGTCACGAGAAGTATCAATAACTGATATCAGGAGAGGATTCTGTAATTGCAATTTCGGAAGAAGGAACTCAAACTGCAAGTTCGGGATAATGCAGAATACGACTCTCTAACTGCACGTTTAGGGTAAGCATTAGTAATTGCAATCTCAGAATGGGATTGTATAGCTGCAAGGTCACGAGAAAAGTCTATAACCGCAAAAAGCCAAACCCTCGACTCCCAATTAGCCCCAGAAATACGATCCATTTCGAGGTCCAGCTGGAAAGTCCTGTCCGGTCTTTTCCCTGCAACACGGTCTTGCTCCTTCAATATCGTCCTTTTTATTGTCCAGCGAGTGCGCCTGTTGCCTCCATACGGTCCTTTCAACTCTTGGCAGGCCGCCTTGTCGCCTTCGATACGCCACTTTTCAATCCTTGCCAGGCCCGCCGCACCTTCCCGGATTCCCCCACTCATTGGCAAAATCAGGAGCCATGGAGTGGTCTGCAGACGACTGTCCCCAGATCCGCAAGCGCCTGGGAGGCCGCCTCCTCTGCCTTCGGTCCGAAGCGCCGTCTTCACTGAGACCCCAGGCCGGGCGGCACCAAGATGTCGTGCTGGAAGTCGACGCCCGCCTGCTCCGGCACGTTGGTGAGCATCGTCCCCGTGGCCAAGTACGTGCGCACGTTCTCCACCACAAAGTTCTCCATGTTGCGGTACGCCTGCTGGGAGTGCGTGCCCATGTGCGGCAAGGACACCACGTTCGGCAAGCCGTAGAGCCGCGGCGAGACCTGCGGCTCGTGCTCAAACACGTCCGCGCCAAAGGCCCCCACGTGCCCGCGGAGCAACGCGTCGGTGAGCGCCGCTTCGTCGATCACGGCCCCCCGCGCCGTGTTGATGATCACCACGCCCTTCTTCATGCGCGAGAGCACCGCGGCGTCCACCAAGTGGCGGGTGCCTGCGTTCAACGGCACGCTGAGCATCACCACGTCCGCCGTGGCCACCAAGGCGTCCAACGGCATGTACTGCGCGCCCTTCTCCGCGTCGGCATCCAAACGCGTGCGGTTGTAGTAGACGAACCGGGCAAAGCCAAACGGCGCCAAGCGGTCGCGGATGGCGCGCCCGATGCCGCCCATGCCCACGATACCCACGGTCAAGCCCTCGGGGTCGCGGCCCACGTGAGCCCCGGCGCATTTGGCCTGGGGCCACCAGCCTTGCGTGAGCAAGTCGTGGCCCTGCTGGAAGTTGCGCAACGCGGCCAAAGTCAAGTACACCGCGGTCAACGCGGTGGGCGCCTCGACGGGCGACGTCACGTTGGACACCTGGATGTTGCGGGCCGTGAACGGCGCCACGTCAATCTGGTCGTACCCGGCGCCACAGTGCGAGATGCTGCGGACGGACTCGGGCAAGTGCAGGGCCAACTCCGCGTCGAAGCGGCCGGTCTGGCTGACGGAGAAGAACGTGCGCGTGATGCAGGAGACGTCGGCGTACTTGGTTTTCAAGTCGTCGAAGAACTGCTGGCGGCTCTGCGACTGGCAGTCGACGACGTCGGCGATGGCAGCCAAGTCATGCCACTTGGGGCCGGACAGCGCCCAGGACCCGAGCCTGAGCACCTTGGGTTTTGCCGGTGCCATTGCGTGGGGGTTCGATACAAGGAATGGGGTTGCAAAGAATGGGGTTGCAAGGAGTGTTTTCGTTGCAGAGAATGTGTTTTCGTTGCAAGGAATAAGGCTCAGTTCCAAGGAATAAGGTTCAGTTGCAACGAATGAGGTTAAGTTGCAAGGAATTCAGTTGGAATTCAGTTGCAAAGAACGCAATGGCAAAGAATGAGGTTGAGTTGCAAAGAAGTATGTTGCAAAAAGCTTGGATCTATTGCAAAAGGCGTGGATCTATCGCAAAGAGTGTGGTTCGTTGCAAGAATGAGGTCCACGTGCAAGGAATAAGGTTCAGTTTCAAGGAATTCCGGTGCACGAAATGTGGTTCTAGTGCAAGATCAAACTTTTGCTGCTGAGAATGGGGTTTGTTGCAAGGAACAAGATGCTGTTGCAAAGAACTCTGTTGCAAAAAATGAGGTTTCTTTTCGAGGAATAAAGTTTCGTTGCTCACAATTGTGTTGCAAGTAATGAGGCTTTTCTCGAAATATGTTTTCGTCGCAAGAGTGTGCTCTCGTTGCTAAATATGGGGTTCAGCTGCAAAAATGCTTCGTTGCTTAAAAGAACCGGCACGCATTGGATGTGCGGCCGGTGCTCTTATATAGAGCCATGGAGGTCATAGCGACGCGCCCCCACGCCGGGCCGCGGCTGCCCCCACGTTTTCAAAGAGGCACCCCACACCCAGTGCAGGCTGCTGGGAGAGCTTAAAATTACGGCGCTTCGAAAGTGCCGGCCAATGTCTGGAAACCGTTTTTTCCGGGCGCAAAAGGGCCCTCTGTCCTTGTTTTGGCCCGGGCTTCAAGATGTCGAGTTCCATGGCAATTGGACTTATGGAGCCAGTCGGCGCGCGCTTTGCGCAGGCTATCTTTCGCGGATCTAGGGCCGAATGACAGATATCAGAATGTGCCTTATAAGCCGGTACAGCGGGCTGATGCTTGCCAGCATACTTAATGATTTGAATTTTTTTGGGCTCGCCGGTCCTGGGTAAGGCCTGCGGCCAAGCCTGCCAAAGGCCGCCGACCAAATGTGCTCCTGCAAAACCTATTGGTGGGTCCCAAGTAAAAGCCAGGGCTCGACATGATAAGAAATTGCGCGCCATGACAGATCTGCGGCCCGGAAAGCTTAATTTGGTCATAATACCCCGTCTCTGGTTAATCCGTCCAGAGTCATAAGCTTTTAGAAGAAGAAAAGAAAAACTCTTCCAGGGCCCACATTCAGTTACGTTACCGTTTTGGCTGCATGATTTATGTCCGTCACTTCAGTCTTCTATCAGTATGCCAATTGCTTCGTTATGACAGATATTTATCTTACAAGATTACGCTCCTAATGAGAGTTGATGGCTTATGTAATTTTGAGCAAGATTATGACTCTACTGATACACCAGTATACGGTTTCAGTGGCGTTTACACATACGATACGATTGCAATACTACTTTGTTGGGTTCAGGTTTGGAAGACTTCAAGGTACTTTTTTCTTGGAAGTGACTTTCGGAAATGAATATCATCAGCTTTTATGAATGGAAAAGGGGTCAGGCTTAACAGATAGTATGAGAAGTTTCGATCTTTTTCTGGTCTCAACTCTTCTTGACTAGGTTTGCAACACAAGGTTATACATGGAATGGAACGCTTTCAAAGGTTTGCGACTGCTGATGATAAGATCTCGAGGAATCGAACGATGAAGACTTCTTTCAGACCTGCAAACAACTCTCCAAAACAGTCCCAGAATTACGGCCCACACCGCTCGTCAATCACGGCCTTAGATTTTTTCTGGGACGAATGTGGACAGACCCTGGCGGCAGCGCCTCCTAGAATAAGCTTCCCGTAGGTATGCCTAACTTTTCAAGCCCTGAGGAGCGTAAATCATACGTCCCGCTGCGTCTTCAAGTATACCCCAGGTCATAGTAACGAGCAACCCGAGGCTCTCTGAATTTTCCAGATGCCGGCCTACCCCGGCGTTTCACCTGAAGTCATGTTTTCACTCGGGCCTGTGCCACCAGATTCCGGATGTCTTATGTTTGTCTCCGTAGGGGCCTAGCAAGCATCTGTGGCATCTCCGATACTCGAACCCACATGGCACAAACATGGCGTGTGAATGTGATGCTTCACGTGGAAAAGTTAGATGGGGATGTGAGATTCAAGCTTGTATAGGGCTTTCAGAGTATTCTAAATCATTCCGATTAAACTCTGGACATAGTCGACAAAGCTTTTTGCGACTCCAGGACTCAAGAGTTTCTTCAGAAAAACTAGAATTTGACTCATTTGGTCAATTGCGTACTCTTTTTAGGGCCCGGTAGGACCCGTGACGTACGGGCCTCCTCTCCCCACGCTTCAATTCCTTTGTTATGGCGCAATCTAGATTGAAAAATTCCCGACCCTTTAGTGTACCAGCTGCCATATTAGCTGTCAAAACCCGTGTCGGTGGCCTCCAATCCGCGTCGGCACTTCAATGAGGCTGTACTCTGTTTCTTAGTCGCCCATAATTCATCTATTTACGAACGTGGGGAACATTGCTTGTTTAAAAGCTTAGTTGAACAAATTCTTTGGATCCCATGTATTTGGAACTCTGCATTGACTTCCAGCTAATAACTTGGCTCGTCTCTACCCCCAAGTCCCAAATAGCGTAGTGGGCGTTTCATGGAGATTGGCTGTGAACTCTGGCCAGGTATTATCTACGGAGGATACCCGAATGAGTTGTGAAAGCCCCAAAAAGAAAAATGATGGGAAAAGAATAACTGACATTAGAAAGCGTAAACTGTCACATTTGGACAGGCCCGCACTGAACCGTGTTGGGGCTTTGGATTTTTAAATTAGCATGTAAGTTCCTCAGGTTGTGGATTTTTACTTGGAAGTCGGGCGTCAGTATTTTCAAAGCGCTACTTTCTCCTACAGAGCTTTTCAAATCACACTCACGAACTGCTGTGCCCTCTAAACTTTGCGACACAGGGCACGATCTTGAAATAGACGGGAATCGTGCTCAGAAACAAACTGTTGGCAGCCACTCGGCATCTTTCATCTCCACTTTTTGAAGGCTTCGTCAAATCAACAGATGCTTTTAGTCGTGAAATGTATGGATTTTCATGGCGCCTTTAATGTACTTGAGGCTACTCAGTACGTGTGAATTCCCTTTTGGTAAGCGGAAGACCTTGCAATCTAAGACGTCTTGATGTTCCAGCCTCTTTATCTGCATCTTAAAGCCATTCCATATGCGGTGAATTTTGAGGTCCTTCAGATGCGGTACTTGCGTCTTGTAGATTAAACCCTCGAAGTCGAAAGATAGAAATCACGCTGCCCCTCCTGTTCGAGCACTTTCCAGTTGCACGCTTTTGCCAGCACTTGCAAACTGCATCCTCAGGCAACAAAAGAGCCAGCAAGCCTTGCAGGATACTTTCCCGTACAAGCCCAAGCAGTATGACCATGTCGATGAAAAGGACAGAAGAAAACCAAGCTCCCACGCAGGCAAAGACCCCGGCCCGGGTCGCCTCACATGGAGAGGGTGTGCAAAGCTCGTTTATTGTTGCTACGTTGGTTCTACAGGCTGGTTGGTTCTACAGGCTGGTTGGCTCTACAAGATGGCTGGCTCTACAGGCTGGCCCGCTCTGGCCGAGGCACCCACACGTTCATCCACTGGAGATGTGCTCGAGTGCCCAGGCCTCGTGCGGCCGTGCTTATATGACGAGGCGAGGGCCACGGTACTTGAGGCTGTCGCTGAACTGGCCACTGGCCACCGAGGCAACGGAAACCTCTCTCTCGGGGAAGCCAGCGAAGCTTTTCGCGTACGTGGCCACAGAGTGGGCAATCAACTTGGTGTTGACCACCCACGCGTTGTAGTCTGGGTTGGTCAAGTCGTCGCAGAGCTGATGGTAGCAGGGGTCGAACCACTTGCCGGCCTCGCCGCCAAAACTGTCCTGGCCCTCCTTGGTTTTGACGCCCTCGGCTCCCGTGGCAATGCCACCCGCAGGAATGCCCGCGTCGATGAAGCCCACGTAGTCGGATCTGCCGTCAAAGGGCACGAACGTGTAGTTCAAGCCCTGCTCCTTGTACCAGTCCACGTAGAGATCCTTCAAGTTGCCGGAGCCGTTGGGATGGTCGTCGTTGTTGGCGTCGTAGATCTGGTACTCGTAGTTGGGCGAGGCCATCATGTCGTAGTCCATGAACACACGCAACTTGGAGTTCTCCTCGGGCAGGAGCGAGTTGGCGTAGGCGTACGAGCCCAAAAGGCCCTCCTCCTCCGCGGCCCACCACGCAAAGCGCACGGCGTTCTTGACCTTGAAGTGCGACAACTGCTTGGCCACCTCAAGCAACGAAACGGTGCCGGACCCGTCGTCATTGATGCCAGGGCCCTCGGCCACCGAGTCCGAGTGTGCACCCAAGGACACCACGTTGTTGTGGTCGCCCTCCTTGGTCTCGGCCACGACGTTGACGGTCTTGATTTTCTTGACGTACGCGTCCACGTACAAGGTCACCTCGAAGGGCGTGCTGGGGTCGGCTTTCAAGCCGCGGATATACTGGTCTGCGTCCTTCTTGCTGATGGACAAAGCAGGCACCTCCTTGCCGGTGGGCGAGCCCAACGTGCCGTGCAAAGGCGCGTCCTCGTCGTAGATGATCACGGCGGACGCGCCGGCCAAGCCAGCGTTGATCAGCTTGTCGCCAAACGCACACTCGCCGCGCGCCACCAAGGCAATGTTGCCGAGGGTCAAGTTGGCGGGGAAGTCCGCGGAATTGCAGCCAAAGTTGTCCACCAACACCAAGTGGCCATGGACCGGCTTGCTCTCGGGCGTGGGGGGCGTCAAGGCGAGCGCCAGCACCAGTTTTGGTTCGGTGCCGTCGATGAGAAGCGAGTACGAGTTGACGCGGCCGTCAATGGCGTCGAACTTCTGCACGTCCCATGTGTAGAACTTGGAGAGCTTATGTAACTCGCCCAAGATGTAGTGCACGGTTCCCCAGTGGCCCCGCGAGCCAATGACTCGGGTCGGGTGGCCATACTCTTTGACCGAGGCCTGGGCAATCTGGTACAAGGTTTCGGCACGTGCCCTCAACGCGTCTGCGGAAATGGCGTTCTGCAACTTCTGCGAGTCGATTTCCGTTTTGGGCCACGACGGCCAGGGGAACCACGAATCGTCGCCCACTTCGGGCTGTTGGGGGGCCAATGCGTTGAGCACGGCCTGGGAGTTCCCGATGGGAAAGGCGGGGAACGCCGAGACGGCGCCGAGCATAGCAAGCGAGGTAGCAAGACACAATTTCATCGTGTCAATTCAGCAGGATGGTGTATCTGGCGACTTGAGCAGCGATATAGGGGTTTTGCGTGGGGGGCAGAAAGCGCCGATTTGTGGCCCGGGCCGTCTTTATATGCCGCGGGCACACCCGTGCCTCCGGGAGCCGTGCGCTTCGGGCTTAGATAGGCGCGGTGCCCTATGCAGCACCCGGCCCGGCCGGCTTGTGTGTGGTGTTTCTGTTTTTTTCCGAAAGAAAAAGTGGCGCTGATTTAGAAAGCTGCTGGGCTGGGAAAGAGCTGCGGGGAAAGTTTGGTATTACAGGTCTGGTGGTGTGGCTTTGGGTATGCGAATGGCTGGCGAGAGTTGCCCGTTATCGGACTGCATGGTGCCCCGCGCAGAGATACTCGTAAGTGAAGCCACTGAAGCCGCACGCTTTGGGCATTGAGTTGGGAGCCGGGACTCTGGCGACGGGTTTGCGGGAAGTCCGTGTTTTGTCCATTTTTGAAGCTCTGTGTTTTCTGCTTTTGGGTGGTTTTGTTTCGGGTATATTTGTCTCTGCTATTTTTCTCATAGTGTCCCGATGCCTGTAGTGCAAGTGTGGCGGTCCTCGTTTATAACTGTTCTTTGCAGGTGCGCCGTTGTAAGCGAGGTGGGAGGCTTGAGAAGACGTCTTAAAAAGCAGGCCGCAACTCAGAGACACACACCGATAATCGACGCTTGGAATGCCGGAATCAGTTCCTGGGCCAACGCCTGAATATGCTTGAAGCGTGCGTTTCGCAAGTTGGCCGTCTACGTGCATACGCTTACTCTGGCTAAATACAGTGTTTGGTCTATGGACCTAATGTTTTGGAGGCACGACGCAGACAATGGGCCATACACGAGAATGGGCACCCCAGATTACCCGATGCAACAGCTGGGCGCTGCCATGGTCCTTCTCTTCCTCATTGCCGGATACAAGAACAAGACATGTGTCAACATCGCATTCATGGGGCCTCGTTCATGGGGCTTGTCGTCGAGTCCATGGAGCATGTTTGGATTCAAAGAGCCCCGTCCTCGGCCTCGCGTTTGGACTCAAAGAACACCATCCTCGGACTCAAAAAGCACCATCCTCGCACTCAAAGAACACTATCCTCGCACTCAAAAAACAGAGTTCGCCTATACCACTGGCCGTTGGTCCCCCGGAGCGGTCTTAAAACTGGAACCGGAAGCCTCCGCCGCCGCCGCCGCCAAAATGGTTCACAAAATCCTCGTGATTAAAGTTGACACGCACGTTTTGAGCCCCGTGGCTCTGCTGGAAATGATGGCCGCCATGATGGGGCTCTTGCGGGCCGCGGTCGTAGTTGGCCCTAGCCTCCGGGTCGGACAAGATTTCGTACGCCTCGTTGATGTCCTGCATTTTCAGCTCGATCTCCTTCTTCAGGAGGTCCGTGCCCTTGTACTTGTCGGGATGGTACTTGAGCGTTTGCGCCCTGTACGCCCTCTTGAGCGTCTGTTCGTCTGCATCTTTGCTCACGTCCAAAAGCTTGTAGTAGTCCTTGGAGGGGTCGAACTTGGTTTGCTGCTGTTGTTGTTGTTGGTGTTGTTGTTGGTGGTGGTGGTGCTGCTGCTGTCTGAAGTACTCCTGTTGCTGCTGTTGCTGCTGCTGTTGCTGCTGGCGCTGTTTTCTGAGCTCGACCTCCTGCACCACTTTCCATCTTTTCTGGAAAAGACCTGTCTTCTTGATGTTCTTGTTGTACTGCACCAAGGCCTCCTTCGCCGCCTGGAAGTTCTTTCTCTTCAACAACGAGTCGATGTGCGCCACGTGCTTCGGCAAGAACGGCTTTTCACGGTCGTCCACCAACGCGCAAAACTTCTGCTTGTCCCCTTTGACATGGATACTGGCTTCGCACGCGAGCTTGTTCAACACCTCGACCAACGGCATGTTCTCGGCGAGCTTCTCGTCCCCAAACTCGCGCGCCGTGAACTCGCGGGCGCGGAACACGAGGAAATCATGCAAAGTCTTGACGCTGGCGGGCAACGCCCTCAATTCCCGTTCCGCTAGCGGCACGGGTCCCGTGAGGTCTTGGTCTATCTGCTTGAAATCAACGTCGAGCGCATCCACCTGGTCGTCCGGAAGCTCGGGGATGGGCGACGACGTGGGATACAAGTAGTCGGCGAGCATGAAGTACTGCTCCAAGGGCCTGAGCACGTGCTGCAAGCGGTTGTAGAGTTTCGAGAGACTGCCGCATTCGCGGTGCTCATTGTCTATGCGGAGACAGGCCTTGACGGTTTTCCAGGCCTCGTCAAAACTGCCGCGCGTCCAGAGAAGGTACTCGGAGTGCTCCGCGTACCAGGCGAGGTTCTTCTGCGGCAGGATTCTGAGGAGCGTGGCGTAGGCACGCACGATCCCGTCGTAGGACACGTGTTCGTGTTCGTTCTGCGCCACAAAAGCGCGTTTTTTCAGGAGCCGGAGCCGGAGCTCGGCCACGGCCACGTTGCTGGGCAGGAGGGCGGCGAGCTTGCGGTCCACCACGCCGCACAACTCGTCCAAGGCCGGCCCGTCGGGCGCCAGATCTAGCCCCGCAGAAACCTCTGCGTAGGCGGCGTCCCACGCGTCCATCTTGGCGTAAATCTCCGGGACCTCGGCCGGGGAAAAGCGGGCGCGCACCTTGGCAAACTGGCCGCGCTCGAGCCACGTTTGCAGGAGCTTGGTGGCGGCAGGCGCAAACGAGGGATCGATGTCCAAAGCCTGGAGCAAGTCGGCTATGGCCTGCGGCGCCTTGCCGAGCCCGATCTTCACGAGGGCCCGCTGGTAGTGCACCTGGGCACGCGAGTGTTCCGGCACCGCCAGCGCCGCTTTTGTGAGCGCCTGGATCAAGCTGTCGTACTCACTGAGAACCTCTAGGGTGGAGCCTTTCAGAAGAAGCAGGCTCTGGGCATGCTGGATCTGCAGCGAGAAATCCGTGTCCTGGGCAGATGCCATTAGAGGGGCCGCCGCTAGAAGCCCGAAAAGGAGGGTTTTGCGCATGGTGGTGGCTATGAATTGGGAGGTGAGGTTCTTTTAGGCCAGGCCGGAGATTGGGCTAGTTAAGTATGCGAGTTTCTGAAAGCGCGACGTGGAGCTTTCGCACCTGCGCGGTGGAAAAAGATGGAACAGGGCCGTGGCAGAAAATAAGTCGGGAATCCGAATTTGGGCTCGGGTGGTTTTCATTATTTGTGAGCGGCATTTCGGCTCGGGGATTGCTCCCTGGGATTTGGGTTTGCAGGAGATATGTGCGCTGTTTTTGCACGGTCCGATTTATCTGGGCTCGGTCCAATTAATTTGGGCTCGGTCCAATTAATCTGGGCTCGGTCGAGAAGGCCGGTGGTGTCGCACTGAATGCGACCGATACCTATAAATTTTTTGCAATGGCGCTAGATGAATTACGTGGTCGTGGCTGAAAAACTACTGCGTTGATTTTGGCGCTGGGCGTGAAATGGTCTCGCAAAGCCAGCTTTAACTGTCCGTCAAAGCTGGCGTGGCCCTAATACCCTTTTAGCACATCAATTAATACACGTATACCTGATTAAGACACGTATACCTGATTAAGACACGTATACCTGATTAATACACGTATACCTGATTGATACACGTATACCTGATTAATACATGTATACCTAATTAGTACACGTATACCTGATTAGTACACGTATACCTGATAAGTACATGTATACCTGATAAGTACATGTATACCTGATTAGTACACGTATACCTGATTAATACACGTATAGCACCTCAATTCGTGCGCAAATTGAGACAATGCAACAAGTTGCGCAACTATAGGCCCGGGCCACGGCTACTAGGTAATTCCAACTGCACGTCACAACCTTGGATATGGGTACCCCCAAGCTTCACCCGTGAAATTAGCATTCATGGACGGCAAGACCATACAGCCCACTGATAGAGGCATATATACTGGTGTAATGTTTTTGAACTATTGGGTATGGTCAGCTGTTTGCGTGAAAAGATGACACGTTTCAATACCTGTTCGTGCGAAGTCAACAGTCGGTTGGCAAATTAGGAAACTACATGGAGCTCGCTCGCAAAAGTCAATTCTTAGAGTCGAGTCCTCATAAATCTTTTTGGGTGAGCCACTTCTTGGTTCGATCATGCTAATAGCCTACACCCTGAAGCGGCAGGCGTCCGTGTACATACTGGCATCGAAGCAAAACGTTTTGCTGGTGTATAAAACTATATACAATATCGTTTACATTTCGCTGTTACTATTGAGCTTCAGGCTGCAGTAACCCATGCACTAGATCCACCCGGCTGCTGCCGTTTATGCTTGTGAATTAATGTCATTTCCATGTATTTATATGCATGTTTTATGATGCACTTCACAACGTTGTGTTCATCAAACGCGGGGTTTCAAGAGTGAAACGTTGTGAATTCGACATTTTATGCATTTGGCGGGAGGCGCCGGCAATGAAATAGATCGGCAGCTTAGATCCTAGCTTTTTATCCAATCACTTACCTTCGGCGCACTCCCCTTTCTTTCCTTGTTTAGTGGATGAGCCTGTCTCGACAGCTGGATGGAACGCCGCATGTTTTCATTCCCACACATAAGAATAAAGCACTTTCTTTGGGACTTCTGCTAGGCAAGAAAATAAGTCGAAATGTTTCACAATAACTCTCGACTGTGTCTGGGCCAACTAATGCATAGCGAGTCTGGTGCTTCTTCGTGAACCAAGACTCGCGGTACTTTATTAGCCCCGCATAGTCAAAAACTACATATGTGCATTTACTCCTTCGGATAAGTCCCGGAAAACACCCCTTGTTGAACTAAACACTTGCATGATCCATGATCAAAATAATAAAAGTCACCCACTAAGAATTTGGGTGAAGTTTCAATTCTATTTTGAAGTAGCTCTCGTTTATCAGATTGTCTGCAACAGCCCTCTCCAGTCAAACTGATAACATACAAAATAACTTCGAGTTTATTTATAGTGACATGGCAAGAAACGACATAATCTTACAGATGGTTCGAGGCCAACAAACCTTTTGAGATCATATGGATTCACTAAATATTGAAGGAAGATAAAGCTACTTTGGCTGCATTCCTATGAAGGGAAGTCGTTTTATTATATTGGCCGGTATGAATCACTCAGGTATAGAAAAAAGAGCTTTTAAAGACAGTTTATTACACAAGAAGATAGCAAAAGATGATTTGTAGGTGAACTTTTCAAAGCAGCCTTCTCGGACTATCAAAAACCCAAGAACCATCAAGTCTCGAAATAAGATCGAGAGATGTGAACATAGCATATAGTGCTTCACGATGACTCCAACAAACGCAAACAACCAAATGGACTCGGGTCATTGAACAGAAAAATTGGCCCGATGGATAACCCGATCTAAGACTTTGTATAAAGCTCATTTATTCATGTCGCCAGGTATGGGGCCACTACGCTCGTATGATGTTCTTTTTGCAGTATTGTATAACAATCTTTCATTTAAGATCTTAATGGGCTCATAAGCACACTGCTTGCGCCCACCGGAGAAATTCCTTCAAGCAGATGCCTCCGTGCCATCGAGTAGCACATGGCGGAAAAAGCTGAAGGCTTGTTGGCTTTGGTGATGGCACTCCATCAATTGATCTTCATCTTATCTCATTACAAATGAAATCCAGGCAGACTCATTATATACGCTAGCGGGGCATGTATGACGCGAGCCACAGAGCTGGAGCCACAGGGCAAGGGCCGGCTTGTAGTATAGCCGAGCCAGCGTGATTCTGGCGCTAGAGCTAAGCTTCATCTTGCACTTCTTCGTGGGAGCAGCCGCACGGAACTACTTGAAGAGCTTGGCCAACGACACCGCACCCTCGTCGTTCTTTGACATGACCTTGGCCACGGCAAGCTCAAAGTCCTCTTGCGTCACGTGGATCCTGCGCTCCCTCAAGGCGTACATGCCTGCCTCCGTGCACACGCCCTTCACGTCAGCTCCCGAGCAGCCGTTCATTTTCTCTGCGATCTTGCGCAAATTGATGCCACGCGTCAAGTTCATCAGGCGCGAGTGGATCTTGAGAATGTCCGCCCGCGCCTGGACCGTGGGCGCAGGAAACTCGATCTTTCTGTCGATTCTGCCGGGTCTCAACAAAGCAGGGTCCAAGATGTCCAAGCGGTTGGTGGCCATGATGATCTTGATATCCTTCGAGCTCTCGAAGCCGTCCAACTGGTTGAGCAACTCCAACATGGTTCTCTGCACTTCAGAGTCTCCGCCCGAGGAACCCTCGACTCGAGACGAGCCGATGGAGTCGATCTCGTCCATGAAAATGATCGATGGCGCATGCTCGCGGGCCATGACAAAAAGCTCCCGCACCATGCGCGAGCCCTCGCCAATGTACTTCTGCACCAACTCGGAGCCCGACACACGGATGAACAGACAGTCGGTATGGTGGGCCACAGAACGCGCCAAAAGCGTCTTCCCCGTGCCTGGCGGGCCGTACAAAATGACGCCCTTGGGCTGGGCAATGCCCAAGCTCTCGAAGAGCTCCGGATGCTTGACCGGCAACTCGATGACCTCCTTGATTTCCTTGATCTGCTTGTCCAAGCCGCCGACCATGTCGTAGGTCGAGTCCGGCACCTTCTCCACCATCATCAACGACACCAACGGGTCGACCTTGTTGGGCAAGATCTTGTGCAAGTCATACGAGTCCGACTTGAGGCACACACGCAAGCTGGGCGTCAACTTCTTGATGTCGATATCCTTGGTCACGTTGACAATGTACTTTCCCTCCGGGTGGATCTTCACTAGCACTTTTTTGAGGCCCATGACCTTGACCACCTCGCCCACATAGGACCCGGGCTCCTGCAAAAGCCGCAACTCGTCTTTTAACTGGCGCACTTTGGAGTTGAGCTTGTTTCTTTGTGCCTCCAATCGGCGCAAGTTCTGCGCCGTGGTCTGGAGCCTGATTTCCGTGTCCTGTATCTGCTGCTCGAAATATGGCTTGATGCCACCCTGGTGGATGTATGGGGTGTCGACGGCGGCCATTTTGGGGGTTGTTTGTGTGTAGTTTGGTGGGTGGTTAAAGAGACGTGGCGTGGCTCGTGCTCATTTGGTGACGGTGAGGTTCGCCTCCAAGGCCCGCGGCCTGTGTGCAGGACGCTTGCTTCCGGTGCAATTTAGATTTCGTGGTGCCGGGGCGTAGAAAGCGATTGGTGGGCAGTGGAGAAGTGGCTGGGAATCCGGATGTTGGGACTTGTAGAAATGGTGCAGGTTTACGAAAATTCGGGATGGTGCCAGAAATGGCGGGCCTGGTGCGCTAGGATTATGACCACCGTGGGATGAGACCAATTTTCGGGCGACGTTTTTTGTAAGTAGCGAGAGGGCTAGGGCTTACTGTTGATACTTCTTGTTTTGATGCGTTTGGTCACGTCTTGCATTATTTTACGATGGCAGATGGGGCAAGGAGCTGCAACGGTGATATACAGTTACAGGCACTCCCAAATTCGCAGCTCGGCATCGAGGCTGGACATCGAGCTTTTGCCGATTGGACAGAGTATAGTGCATGGGCTATTTTGTGGTCATGTGACCCACCCAGCAACGTTGCTTTGGGGTAAAGTGGCCAGAAAACCCATCATTGGAGGGAATTGATGAAGTAGTTTCCCATTATATGGCAGTGTGCAGGACTGACTCGGCGATCGAGGCACTAATATCTGGTGTTGCCCAAGATGCAACATCAAGTGTATTCGCAATAGACTTTGGTATGTCGTTCAATTTGTCAGTCTCTGACAGTGCCAAGCCGGACGAGTGACGTGTGACAAGCGCCACTAACAGTTGAATTCAAGCGCCACTAACAGTTGAATTCAAGGTGATTTCTTCCAACTGGTTCTGAACGTGCAAGACAAGCCGAGGCAGACTCGACATAGCGACGTGACTCTGAAACAAGGGTCGTTCTTAGTCAAGCTCTATTACTCGACGAGCACCTTCTCATTCTCAATAAACAATTCCCAATAAACTCCAAGTCCTTATTAACTATTCCCAATCACCCTAAGTCTCCATAAACTCTAATTCCCGAAAGCTTATCCAATACACAGTATTTTCCGATCACTCTTCCCAGTGAATTTTTGCTTTCAATAACTGTGTTTTCCAATAACTCCAACAGCTATTCCCAACAGATTCTATTTCCCAGTAAATTCTTTTCCCCATGAATTTCGACTCACAAACAAGTATGTGGATGCAAAAAAAACTCCAAGCTGTTGCCGCTCCACGCTGCAATTGAAGTTAATGTTTTAAAAGTTCCAAGACAAACACCCTTTTTGAAGTCCGCTCCATGCGACTGCAAAAAATGTTGCATCTTAATGTCCGGCCAGGCTCAAATATTAAGAAGTGGATTCAGCCAATTTATTAACATCAACGCGAATAAGTCGGCGTAGGTACAAATCAAACACTCTGTGAGATTCCCGTTCCCCACAGCAAATGGCCTGGTAATGGTTATAATGCTTAAGACGGTCCGCAAGATAATAACGGAAATAAATGACGGGCTTACTTGCATTGTGTCACTGAACATGCAAACGAATTCGAGGGCAGAGCCAGCAGATTGGGCAGTGCATGCCACGTGACACGCCGGCTTGCCTGTAAATGCACGGGTTTATGTCCATGCCCCGGTCTCTCCATCAACTGGACTCACTTGGCGTGGTCCTAAAAAAAGTATTGACAAAACGAGAAATGAGGGTTTTGTATGTATTGACATGGGCCATGGCCGCCCTAGCATACCAGCAGTTTTGTAAGTGCCAATGCAACGAGCAGCTGCTAGTCGAGAGAATCGACCAGTGCAAGCAGTGCACGAAAGAATGGTGTCTTTTACAAGACGCACAGCTCTGCCTGCCTGAAGAAACGTCGGACTCGATGATCATCAGCTGTTTTCAGAACGAGTCCAAGAAAGAACAGGCGATTGTGTATGCGTTCATCATTGCCATAGTCGTGCTTCTAGGCAAGCTGGTCTTGCCGTTCGGGCGGCGCACGTGACCAGGCGTTTTCCGGCGGAATGCCGGGGCGGGTTTTAGGGACACGGCACGTGATGGTGCCGTCCTCCCGAAAATAAGATGGAGTTTTAGGGGGCCGGCTTCGTATGGGTCCCATTTGGTGGGTTCTGGGGGTATTCCCGGCATTTCGCCGTTTCGCACCTCGGTGCCCGAGCTCATAATTAAAGAGACTGCCGTGTTAGAGGGACGGCCATAGAAGCTGGAGGAACAGCCAGGCAAAATAGAGGCACAGTGTGTGGCTTGGCGAGGGGCGTATTTTAGGGCTGAGCTGATTTGACCGCACGGCTGTTTTATAGCCGCGCCGTATCTATATGGCTTATTGGGGATAGACTTGGTGTATTGGGGCACCGCAGAACGCTGGACAACAGGTGCTGGTGGATAGGCTTCGTTGTGTTTGTGTATTAAGCCGTGGCAGCACTTGGGAATTTTGCTCTTGAAATACTCCGATTTTTTAGGACAGTTTCGTTGGCCCCGGTTCGGCTGTGCATGGTGGAGCAGGCAGGCAGCCGGAGCAAGCGATTGGTGCACCCGCCAGGCGTGCTGGGGGAAATGTCGTCTGGAATTGGGTGCTGTTCCAAGTGATTGTGTTTTTCGTGCCCGGCAGAGATGTTTGATGGGGATGTTCGATGTGAATGTGCGATAAAGATGTTTGATGGAAATGTCCAATGGGGGTGTTCAATGAAGAAGCTTGATGGGGATATTTGATGGGAAGGCTCAATTGAGATTGATGGGGATATTTGCGGGATATGCTATATGGAAATGCTCTGTGGAAATGTTCTATGGAAATGCTCTATGGAAATGTTCTATGGAAATGTTCTATGGAAATGTTCTATGGAAATGTTCTATGAAGATATTTGAAGGAAGTGCTCGATGGAAATGCTTGATTGAGATTTTCAATGGGGATGCTCAATGGAGATGTTCGATTGAGATGCTCGATGGAAATGATCTATGGAGATATTTAATGGAGATGCTTGATTGGGATGTTCGGTTGTGATGTTCGATGAGAATGCTCGATGTGCATATTCAATAGAAATCGAAGATGTTCGATGGAAATCTTTCATGGAACTCTCAATGGAAATGCTTGATTTAGATGTTTGATGAAAATGCTCAATGGAAATGCTTGATTGGGATATTCGATGGAAATTCTCGATGGAAATGTTCGATGGAGATATTCGATGGAAATGTTCGAAGGAAATGTTCGATGGAGATATTCGATGGAAATTGCTCGATGGAGATGCTCTTTGGAAATGTTCGATGGAAATGTTCGATGGAGATATTCGATGGAAATTGCTCGATGGAGATGCTCTATGGAAATGTTCGATGGAAATGTTCGATGGAGATATTCGATGGAAATTGCTCGATGGATATGCTCTATGGAAATGTTCGATGGAAATGCCCGGTAGAGACGCGCAATACATGATCACCACGTAATGCAGCGCGGCGCTGGTGCAACGCCATCTCCAACACAGCCGTCTGTTTCCCGGCATACCGGTCTGTCTGGCGCGACACTGCAATCGATTAATTCCCAGGTCTCCATCCAGTGCACGCGGTTCAAAGCTGCTGTGTCCTCGGACCCATGCAAGCTAATTAGCGAGCCATGGTCCGGCCCTAGCAGCCCGCGCAATTCGGCAATATTGATTTCCAGGACAAGAAGACGAAAAAAAGGAAGAAAGCAGAGAAGCATCAAGGCACCGGCCAGCACAGAACCTTCGGCTAGCACAAAAATCCCCGGCCGGCTCAGAAACCCCCGGCCGTCAAAACAAGCCGAAAAAAAACCAGCGAGCGAGCAAGCACCAAAATCACCCACCATCAGGCTGGAAAAGAATTCTCACCTACAGGCAAACAACGACTCGAGCACACAAGCAGGCAACAAAACAAAACAAAAAAGAGCCGAAGAATTAAAAACCTAAAGCACAAAGCCAAAACAGACAAACCCCAAAGCAGACAAAACCCAAAGCAGACAAAACCCAAAGCAGACAAACCCCAAAGAAGACAAAAACAAAGCCGGCACAATTCGAAGCAGACACAAAACAAAGCAGGCTGCAAAAACGGGCCCAGTCCAAAAATAAAGCAGGCCGCAAAACTCCCCGTCCAGTCCTCGCTTCGTCGGTCGCCTCGGTTCCTCCCCTGGTCCAAGGTTCGCAGCCAGCCGCACCGCACCACTCGCGGCAGTGGAAAAGTCGTGCCGCAACGAGCGAGCGTAGTGGAAAAAAAAATTTTATTCCCTACTACCTCCCGATCTCCAGGTCCTCTTTTTTCGCCCTTCAGACCACCCGTCCTCTTTTTCTCTTTTGAAAACACAGAGGCCCCCCGATCCCGCTGCGTGTACCTAGCCCTGCGGACCTAATTATTTGGTTGATCGTTTGCCCCCCCGACGGAATTACCCGCCAGCGCAAACCCCCTTGGAGAAGCAACAAAGAAAAACACTCGGAGTCCCGCCTTCCGCTCGTTTTCTCCATTGCTCCCTGAAATCCACAAGGACAAACCCCGGCGGCCCCCCGCTCCTGCCCCTGTCTGAATTGCTTTTGTTTCCCCCGGCGGCTCCCGTATCACCCTTGCTCGTTACACCACAGCCATGTCGGACAAACCCGAGGCCCCACACGCGCCGGACCACCCCCTGGCGCCTGCCCCCCAGCAGCCGCTGCTGCACCCCGCCAAGCCCCTGCCCCCGGCGGGCCCCTCGGCCGCTGCGAGCGGCGCGGGCCACAGACAGAACCACCAGGGCGGCAGTGGAAACAAGCCCTACCACAACAAGCGCGGCAATTACAACGGCAAGGCCGGCAACGGCGCCGGCCACAGCCCCGGCGGCAATCAGTACGCCAGCGCGTACAACCCCTACTCCCAGAACATGTACAGCGGCAACTACTACTACGGGTTCCCGTACCCGCCGGCCATGGTGCCAGGCATGGGTGGCATGCCCGCTGCGTACCCCCCACAGCTGCCCCAGCCCGCGCAGTCGTTCCCGGCGTCGCCCAGCATTGCCAAGGTGAAGATCACGGACAAGGACGGCAAGCAGGTCGACTTGGAGGAAAAAACCAAGTCCTCGTCCTCTACGCCCAAGCCGGCCGCGGCCCAGATCGTCGTGCCCGCGCAGGAGGCGCCAGCGCCCGTGGCGGCCCCCTCGCCTGCTGCTGCCGCGGCCACTGCCAAGTCCGTGGCCGCGGAGGAGTTCCGGAAGAAGATCATGGAAAAGGCCCAGCTCGCGAAGAAGAAGAAGGACGAGGAGAAGGCCTTGCTCGAGGCCGAGGCCAGGGCCAAGGAGGCCGCAGCGGCCCCGCAGCCCGAGCCGCCTGCTGCAAAGCCCGTGGACGCGCCCGCCGTCGAGACCCCTGCTGAAACTGCCGAGCCCGCCAAAGCTGCCGAGCCTGCTGAAACTGCCGACGCCGAACCTGCCGAGGCTGCAAAAACCGCCGACGCCGACGCTGCTGCCGAGCCTGCTTCTACAGTCGAGACCGACGCTGCTGCCGACGCTGCTCCCGCCGTCTCGGCTCCTCAGGAAACCCTGTCCGCTGTCGAGTCCGCCAAGGAGTCGCTGGTGGAGGCCAGCGAGGCCTCAAAGCCAGAGGCTGAGGCCGCCGCCGACCTTCCAATTACGGATTCTCTTGCCAAATCAAACACAGAGCACGAAACGGAAACTGAAACCGCCGACGGTGACATCGCTCCGCAGGAACATGAGGGCCCCGAAGAAACCGCAGAGGAGCAAACACAAGATGACGAAGAAAAAGAACACACCAGTGAAGGCCCCGTGTTCGACCTTTCTCTGTACTTCGAGAGAGTGAACAACGCCCAGCGAATTGAAGATCCGTTCTCGTTCTCGTATGCATACCCGCTGACTGGTCCAGATGCCAGATGGAAGTCCGAAACCAAAAAATACAGATACGACCCACAGTTCTTGCTCCAGTTCGGAGAGTACGTCCAATTCCCCATCGACGACGCTTGGAAGGAAAAGCTTGAAAACTTGGGAATTGTCTCCAGCAGAAGAATGCCCGGCGGCAACCAGAGAATGAGCTCGAGCAGGCAAAACAGTCAAATGCTGGGCGGAAGATTTAATGGGTCTATGCCCAGCAGACTTGGCCAGTTCAACGACAGGCAAAACTCTAGAAGTGGATCTAGAAGAAGAGGTGGCGGAGGAGGAGCCAGCAGCTCGAGCGGCCCAAGAGACAGGTCTTTGAGAAACAAAACCCAGTCTAGGAGAAGAGAGTCCGAAGAACCTCCCAAGCCTGCCGAGGAGGTCAAGCCTTTGGTTCCATCGGCCAACAGATGGGTGCCTAGGTCCAAAGCTAAAAAGGATGAGGTTAAGCTTGCCCTTGATGGATCTGTGCTTCTTGATTCTGAGGACATTGAAAGAAAGATTAACTCCGCATTGAACAAGTTGACCTTGGAGATGTTCGAGCCTATCACCAATGATATGTTGGCGATTGGCAAACAATCGATCTGGGAAGATGATGCCAAGACGATCAAACAGGTCATCTCTTTGACGTTTGCTAAGGCTTGTGACGAGCCATACTGGTCGTCAGTGTATGCCCAATTCTGTGCTAAAATGTCAAAGGAGCTTACTGACGACGTCAAGGATGTGAACACGCTTAATAAGAACGGCGAGCCTGCTACTGGTGGTGACTTGGCAAGAAGAATCTTGTTGGCCACCTGTCAGGTTCAATACGAGAAAGGATGGGTTGACAAGCTTCCTACAAATGAGGACGGGTCTCCATTGGAACCTGAAATGATGTCCGAAGAGTATTATGTCATGGCCGCTGCCAAGAGAAGAGGTCTTGGTTTGGTCAAGTTCATTGGTAACTTGTACATCTTGAACATGTTGAATGACCAAGTCATCTTGCGTTGTTTGAGAGATCAGTCTAAGAATGTGACTGACCCATCAGAGGACTCTTTGGAGAACTTGGCACAATTGATCAAGACTGTCGGCCCAAGATTTGAGGCCTCGGAAAGAAATAGAGCTGCATTGAGTATGGTCTACGACAACATTCAACAAATTCTAGACCACTGTGAGCTCTCCTCCAGAATCAAATTCATGTTGATGGACTTGCAAGACTTGAAAAAGAGCAACTGGAAGTCTTTGAAGAAAGACGCCGGTCCAAAGACAATCAAAGAGATTCACAACGAGGCTGAGTTGAAGAAGATCGAAGAAGGCAGAGCACAAGCAGAGAAGAGAAGACAAAACAGAGGAGGCAACCGTGACTCCGGCTTTGGCGGCGGTGATTCCAGATCGAATTCTTCGAGGTCCGGATCGTCCTGGGGAAACAGAAAAGACTCCAGGCCACCCGCAAAAGATTCCAGAGGGTTCACATCGGTATCTAGAGTGCAATCGAACAGAAATGCCCCAGAACCAAGTGCACCCTCATCCAACTTGGCTCCTCGCGAAGCTTCCAAAAGAACAGACTCCATGGCATCTAACATCTTTGCCGCATTGGGTGGTGACCACGACGAAGAAGAAACTGAGGCCCCCGCAAAGTAAAAGGCTTCATAATATCACTGGGCTTAATCCGCCTGCTATCCTTGCATTTTTCCCATCCCAATTTGAATTGTAATATACATATTTGCGACTGTAAACTTGAAAGAGTAGGAACAGGATTATCTGCCCCCGGGCCTTCCGCCAGATGTTTTGAGTGGCGACAGGATGATGTTTTGAGTGACGACAGGAAGATGCAGCTGAGACAGTTCAGGAATCTCCAAGGGTGTAATCCGACCCAAGCTGGTCCAAAGAAACAATCTGCATGCCCAAGCGTGCTGGCCCTTCGATATTGGGGATCTCCTGTAGCAACTCCTCGACCCAAATGTCATCATAAACCACCTCGTATTCGGGGTTTGCCTTGCCTTCCTTCGAAGAAGCCCCGCTCGTGTCTTTTAGGAAGTAAGCGCCCATTGCTTCCAACGCCCACCGCAACAGTTCTGGCTCGTAGTCGCTAGTCCCGGCTAGTCTTTCTACGCAGTTTAGCAAAAGCTGCTCGGCGCCCTTCCCTGCTTTTTGCACCGCCTTGAGAACAGAGAGCACCTTGATTAGCTCGTTTTTTTTGGGGAACGCATGTGTGCAAGTAAACAAAAGAAGATACTTGAGGATGCTTAGCGGAGCCTCGCCTCGTCTGAACAATTGCAAGCACGCGTGTGTTGCCGAGAGGACTCTGAATTTGGACGCCGAGTGGCGGGACAAGTCTGTGCTTTCGATGGGCACATGCCTCTCGTCGTCGGAATATACGGGGCCGGGCGCTGCCTCGTCGTCATCCGAAAAGACAGTGTGGTCGGCCCAGGCCTTTGTCTTGGGATCCTCGCCCTCGTACCTAGGCCGGTCGGCCTCATCGAACCAGCTCTCCAAATCCGAATCTGCATCTCCAGCCCCCGGACACGTTTCTAGCAGACCGCCACCAGCCCCTTCTACTGCCGCTGGGATATCCTCTGTATGGTGGCTTTGAGGGTATCTCAAGCACCGCAAAAGATGGGAGAGAAGAGGGAGGTTGTGCTCGGAGTGGAGCCCGAGCCGCGCCTTGCTTAGAGTGGCGATGGCCTCGGCCACTGCCGGGGCATCCACGGGCGAACTGCCACCAGGCCCGGTGGTCCTATAGGCTGCGGAACTGAGGCGGGCACTGAGAATCTCAATGAGATTCACGGCGCTTCTCATGTCGCCACTGGCATACTTGACCACGGCCTGCACGGCCAGGCCGGAGTAGGCCAAGAAGCAGAGTTTCTGCGTCACCTTGCGCCGGATGTTCTCGTAAAGAATGGCCCGGTGGACCACCTCCAGGAGGTGGCGGTCCGCGGGCGCCACGAGCGTGAACAAGTGGCACCGCGAGAGCACGGCGCGCCGGACGCGTTTGTGGGCGTCTGTCGTCGTGGCACCCACAAAGACAAACGTTCCTTTTTCGATGAACGGTAGAAGATAGTCCTGCTGCACGGTGGAAAACCGGTGGAGCTCGTCGATGAACACAAGCACGCGGAGCCGCGAGACGTGCTGGCGCAGCCTCTTGAGGTTCTCGGCCTCGATGGCACACAGGAGCTCCTTGACGTCTGCCACCGTCGACAGCGTGGCCGAAAACTCGGCAAATACATAGTTCGCCTCGTCGGCAAGAAGCCTGGCGAGACTGGTCTTGCCCACCCCGGGCGGCCCGCAGAGAATCATGGACGGGAGGTAGCCGAGCCGCAAGAAGTTGGAGATCTCGCCGTCTGTGGAGTTTAGAAGATGATCCTGGCCGATGTACTGGGCGAAGCGTTGGGGCCGGATGACCTCGGTGAGAGGCTTGGTGAAAGTGGCGGCGAGGGCAGCGAGGTTTTGGGCGGCCATGGTGGAGGTTTGGGGCTGCTGCCTAGGGCATGTTTGCATGGCCACCAAGGGGACCGAAGGAGGAGAAGCAGAGCACTGTGAGCGGTGCTGAGGGTGGTTTTGTCGTAGGCCCGCCGCGCATGTTCGGGTGCGCGCATGCTAATATATGGAGTTATTAGACGAGGCAAGCACTGGCTGATGTAGTGGAAACGAGTTTTCATACGGCAAGGGAGCCCGGGCAAGGCTCTGCGGGTGATCCTGTGACGGGCCTTGTGTGACACAATGCACTGGGAATTAAAGAAAAAAAAAGAAACCGGGCCTGGACTGGGTTGGTGGCTGGGCACCCAAGACCCAGGCGCACCCATGTCTCCAGTCATGAGTCTTTTTTTTTGAAGAAAAAACATCATATTGTGGCGGTGGATTGTTGAAAGCCCCGCCTGACCTGCTGCTTTTTCGCTATTGTGTCGTTGATGCCGCTTATATCCGAACGCTGCAGTGGCTTTAGCTGCGACGCACTTTATGATGCGAAGGCCGCTGCTCAAAACGCCGGTGACAGGTCGTGCTGGTACTATCCGCGGAATGGGCGTTTCCCAGAAGTTTAGTCACACATCATTGAGTTCTGGGTCCCTGGATAGTGCCTGCGGCTGACTGGCTTCAGCTCGTCCTTCGTGAGATTGACTAGTTTTAGGTCGTCCTCCGTGAGATTGACTGGCTTCATCTCGTCCTTACCGGAACACCTGACCTGAGACACGATCTAAACCGAGTTTGAAGAAAGTGTTTTGTATTGCAAGAAAACAAAGATTTCTTTGTTACGAAAAGCGGCGGAGGTCACTCGGGGTGGGAGTCCGAGACCCGAAAGTCCTGGAATTTACATGAGTCTTGGGACACTCATACAATCTAACCCATATGGACACAGGCCCGGCGTTTTGCCCCGGTTGCCAACAGACGTCCGATGGAGCACCCGTGCCGCTTTGGAAGAAGGGCCATCATCCACCGCCATCTACTGCCATCAGGCACATGCGCAAAGCGGTCCTCAGATCGCCTCTTTTTTAACGGCGCTGTCCATGGAGCTGGATTTGCGTCTTTTCCGGGCAGTCTTGGGCTCGTCGGTAGCCGGTGTTTTGGGCGACGCGTGGGGCTGCGGCCCGGGTGGCGCTGCCCGTGAGCTGGCCCGATGCAAGTGCTGGGATTTCGTCTCCACAAAGCGTTCAAGTGCCCTCAAGGGCGATGCGATATTGCCGGCCCGCGTGTACCGCATGAGCGGATGGAGGCAGGCCATGACGTCGCCGATCTGCATGACCCGCATGGCGCCGGGCGAGAGCCCGCAAGTCTGCATGGTCTTGCAGCACTCGGCGTCCAGGGCCATGTGCTGGTAGAAGTCGGGGCCGCGCCCGTCTTGCGGCTGCACCTGGCCGTTCTTTTGCATGGCCTGGTGTGCGGCCCACCGCTGCTGCAACGCTTCCATGGAGATCAGCCTCTGGAACGCGGAGATCCGGCAGTCTAGCTGCTGCACGTGGAGGTCTCGGGCCATGAAGAAGCAGCACGTGCCGAGCGCCGTGGCCGAAGAGCCGTCGCTGTAGTAGAAGGAAACGTGGACCCTGCACATGAGTGTCATGTGCCCCTCCTCCAGAAACAGGTACCGGAACCCGGTCAAACTGAGGTGGTGTTTGGCCACACAGTTGGCAATGGCCTGTGCGTGGAGAAACCGTGGTGCCGTGCTGGCATTGAGCTGGTACAGGTTCGAGGCTGACGGGAGGAGCCCGTCCGGTGCCTGCACGGGTTGGTGGTCGGGGCCCGAAAACCTCATTGTCGACGAGGGTCGGAAAAACGCGTCGCACACGCGGGCCCAGAACAGGAGCGACAGCACCATTTCGGGCGGGGCGCTGGATATCAGCTCCACCAAGTCCAAGATCCGCATGATGGCCGCGTTTGCTGCGTTTCTTCGTATGGCTCGTGCGTTGATTGCGTCCTGCTGGAGATTGGGGGGAGCGGGGACGCCAAGGGGCGGTCCCGGCGCGGCTCTATTCTGAGGTTGTCTGTTTGGGTCGTGCGGGCCATGCCTGCTGATTTGCGGGGCTCTGCTTGCGCCGTTGCTGCCTGGTGCCTGCGCGTGCATTTGAAGGTGGCTCTGGCTCTGGGGGTTCTGCTGGTTCTGCCCCTGTATACTATGTTCATTTTGTGGGCCTTGCTGGCTGTGGGGGCCCTGGTGGCCTTGCTGACTCTGTGGTCCTTGGTGACCTTGCTGACTCTGCTGATTCTGTAGGCCTTGTTGGTCTTGCCGGTTCGGAAGGCTTTGCTGGCCTTGTTGGTCTTGCGGGCTCTGCTGACTCTGCTGACTCTGCTGACTCTGCTGACTCTGCTGATTCTGCTGATTCTGCTGATTCTGCTGATTCTGCTGAAGTGCTTGGAGTTGTTGCTCGCTCATTCCAGGGTCAACGCTGCCCTGCTCCGAAAAACTCCCTCCGGTCAGCACCGGCGTGTTGCTATGGTGTATCTGAGGCATAGAAATAATATATCCTTCCAGGGCCGTCGACGGCTGGGGCGGGCCCAGGGGTATTTGTGGTGTTTCCATGTGTGGAGAAGGCGCCATGCGATGGGCCAGCTGGCCGTTTTGATACATGGCGTTTTCGCTGTTTGGAGGGCCGGGCTCGGCAAAGACGTGCGGTTGGCCATGCCGGTCACTCATGCCAAATTCCGCCATCTTCTGCATTTAAGATGGGCTTTCTGTGGCGTTTTGGCACCTCTTTCACAAATGGACTAGGTGACAGAGTCAAGCTTCGGGATAGTGGTGAGACGCGAGCGAAGGACGCGGCTGTAGTACGGGACGATACTGATGCTGAAACAGCGATGAAACGACGGTGCAACAGAGAAAACAACAGGAAAGAGATGAATGAAATTGCCCATAAGGCTAGTGTAAAGATGACTCCCTCGTTGCCTGAACCAGAGACCAGCTTGTCGAGCAACGGCATTGCCCTTCTTCTGGATGCATCATGCAAGTACTGTGTGGGAAGAGGCTTTCATGCCGGAGAGGCGGAAAACTGAGATTTCGCAGGTCGTGAGGAGTTTTAACAAAAGTTTGAACTAGGCTACCCCAAGAAAAGGCTCCGCAAAGGCAAATAAAGAATTAACGTCTCAGTCCATTCCAGATTGTTCTCTATTTTGCGGGCCCTCGGTTTCCTGAAACACAATTCATCCAGCGTGCTCGCACACCTTGCTGAGGGACTCGGCCGTATTCATGCAATTGCGTAGTGCTAAGCCATAAGCCTGTGGTATAATCTCGCAGGTAAAATGCAGTGCAGGTAAAACAAATTCCGGCAATGGGTCTTTTCGGTCTTGCTTCCGCCATTCTGAGACCCGATAGTCGCGGTCTTTTCGAAAACTTTCCGAACTTTCCATCAACAGTCCATTTGAGTTCTCTCTGCGCTGCAGATATATTTCGGCTGCGGCATCATACGCGCGCCTTCTGCCCCTGCAGGCTGAAATATGTAGGCCTTCTCCTACACATCACTTGATGCCAAATTTTCTGAACTCAGACAACTCTATGCGGACACTCGAGCCCGATCCATGCGTTTTGTTTCTGGAGGGCTTTTCATGACGTGCCAGACTTTGCGCCCACTGTACGAAAGGCCGGAACGACCCGAGGTACTGTATGCCTTGCTATTCGCGCAGCCTGATGCATGGAGCGTTCTTTTCCTCCTGGTCAAGAAATTCTGCTTGGTTCTGATTGCGCGGAATGGGTTTTATGGGAAACCCTATACACCGGTTTTGAGTAGCTTTGGCGCGCAGGGTGCGCTCGTCTAGATATCTGGGGCAATATGGCCTAGTTTTTAGTGTGCGTTATGAAATCTTTAGTTCTGAGCCTGATGATTTCACGCCGCTGCATGTACAGAAAACATCAGCTGTTTTTTTTGGTTTTTTTTTCGTTTTTGACTTGGCGAACAAAGAGAAATTGGAAATAAGCTTCGAGGCGTGGGTGCACCAGTCGCGTTCACCTTCCGAAAGTATTACGTCACCAAAAAGCTTTTGTCAGGAGATGGGAGGATTAGACACTCATGTATTTGACTCATGGAGTCATGCAAATGATTCTGAAACTGTGGGAACCTCGAATTTGACTTTTGTGGCCAATTTTGGTCAATGTTCAGCTGAAATGAAGCTCGGGCACGAGGCAACGCACTCCAGTTCCTATTTTCTGCATGGAGACGGGAATAATCTTTATTTGCTCAGTATCAATTATTCCAGAAAAAGGTAGACACGGCAAAAAAAAGTTCCTTGGGCTTCACCAGGAGTCTCTGGGTGCATTCTGTATAGTGTGGTTTGCAATTCAACTAGACTGGAAATCAAGAGGTCCAATTTTGACAAACTTAATCTGAGGATATTCAGTACCCGCTAGGATATTAGACGAAATTCCAAATTTGCACCGGTTCATTCGAAAAAATATAGATCCAGTCCGGCCAAACCATGCTCAGTTTTTCTGGTGGTTTGCTTCATCAGGTAACGTTGAAATTATGCATAAGCTCTGATCATGCAATAGTTCGTGCATCTGCAAAGAATGCAGTTTGCTTGCGAAAAGTGTCCTGATATTAATTTCCGGCTGGCAGGTATTTCCAGTCAAATGTCCCCAAACCACGCTTGGTGTGTGCTCTCTGGCGTGTCGTATATGCGGTGATTAGCCAAAATAGTTGTCTGTCTTGGGAGGGATAGGAGAATAATTCCATCAAATAGGTGTTCGCCTCGTATCGTATGTATTCAAATTTGTCCCTTCACTCGACATTCCTCTAATCATTTCAAATGCTGAAAAGCATATTCTGTGAATGTAAGAGTCGTGATTTTGACAGCGTCAAGCAGTTCAAGCACACCAAGAACCCAGCATTTATAAGGGTTCTGGACAATACATGCACCTTGGCAACGCACGAGTCACATATCCCTTTCTTTTCGATACATTTGGAGACTCACGCCATATGAAAAGAGTTCAAGCCTACTCGGTTCATTCTCTGGGGCTTTAGCAACCACAAAGGCGACATTGTGCCATGGATTATATAAGCCACATAGGGGAACAGGATGTACCTCATGTCTAACAACCTCGAGATGCATACATGGCTAAAAGGAGCTGAGAATGTGAATAAGGTCGTAGATTGGTGTGGGTGTGCGAGGCTATGTCTTCTGACAAGGCTCAAAGAAAAATCACGAGGACCAAGACATAGTTCCAAGTGTGAAATTCTTCCAATGGACACGCGGCCGGCGAAAGTTTTTGATATTTGATACTAGGAAAATTGGATGGTTTGGCCAAATCCATAATAAGAAATTGATGGCGACTAATGCTAAAAAAGCACATGCTCTCTGCTCGAGCAGTAGAAGCCGCAGAAATTCCAAATCCTTGCGACTTCAGACAGACAAGGGAAATCTCCCCCTGCGACGGACCCTGCTATCTAGCCGTTCATGTGCATGCCAAAGTTCCTGCCCGATATCGCTCACGTTTGGCTCCTGTTTCGGGATCATTCGAGTCCGTTGGCACTTACCGCATCAGCATGCAACAATGAGCCACAGCTGATTCTATAGGGAAGGGATGTAGCACGACCCGCAGCATCATAGATGAGACATCTCTGCGGATGAGTCACGATTCGATGTTTGCCGCCTGACAGGGTTTCTGGGTGTTGAGGCCAACAAGCACATAAAACAAAGCCCATAAAACAAAGCCCATGGAAACAAAGCCCATGGATAAAAACGCCCATGAAGTAAAAGCAAGCTCTTGCAGGCTCGACGACTCGCCTCCTGGAAGCCTCTGGCAAAGTAGCCCAGGCTCCTCTCCTTTCCAAAACACCCTCTGATCTTTGGAAAGCCACTCCCGTCTCATCGGCGCCCACAACGTGCCCCTCACTCCGTGAAGGCCAAGACCGAGCCGGCCGACAGACTCACCCACCGCATGAGCGCAGCGTGCCCCACCACCGGCCGTCGGGGCTTGAGCGTCTGTTTCGAGTCCGACTCGTCGTCGTCCTCCTTCTCGCGCGTCTTGTTGGCCCGGCGCTTCAACAACTTGTTCAACGTGTCGCGCTTCTCCTCCTCGAGCTGCTTGATCTTGTAGTCGGCCCGCTTGCGGGCGTTCTCGGCCTTGCGCACGGCAATCTCCTCCGCGGTCTCCTTCTTTTTCTGGGTCTTCCTGTTCAACGCTAGGAGCTGCTCGTCCATGCGGGCGAACATCAGTTCCTCGTACTTTTCGTTGGGCTCGTCTTCGGCCAAACGGGCCCGCTGGCGCTCGGTCATGCGCAGCACGTCGGGCCGGTACTCCGGCTCCGGCTCTAGGAAGTCCTCCTCTTTTTTGGGCGCCGCCCGGCGGGGGATTTTGAGCTTGACCGACACGCGTTTTTTGGGAGCCGGGGCCTCCTCGTCGCTGTCGAGCAAATCGTCCTCCTCGTAAAACGTGAGCTGGCGTTTCTTGGTTTCCCGGACCGGGCGGCCGCCCCGCAGGGGCCTAGCCGACACTTTGGGCTCGGCTTCGTAGGCCTCCTCGGCCGAGTCCTCGGCCTCCTGGGGCTGGTGGTCCTCGTCCTCGAAATCGTCGAAATCCTCGGGGTCCTCGTCGAATTCAGGCTCGCTGGCGTCGTCCGAGTCGCTGGCGTTTTGGGGGGGTGCTGCGTCGAAATCGTCGTCGTCGCTGTATGCGATTTTCTGTCTTGATCTACGGGCAGACATGGTGGGATCGGTCGACTGGTGCTCTGCTGCTTGGATATCTGCGAGCTTATATATTGAGGTTGTTTTGTTGTTGTTTTGTTGTTGTTTGTGTTGTTGTTTGTGTTGTTGTTTGTGTTGTTGTTTTTGTTATTGTTGTTTTGTTGTTGATCTTACCGAAGCACAAAGCCAGCTTAGGTACGGGCAGGCTTCTTCACAGTGGCTACGCCGGATTTGCTCATCTGGAGACTGTTCCTAGGGCCAGGTGAGCATTCAGGCCTGGCGCGCCATTTCTGGAGGGCCGCCCGAGCATGAGAGCACAGTATAAAATAGAGCTCGATTTCGAGGAGCCAATTGGAATATGGTCCGGTTTCTGGCACTTGTATCGTTTGGAATGCAGAGAAAACTGGCTTCTTTATTTTTAGTATTTTAATTTTTGTCTCGCTGAGTTCTCCTGGCTTGATGCAATACTTTGCAATATTCCGCAAGTTGAGTGTAGACAGGCATATACTAAAAACGACGTCTGCAAAATTCGAAAAAGCAAAAAAACTTGGCGGGACTGTAATTCGGGCTTGGCTACGAATACACCACAAATCGTACAGATGGCTGCTTTGCCTTGGGCTTTTCTCTGGGTTTCATCAGAACATTGTTCTGGGGGTAATGTCGAGCCAATCCACGAATGTCGTATTTGGGGTATGAAGAGTGCCATGGCTCAACCAAATCATTGGAATTTTCTTCTTTTGCGTATTTTCCTGGCATGCTTTCCAGAAATCAGGAGTGGTCCTGGCTGTACCATGACGTGCTGATGTGATGCTCCAGGGGAGGCATTCATATTGCACTGAAAATGTTGCCGTTTCTTGGGAGGTGCACGGTGAAGCAGAACGGCTCAAGAGCTCGGAAACCAAGAGTTTGTTGATTTCACTGACAAACAGACTTTCTTTCAAATACATCATTTAGATCGTCTTATCGGCTAAGCGTAGGATGAATGGTATCATGAAGATATAGTAGTTATCTACTCCTACTCCTGTATCGAAAGCCGAGGTGTTGAAGAGATTAAAATTTTGTACCACTGAAACTTCAGCTTGCTCGGCCAAAACAAGTCTTTATGACGACAACTTGTTTAGCCGCAAAGTATGATGTATGGTAAGACGAATGCAGTGCAGAGTGGTGCCAGAAGATTCACTAATTAATGTAACTGATACCGTTTCTTCAAAGGAACTATTTCAGAATTGAGTATGTTTCCAAGTGCGTATAGGAATGAAATATTAAAGGGGAAATCCTCTTCAAACACTCCTTGTTTGGGAAACACAGTGTCCATTCAAGACTGAGACTGGTTGCTTGGTGTTGTGTCTTATTTATGCCTCTGCATGCCCATCGGCCTTCCAGAATTAGATGGACGAGGCTGTGGGCATATGAAGAGTCCGCCTTCTTTGCCAACCTCGCTCTAAATTAGTGCACTCAGGAAGAAACGGTTTTTTGGGTGTCTGCTCTAAGCTCAGCACTAATCACGAATCGCTTGCTGTACTCCCGGCTGGCCAGAATTTCTCAAAACACAGATTCAATATTTGTACTTTCCCACTTTGTTGGATAATGCTAGGCCGTTCTGAGACGTTATCTAGAATATGCCATCTATACCCTCAGAAGGTTTCTGCAGAGAGTTAACAGAGGGTACGCTGGAAGTCGATCTGTGGTCTCTGGAGGCAAGACAATTAGGGCTTTGGTCTGAACAGGTACATTTTTATCCGTGCCTTCCTTGTTGTATCGTCTACTCTTTTTTGTTCCTCCCTTCCTTCTTCTTTATAAAACTATGAAAGTTCTACACAAGCTTATTACCGGTATGGACGATAATAATGTCTCCACTATTCTTAAAGCTGAATCTAACCTCTACTTCCTTTGTAAATTTCGTACCTTTAACTATAAGTGATCTATGTTAGTTCCAACGTACTTTGACACTTAATGAATTCGTCTAATGTATTCATGATTATATCAGCTTTTTTTAAACCGCTGAGAGCTAAGTCAGCTAATGTTGGATACTAGTACTCCCTCAGGTGTTCCCATTTCGGGAAAAACGTTCTGGTCCATAGTTTCACTGGTCAGTTAGTTGTATTAGGACAGTCATTTGATTATACTATAACTGTGATATCGAAAGCAGGCTGCTTTGGTTTATCTAAGGAGCATGGCGTCTTTTCAGAGGCACATATAGCCAGTCTCCCCATAAGCATACTTCTCACAGTGTATAGCTTCAGATTCAGAAGTAAATTTCTCCAGTCTTGTGCACATCGTTGGAGAAGGGACAGGCTTGTACACTTCTGTCATTACAAGATAGTTCATGTAAGGTGAGGCCCGGGTGTATGGTTGTGGGAGTCAAAGAAACGGAGGTCCAGAAAGACGATGTTTGGCGAGAAAGCCCGTTCCCGAGACCGAGCATAGCCAGAGACTGCCGGGGGCGGTTCCAGAAGCTGTTGTATACCGCACCTCGCCAGGTCTTGCATCACCAGCCTATCATGATTGTGGGGAGCCCGGCGATCGAACCAGGCTCGAGATTATTAGGCATGAATCCAGCCAGCGCCAGAGTGCCATGACAGTAGGTGCCATCAAGTCTGGTGTCATTCATATTAATGGATCAGGACAAGGTCACGATATATCACCACAGATCACGGCAGGTCACGACATATCACCTAAAATCACCACATATCACCACATATCACCGAAGATCACCGAAGATCACCACAGATCATGATATATCATAACAGATCACCACAGACCACCGCAGATCACGACATGTCACCGAAGATCACCACAGATCACGACTTATCACCGAAGATCACCACAGATCACGACTTATCACCGACGATCACCGCAGATCACAACAGGGCAGCCGGCGCCCCAGCACAACACAGCTAGGCGCGGCCGCTCATGAACATGCCCTTGATGGTGCGGATGCCCTGCTTGACCTCGCGCGCCATGTGGCGCGGCTTGCGCGACACCACGGGCCCCGGCTCCACAAAGAGCTTGTTGGCGTCGAAGTGCACGAGCTCGGCCCTCAGGCGCAAGTCCTTGAGCGAGAAGCCGATTGCACGGCAGAGCTCCGTTTCCAGCGCCAGGTAGCCGCGGCACCCACCGAGCCGGTCGCCAAGAAGCCGCAACTGGGCGAGCACCGCGGCCAGGCCCAAGCCGGCGCGCGCGCCCGCGGCCTGCTGCGCCCTGGCCAAGTCCTCGGTCTGGCACACGGAGTCCGCGTAGATTCTGCGTGTCTGGCCAGCCGCGCGCTCGATGCCAATGATGGGGATGTGGTCCACCTTGCCGATCACGGCCAAGTACAAGCCGCGGAGCCGCGCGCGGCACGCCTCGAGAAACTCGATGCGCTGGTCCACGGCAGAGGCCATGAGCGGCCGTGCCGCCAAAAAGCCCACCAAGTACGCGGCCACCAAGGCAAGCGCCGAGGCTCGCGTGAGAGAGAGCATGTAAACGAGCAATTGCGAGCGGCGCGCGCGCAGGGCGGGCAGGCGCGCGGCGGCGCTGAACGCCGATTCCGGGATCGTGAGGATCGGCACGGACATGCGGGGGAAAAAGAGCCGTGTTGTGGGAAAGAGCGGGGGGTTTTAGGAAAGAGCCTGGAGGGTGTGGTTTGTGGGGAGGAGGTGAGGTGAGGTGCGGGATGCACGGGTGCGTGTCTCTGGGGCGAGCCACTTTTTCTTTGTTGGTTTGGGGCTCTTGGGCCGTGTGCCTCTGGCCCTTTTTTGGGCGTGTTATTTCTGGCCATGCTTTTGGCCCTGCTCTCTGGCCCTGCTCTCTGGCCACGTATTTCTGGCCACGTATTTCTGGCCCTGCTCTCTGGCCATGCTTTTGGCCATGATCCTGGCCCTGCTTTTCACCGGGCTTTGGTCGGGCTTTGGAAACCGGCGGTCGGCAGAGTGTTTTCTATGTACATGCTTCACTCGAGAAGGTCGCCCACGCCCTCGGTGAAGGGCTTCCGCCACCGCCGGTCCGCGTCACGTGACGCGGGCCCGTGTTTCTGGTGCTTATACTTGGGCCCGCCCCTGTGGCCCGGGGCCCCAGACCCGTAGCTTTTCCCAGACCCGTAGCTTTTCACAGACTCGTAGCTTTTGCCGGACTCGTAGCTTTTCCCGGACCCGTAGCTTTTCCCGGACCCGTAGCTTTTCCCGGACCCATAACTTTTCCCGGACCCATAACTTTTCCCGGACCCATAACTTTTCCCAGGCCCGTCACTTTTCCCAGGCCCGTCGCTTTCCACCGGCACGCCCGGTTCCGCAGTCTCCCCCAGGGCACCCCCTGCCTCTCCCCCTGCCTCCCCCCCTGCCTCTCCAAGCACCGCGGCCCGTTTCCGCTGCACACTCTCCGTTTTGCGCTTCTCGCCGCGCGCCTCCTGCTTCGCCCGCTCGGCCTCGCTGGGCACCCACGAGGACTTCAAAATACGGCGGATGCTCTCCGGGCTGATTTTGAAGAAGTCCGCGAGCTGCACGGTCTTCAAGCCCGGCGCACGCGCCTTCAAGTCGCGGATGTCGTTCATCTGCTGCCGCGAGAGCTTGTGCGTCGGGTTCCACGTGCCATACCGTTTGCGGAGGGTCTGTTCCCGTTTCTCCCACTCCGGGGCATGCTGGCGCCGCTCCCGCTCCGCGGCCTCGAGCTTCTGCTTGAACCGGAGCTCGGACGGCGTGAGCGCCAGCGTGCCGTGGGCCCGCCAGAGCCGGGCTTTTGGTGCGCAGGGCTGCCGGAGAAAATTCCACATACCAGTATAGTGGGCCAAGTGCTCTGCGATGCGATGGCCGGCCTTGGCCGCGCAGCCGGCCGGTCACGTGCGCGCGGGCCCGTGTCTCTGATTCCCCGTGGCGGGCCCAAAACGCCAGCAAAACGGCCGAAAATCGGGGGGCACGCTGCCACGGCGCCGCGGATCCGGGCCGTGGCGCTTTGGCCGGGGGGAGGGGGCCGCCAGACACAAGGGCCGGGACCCCTCCCCCAAGGCGACCTGCACACAGCGCCCCGCCGCGTGCCGGCTTATCGGACAGGCAAGTCCATGACCAGGTCGCTTTGTTTGGGGGAGAGCTCGAGCGTTTTTCCAGTCCCGCTGTACACCCCTGCCAGGCCTGTGTTGAACTTCTGAGAGACTGAAGATAAGATAGACGCCCAGCAAAAGCGCCGCCAGCAAAGATAGGAACAGCCCGCCCGAACAGCCCAACAACGGCCCGGAGTCGAGTTCAGAAGCCAGAAGCCAGAAGCCAGAAGCCAGAAGCCAGAAGCCAGAATCCAAAGCCAGAGTTCAGAAGTCAGAATTCAAAGCCAGAAGCCAGAATTCAAAGCCAGAAGCCAGAATTCAAAGCCAGAAGCCAGAATTAAGAAGGTAGAAGCCAGAATTCAAATCCAGAATTCAGAAGCCAGAAGCCAGAATTCAGAAGCCAGAAGCCAGAATTCAAGGCCAGAAGCCAGAATTGAAAGCCAG